TGGACTCGTTTCTGGGAGTCTTTTTGACGCTTTTATTGGCGCTACTTCTATTCAATGTGTTCACCACAGGGCTCATGTCAAGGGTCCACAGATTTATCTTAACCGAGCCGCGCGAACGAGTTCGGGGCGTGTGTCCAACAGCTTCGCTCTCATCACTCTTATCCGAATGCTGCGGTTGCTCCTTGCCCTCTGCTTTGCCATCGTGTTGCTCATCCGTGTCCGACTCCTCGCTTACATTGTAGTATGTAGAACTAGTCATGGTGGTGTCCTGCACCTGATCGTGTGCATCCCAGCCATCCAAGCTGCCGGCTTCTCTTTCTCCATTGTCATCTGCCGTTCCATAAGTGGAGCTGGACTTGACATCCGCCTCGGAGTCTTCGGTATCAACATCAACCGTTTCCTCTTCATCGGCTTCCTCCTCTTCGTCATCATCATCATCATAGGTTTGCGATTCGGTTTGTGTGGTCTCTTCCTCAAGGGCCGAGCCAGCTGTCTCCTCCTCCTCATCCACAGTGGCAACTGCGTCATCGTCTTCGGTTTCTTCTTCTGACTTCTGCTGATCATCATCTTCTTCTTCATCTTCCTCACTGTCATCTTCCATATGTTTCAAAGGAACTGCTATGGTAGCTCTCCTCTCGAGCAGTTTTCTGCGTGTTGCATCCACGACAACACTATCTCTTCGGCCCCTTTTGGGTGGAGTTGTCTTTAGACTGATGTTAGCTGCCACATTGGATTTGAGAGGAGTTTTCAACATTTTGCTCATGGCAATATTGGCTGATTGTCGTTTGGGGCGCTCTTCGGTGACAAAGGAAGAATCCTCTAGAGCGGATGCGGCTGCAGAAGCAGCCAAAGCTGTGCGTGTTGTCTTTCTAGTGGGCGGTGTGAGAACATTGGCCATGTGGACCGCGCCCAGCGAGTGGAGACGGGTGTGCCGTTGAACTGGCGTTGCGGCAACTTTACTCTTGCCTCCCGTCGTAGCCCTCTTGTTGTTACTACTGCTTCGGTTACTGTTGCTGACCCCTACCCCCGTCCTCTTCCCTGTGCCTAGTCCTGACCCCACCGGAGCACTTGAATTGTGGCTGCTCTGGCGATTACCCCGACTTGGAGCCGATCTCTTACTTCTGCTGTTGCTACTGTTGCTATGGCTACTAACACTCCTACTCAACTTCTGAGCTGATCGGCTCCGATTTGCCCTCACTAACTGTCGCTTATTTGAAGTGGAATCTTGTTTGTTATTAACCTGATTGCTCGAATCCTTGCGACTGTACGTGAGCATCTCCTCGGCTTCCGTTTCCTGCTTGAGCAGTTCCTCCTCCTTGTGCATGGCCGCCAGGCGATTGGCCTCCCATTCACGTTTTTGGGCCTCTAGTTCGGCTTCCGCGGCTCGCAACTGTTCCGCTGTCCACGCTGCTCCAGTGGCTTCCACAAAGCGCATGGCATAACGCTCGATAGGTGAGAGCTGAGTGACGATAAGAAAGTGTAAATCATTAGTATGTTGGAATCTTATTAAGTATTCTTTAAACATTGTAATCATATAAGGTTAAATGTTAGACATTGAGTGATACAATCGTGGCGTGGGTTATTTCGCCTCAACTATGTCTGAAGGTCTGCCTCCTCAAGAAGAGGTTACTCTTGGCAATATTTGCGTCATCGAAACAGCATTGAAATGCGGATTCCAATATAAGTTGCAAGTAATGCCAGAATTTTAATGAGTATGCCAAAACCAGTACTTCAAACAATAGGAAATAGGAAATAGGAATGTTAGACTTTGAGTGATACAATCGTGGCGTAGGCTGTCACCTCAACTATGTCTGAAAGTCTACTTCCCGAAGGAAAATTTGTCTGCGCAATCCTCTCTTCACCGAAATCGCATAAAAATGCTATTCAATATAAAAAGCAAGGACTGCAACCATTTCGAAACGGGTTGTTAAAATATTTGTAAATACTTTCTTATTGTGGTTATGATCAACATATTAACAGGCACTAAAGGCACCCATGTTCTTTTTCATTATTTTCCATCAACATACCTGTTTCACTAAATTCTGCATTTCCAGATCGGCCTTGCTAAGTTCTACCTGAGCGCCTCCTTCCGCGTTCGCCTCTTCCGTAGAAATAGGAATGTTCTCATCGAACTCGGCCAGATCTGCGGCCACCTCTGCTTTGGCCGTCTTTGTGGCCTGCACATCCTGCTCATCCTCGGCGGCGGCCAACGCATGCTCAAAAGCCCGCAGAGATTGTTTCTCCGTCTCCACAACCGTTGTTGCCGTGTCGACAACTGTTGTGGTTGTCGTAGCCACAATCTTATCCTTATTATCCGGCCTCTCCTGACTTGTCTCGTCTTGCTCGCTCTGGTCCATCGTAAAGAGATCCTTGATGGTGGAACTCTTAAAGAATGTAGTGGTAAAGTTGCCACCCTCGATGGCCATGTCGCTTAGCATCCGCTTTTGGTTTGCCTTTTTGAGGATGTTAACCTCAATGGTTCTTTCGGAGACAAGTCGGTAGATGTGGACATCTCGTGTCTGACCGATTCGATGACATCGATCCTGGGCCTGTGCATCCATGGTAGGATTCCAGTCCGAGTCATAAAAGATCACAGTATCGGCACCCGTCAAGTTGATGCCCACTCCACCAGACCGCGTGGATAAGATAAAGCAGAAGATTCTTTTGTCTCCATTAAAGCGCTCCATAAGTATCTGCCGTTGCTCAACACGCGTGGATCCATCCAAACGAAGATAGATGTGGCCATGGTAGTTGAGGAAAGCCTCCAAAACATCCAACATCTTGGTCATCTGGGTGAATATCAGTACACGATGCCCCTCAATCTTCAGCTGTCGCAGCAAACGATCCATAGTCTGCAGCTTACCGCAGTCGTACTGAATGAGACGCGGATCCGGGAACTGAGTGGTCATTGCCGAAATGATTGGATGCAGTAGGGCCAACTTTGGCAGCAGGGCTTGACCCACAGTGTCTTCGATCTTGCGTTCGCACTGCCAGTGCGTCGATGCAAGATTTTGCACATAGCGTCGGATGCGCGGCGCACACACGGAAGGAACATAAATCACAAAGTTGGCAAATAGGGGCTTAAGCTCTGCACATCTCTCTTCGAAGCTTTTTAGCAAGTGGTTCAGTGACCAGCCATCTCGATGCAACATGGCCGTACAGCAGTTGGCGTAGCCACGCGTCTGCCATGTTGATCGCTTCAGTGTTCGCGTTGCCTGCATACAGCGCTGGATAGCTCCGCGACAGTCTTCGCCATATATGGGAGTGGCATCGTTGCGTCGGCGATTTATCATTGCCATTCGTTTCAGCGAAGCCAATCGCTGCTCCTTGCGCATCTGAATCAGCTCCTGTACCTTATAGGGATCTTCGGTCTCAGTTTCCTCCTCGGGCTCCGTTTTTCCATTAGCAATGCTTTGCTTTTGTGCTGTGCTTTTCACATGCGTTGCTAGATCTTTAACAATGGGTTCCCTTATCAATTGTTGGGCAGTAGTAGATGATGCAGTTGCTGTTGTTCCGGAACTCGTCGTGGCCGCCGACGCTGTGGTTTTACTTGTCAGTGTCAGGCGGGCGCCTGCTGCTCCAGAATTCGTTGCTGGTGTGAGGTAGAAAAATGGCTTTCCGTCTTGCATCGTCTTTGCTACTTTTGCGGGCGTTGGTGCATTTATTTGTGAGCGTGAGCCCAGCAACTTAGAGTTGCTAAGTACACTTAAGGCTCCAGTAGGAGAAGAGGCTGCGGTCGATGACGTTGTCACCACGCTGTTAATCACCACTGGTTTCAGCGCAATATTCACGGGGTTAATAGAGCCACTGACTCTTTTCAAAACCCTGCCGCTTGGTAGCAGACTTCGCATTGGCACAATCTTTGAGCCCTCCATCCGCATGGCCGGACTGGCTCCTACTCTTACCGCATTCAGTTTGATGCGCTGTGCCAGCTCAGCACTTCGTACTCGAATGTGAAAGCGGTATTTTCCGTTAGGACAACGGGGAGCCGGTTGGGGAGTTGTATCGATCTCCTCAATAAGCTTTCGGGGCGGTGCGAGCAGGCGAGATTTGTGCGAGACGTAGGCGGTCATAGTTTGCTCCAGATGCAGCAGAAGGAGGTTTACCGTCTCAAGATTGATTTGCTGTAAGAATTAGAGTATTGACAAATTAGTTGATTTATTTATTGCCTTACTATTCAAAAATTATTTTCATGAATAATCGAATCAGACAAATGCCTCGCAAATGCGAACATCCTGGGAAAAGTTTACGACTCTCTCCAAAATAGATTAAGCCCAACTATCAGTGACAGTTTAACATCATTTTCAAAAAAAAAAAAGAAAACCGAGGAAAATGGTTGGGAGGAAACTTCATTGACTTACCGTTAACGGATCATACTCCATTACGTCGGAGACGAGACGGGGCGTGTGGAATGTAATGCCCGCCATTTGAAATGGGGAAATGGTAGGACGCACCTCAAACATATTAGGGTGGTTGCACACCTTCCGCAGCTGCATTAAGACGTTAATGACGCTCAGCAAGTTTCCTGTTTGTAGAGTTTCCCGAGTTCTGTAAGAGAAAAATTATTAGGTAAACAATTTTTTATCACATGTGAAACATGAATACTTACTTGGAGCGACTCATGAAATCCTCGTACAGATAGCGCTGGCGATTCGACAGACGGCACATGACCACATGCTCGTATTTTTTTGGCATTTGCTTTTCCACCTCCTTCTTGAGGCGTCGAAGTAGGAAAGGACGAATCACCTGCACGTAAAAACAAAGACAATATGCTATTTACTGCGCATTTAGTTTAAAATTACGGAAAATATTTGTTTAATATGGTGGTGTTAGGGGCGTTTTCAATGTGAGCAACTTGGTTAAAATTTGACCACATGGATAAGACGCATCTCCTTGATCTGGCAAACTAACAAATTGTCATCACTTGAGGCTAAATATCAAAGTGACACAGAGTGCATTTGCTTAAACGGCTCAAAATCCCAAAATTAGTCTTACAAAAATACTGTTCACAATCTAAACGGATTAGAGTCAAAGAACTAAAATCACATGCTATTGCGACGATTGCTTTAGCACACATCTACGATTTTCAGGAGCATTTAACAGGCTGACAAGAAAACGCTTTTAGGTGCAAAGAAAAAATATTTTGTTTTTAAATGTAAAATGAGTTTTCAATGTAATCGCCCATATAAGAGCTAGATTACATGGATAAGACACACTTCTTTAATATGGCAAACTAACAAATTGTCATCACACGTGGCTATTATTCAATGTGACACAGAGTGCATTTGCCTAGCCTAATTTACAGACTTTTGTGAAAAGAAAAATTGTTTCCAATATAAATGGATTAGCGTTTTCCGAGAACCCAAATCCTTTGCTATTGTAAATATTGCTTTTGCACACATCTACGATTTTCAAGAGCATTTAACAGGCTAGCAAGAAAACGCTTTTAGGTGCAGCATGAAAAGTTTTATTTCTGGTATGTAAAATGCGTTTTCAATGTAATCGCCCTGAATGGGAATTGATCACATGGATAAGACGCAACCCTTTGATATAGCAAACTAACAAATTGTCATCACATGTGGTTTAAAATCATTGTGACACAGAGTGCATTTGCCAAAAACATACTTTTTTTTCTTATAGAGGATGTTCACAATGAAAATGGAACAAAGTTATTTTTTAAAAACTAATTTCACTTGCAATTGTGAGGATTGCTCTCGCACACATCTACGATTTTCGAGAGCATTTAACGAGCTGGCAAGAAAACGCTTTTAGGTGCAAACTCTCAACATAATTTATAGTCAGCGGTATAGAATTCTGTTATGGAAGAACACAGAAACACTTGCAGCTGAGCTTTGCTCTGGCACACATCTACGATTTTCAAGAGCATTTAAAAGGCCGGCAAGAAAACGCTTTTAGGTGCTAAAAACCCAATAACTAAATCTTGAATTTAATGTTATGCTTTACCTTGTGCAAACGCGTTATTAAAGTCTCGTTGTACTCCATGTTGCCTTCAATCATTCCTGTCATCGGGTTGGAGAACCACTCTTTAAACTCGCGGTGCGATGAGAACACATACGGCATTAGGAAATGCATCAAGGACCACAGTTCCATCAAGTCGTTCTGCAGTGGTGTTCCAGTCAACAACAAACGTCTATAAAAATAAAAAATAGATAAGAACTTATTAAATTCAATAAGAAGATTGAGCTTTTTGGTAATCTGTCTCGAAACAAGGCCACAAGCATTCTAGGGTAGGTTAGCATGCTCTGGATTAGTATGCGGCATTATAGCGAATTTAATTTTAGCACCCAAGCGTAGTCGCCATGCTAGTTTAGCAATCGCATGGTTACTGATTTTTGGTGCTGGCCGGTAGGCAAAGCAATTGCAATCCCAAGCGCCCTATACTAACCTTTCAGTGGAAAAGTTAAGTAGCAACTGCCAACGCTGAGACTTGAAGTTCTTAATGTTCTGCGCTTCATCCAGGATTAGATACTTCCACTTTTTGCGGCGGAAGCTCTGCTGATCTTGCACCACCAGCTTATAGGACGTGATGCATACGTGGAAAGCGTTCGGTTTAGTCCAGCCCACGCGCTTCAGCTTGCGCTCCTTCTGAGAGCCGTAGTAGGTGAGTATTTTAAAGCCAGGGCACCACTTCTTGAACTCCATTTCCCAGTTGAGCATCACAGATGAAGGCACAACAATGAGGTGTGGCCCCCAGTTACCCCTAGCGCAGGCGAGGTGAGCCAATAGGGCAATGGTTTGAATGGTCTTGCCCAGACCCATCTCGTCGGCCAGGATACCATTTAGCTTACGCTCGTTCATTGTAACCAACCAATCGAGTCCGATGTGCTGGTACTCACGCAGTGAGTGCTTTAGCAAGAAGGGGACTGGCGTAACCACATTAGTGGAGGACAAGGTATTGCCTTTAGGTTGAAGACTCTCAGCCAAAGCGGCGGCATCGTTTAGCATGTCGTCCTTGTTGCCGCTAGCTCCTCCTGTGCTGCCGCTTCCAGCAGCTCCACTAGTAGCATCAGCATCCGTCAACAGACTCTTAAGACCGTCCTCCTGTTCGTCCTGCTCCTCTACGTCAGTGTCAGTTTTAACAGTAGAAAGATCTTCTTCATCCTCGGTAGCCTCCACTTCGCTTTCGTCTGTGGAGTCATCAACAGCCGTTGAATCATCATCCGAGTCCAGCTCTGGCTCGCGAGTCGCCAGCTTCCGTCGTTTAGGACTAGGCTGCTGGTCACTGACTCTGCCCGATTTGTATTTCGCCAACAGCTGCTCCACTGAGAGATCGTTGTCCGCCTCCAATTCATCAATCTCCTTTTTGTGGTCAATCTCCTGTTCGGCCTCTTCCTGCTTGCTGATGGTATTCTCATCATCATCGCTAGTTTCTTTTGCCTCGAACTCGCTATCATCACTGTCATCGGGAGTTTCGGTCTTAATGCCCGAGCTTTGCTCCTCCTGCATGAGCTTATCACGATTCTCCAAATAGCCAGGCGGAAGGTCATTGAGGAAGTCATTAAAGTCCATCTCAGACTCCTTGGCCAGCGCCGTTACCTCCTCTTTAACATCGGCTGCCTCTTCCTCGGCCTTGGCGATGGTTTCCTCATCGTCTTCCGAGCCAGACTCAGGTCGGAAATCATCTATAAAAATAAAAATATAATAATTAGAATTTGTTTTAAACTTTAATTACCAAATAAACTAGGAAGTAAATGCATCAGGCAAATGCCTCGCAAATGCGACCATCCTATGGTAACATTAAAGTGTTCAAAAATAGACCACAACAACGTTTCAGTGTGTAATTTATCATCAAGTGCTTAATTTACGGGAATACCGTATCAAAGGAAAACTCACCATCAGACTCACGCTTGGGCGAGGTAAGACGGCTGGAATTAAGACTGGGAGTATCCGCCACACTCTTATTCATGCCTTCGGCCAGCTGCTTCGAGAATTTCTCTGTCTGGTCGACAATAAAGCTGAGATGTTGGTCTAACGCCTGCTTGCGTTTCTCCTCGATCTTCGTCTGGTGCTTGTACTCCACCAGCTTCTCTACATTCGACCAAAAGCTCTTCACCTCGCGTGCAATAAAGGATGCCACACGCCTTAGCTGAAGCTCTTGGGCCTTCTCCGCGCGCTGGGCGGCGGTGGCCTTGTCCTGGAAATATTTCTGCACCATCTTGGCGCACTTTTTTGCCGCGTTCTTCTTCCACTTGCGCTCCTGTGCAAAGTCGGCCGCCAGCCAAACCATCTCCTCGAGGAGGTAGTCCCAGTGGGCCTTGGGGCGGCTGGGCTCCTGCAGCTTGGGCAGGCGCCTCTCAGTCCATAATCCCTCTCGCTGTAATTCCGATATACGCTGCATCACGTACACCTCCTGTTTAGCCTTGAACGAGAACTCCTGCGCGGCACTGTTGGGCGTGCCAGAGCCACCGGCCAACGCCGGGCTAAGCAGACTGCCGGACGTGGGAGTGCCAGGCGTGAGGACTCCGCTACCGCCCAGCGCTGCCGGACCATTTCCTGTGTAGAGTGGTGTGGGTGTACCACTTCCTCCTCCTCCGGATGAAGTGGATGCGCCTGTAGCATTGCTTTGACCCTGGGGGCGTCGCAGCGCCGTTGATCCCACTGACGTATTGCAGGGTAACAGCGGAGTGCCACCTTGGAAAAGAAGCCGAAAAACCATTAATTAAAACAATGAATATTGAACTATGAGACGGTGGTAAAAGATCAACTCTTGGCATGCTGGAAAGTGCATCAAGTAGGAAAGATCTACCAGGAAAGCAATAATGAATGAATAGAATAGAATGAGAACATTAGATCGTTTGCGAATCGGTTGCTAAATGAAAGAGGTGGGAACTGCATGCAAACTTAGTCTCAGTGTGGAGTTCGAATTCAATGCGGCAGCTGGGATTAAATTCGCTGCCACATGGATAAGCGAAGCACCGCTTTGTTTTAGCAAGCTTACAAATTGTCATCACATGAGGCTGGATATCGATGTGACACAGAGTGCGCTTGCCTGTCCCACCCTAGTTTATGATACAAATACGGATTGATACAAATACGAATTGAGCCCAACTTAAATTCGTGAATCTAAGTCACATGCAACTGCGACGGTTGCTCTGGCACACATCTACGATTTTCGAATGGGCTGGCGAGAAAACGCTTTTAGGTGCATTTCCCGGGATAATTTGTAGTCAGCTATATGGATACCTGCCATCAAGGAAGGCCGAATCACTTGCAACTGAGCTTTGCTCTTGCACACATCTACGATTTTCAAGAGCATTTCACGGGCTGACAAGAAAACGCTTTTAGGTGCGGGATAAAACTAGACTAAAACTAATGATAATGTTTGTGGATGATTAGATGGCTTAGATGCTGAGATACGAGCCCAAGCAGTGTGATGAGTCCTAAAGATCGACGCGTTCTCTAATTTACTAAGTATGCTTAAGTTGGCTAACTTGCTTACAAATCAACGCAATCAATAAAATTATACATTCATCAATTATTTATCAATTCAAACTGAAATCAAAGTATTAAGCAGATTTACCAATCAAAACTAAGAGCAATAACACCAATTCTAGAAAATTTACAAATTGAAAAATAATCGTTTTGCACATCAATAAATGCACTACTTTGCTGGGCAAATGATAAAATGCTTCAATAGTTAACACACAAACTGGTTTAAATAAGAATGGAAATCAAAACAAAAGAATTTTAGCTGTGAAAGATTTTTGATATTTTTTGTTGTTTGCGAACGATAAGCACCTGGCACCAAAGGTACGGAAGGATTTCCTACGGCAGCAGGAGGAGCAGGTATTTGACCGAAGACCATACCGTGACGACCTCCTAAAGGTCTACCGGGTATGTGACCTATATTATAACAATAACGATACAATTATGGTGAGTTGAAAGTGTGTGCGTTATAGGAGGATGTAGGCAGCATTAATGTGGAAACAGAAATAGGAAAATAAATAAAATTGTAAATAATAAACAGCAGTACGGGTTAATCGGGTATGTAGTTATGCTTGTGATTAGTAGGTGTTTGTTTGTGTGATAAACTAACAAAATAATCTTTGCATTTTGTGAGTTTAGTTAGCTTATGTTGTATTATATTTTAGTAATGCACAATTTTTGGCGACCACAATATAATATTGGTATAACATTATAAGATTTTAGTGCAAGACGTGCGTTGGCAGTTGGCGCGGATTTAGTTTCAGTTTCGGAGTTACAGGAGTTGGTATGCAGTTGGCTAATGTTTTTGCATCGATTTTACAAGTTGAATTTGGCATAAATATTGGGACGAACATAACAGTTTATAACAACGAAAAATACAATTTTGTTTGGTCAAAACAAACACAACAGAAACACAAAAGGGTTCATAACAATGAGAGAGACCAGAGTATTCGATCATGAACACGGTGAAATTACCTTGTTGCGTTAGCTGAACAACCGCAGCGGGTAGCTTTGTTGAAATGGCCACTGGTGTGGCTCCAACGGCTGGGATTTTGATTTCCGCCTCTGGTGGCAGGACATTACTCGCCTCCGTCGAACACCCAGTTGTGGTAGTGGAGGTGACACTTGCAGCAGCTCCTGAGACTGTGCTGGACGAGTTGCTTGCTGCTGCTGCGGGACTTGAGGCTGTGTTGCTGCCAATCTTGCTTGGCACTTGAGATTGCGTATTCTGTAAACATTAAAATGGGAATTAGTACAGGATTTATAAACTTGAAAAACATAGGAATTTCTGTGCTTCATTCAGACAAATGCCTCGCAACTGCGAACATCCCTTTAAAAAACCAGAATCAATCAAAAATAGATTGATAAAGGCACTCAGTTTGTTTTTAACATCATAATGGTTGGTCTATGTGGGTATTTATCTAAGGAATCATACCGTTTTAACAGTGTTATTGCTGATGCCATCCAATGGTGATTCTGCAGTCGATCCTGTGCTGATTCCGTCGACCAATGAAGCATCCACAATGGCTGGCTGGTGGGTGGTATATTTTTGGGCCTGATTCTGTGCCGCAGCTGCTGCTGCTGCCGATGTGCTCGGCTTATCCTCGTGTATCAGCTGATCTATACGATTCGCATTACTGTAGCTGATGAACTGCGGGGTTGGTGTCTTCTTGCGCCACGCAGGGTAGTCCATCATACTGCCGCCGTTTTGTAGGTAAAAGTATTCGGACACATTTTCAAGATGCCTGGTGATGGAATCGGAAGGGTCTTAAATGGGTAAAAGAAGGACCATCGCAGAGAAACTCACCTTTCCTTAAGATTACGCAAGATCTGCAACTTCTGCTGGAGTATGCGCTTTTTCAGGGCATTCAGGTCCTGCAGGGCCGTGGACGAAAGCCCACCGACCTCGCTGCTGGAGGCCACCGATGCAGGGAGCAAAGAGCCTACAATATTGCTGCTCCCGGCTGTCCCAACAATGTTGGTGGCGCTTGTCCTGTCCTCGTTGTTGTCCAAACGCTGACGCTTGGCCTGTGGGGGCGAAACGGAGGATTCTATGGTGCTCGTGGTGCTGGTGGAGGCGGATGGGTTGGTGTGGGCGGTTGCTGCTGCTGCTGCTGCTGCCGTTGCCTCTGTCGTTTGCTGTTGTTGTTGCGGCAAGGGCGACAGCGGCACAGGCAGCTGCGCACTGGGTAGCTGCTTCTGTTTGCTACTGCTAGCGATTCCTTTTGCTTGGTTCGCTAGATGATGGTGATAATGGCGGGTGGCCGACGAGGCTGCTGCTCCTGCTGCAGATCCTGCTCCTGTTATGGTCGTTGGTTTGGCTGTCGAAACTGATTTTTCCGTTGAATGTGGAGTTACGCGGTCTGGCACAGCAGGAGGGGCCGGGCTGAGCCCTTCATGCCCCCCTCCTGCTGAATTACCTTCATTCATGTTTGAGACATCTGCAAGAACAACATCAGAGGGGAAGGGGGTTTGAGTTCCCAGTATTATTTTAAAATGACAACGGTTGGCGGGAAAAAAGAAAAGTCGCCGCCGAGCACATGTTCCGATGATGCAGCCCTGGTCAGACTTTAGAGCCTATTTAATTCTATGACTATAATTTTAACATTTGCGCTGCGTAATATCCATTATCAGAAGTGCTGAGCAAATAAAATCATAGTCATCTCAAAACAAAAAAAAGGAAAAGCTTATCACACAAAATGCACCCCTTGAAACCCAAAAAAATGCAACCCTGCGTCTTGGTTTTTTTCCATGTCTCACACACACGCGTGTTTTTCCGATTTCAGCAAGAAAATGCAGAAAACCGATATTCTTTGCACAACCTTTTCTATTGTTCGCACGAATTTAAAATTTTCACCAGATATCAACGCTCAAAATAAGCATTTAACACAGATACAAGCGGGGTGCCAAATTCCGGCTGCTAGAGCGGGACAACCATATACATCTGCATGGCGGCGTCGTTACTTTGTGTTGGTGTGCGCGTTTATTCTCCGCGCGGCAGACATTTTTTTTTCATATTGTTTCGTACCTCAGACGGGGAGAATTTTAATCACAAGATATCAGCATCTCTGCACGGCATCCGGGCTTGAAAATGGTGCGGATGCGTTGTGAAAAATGTGCCACAATCGTTGGACTCCAATCGACACTGAATTTCTTGCACATTTATTGGAATATTCTCTGGCAGAAGTGCGCGAGCACGTCCGCTCGTGTTCGAAACAACAAGAAAATTGGTGTGACCGTTAACGAGATATGCCAAAGCAGAGCCGTTTTGGTGTGACCCTCGTTTAACGTTGATAAAATACTAACATTTTAGCGTTTAATATATGACAAATGTCGAAAGATAAAATTACCACCTTACTCACCTCATACTTTGGCATAAGATTTTCTAAGCCTCTGTTTCAATTTCCTCTCTAAGCCGCAAATTAAAACTTATCAATATTTTCTTTCTTAATTTTGTAATTTTATGCGCAACTAAAAACATACAATTGAAATTTTTCTGTACTTGACATAAGCGTTTGGCTTGTCCTAATTTTTACCAATAATTATATAAATAATAAAAATTAATTTGTTATAATTTGTACTAGACTTAAGACGGTATTAAGGTTAAAAAAAAATGGTCGATCAGTAAAAGTTTTTAACTAAAATTAGCAGAAGCTACAAAAAAAATATTTTTTTAAGTACAAGAAATATTCTTTGCTATAAAATCTAGAACAGGAGCCCTCGCCTTTAAAATAAAATTAAATAAAATGCGTGCAGAGTTGAGATTCAGTATTTAAACATTTTTTAACTTATTGTAAAAAATATTTATTTGATTAAAGCTGTTCAATACTGGGGAATAAGTTTAGCTGGTTGCAAATTATACGCGAGTCTATAATCAAATTTCAAGAAAAAGTCTATACAAATTCTGTTTCAGTTATGTTAAAAGAGATTTCTGTGTCAACACTATTAGCTTTATTTTGCAAAATTTTATTTTTATTATAATATTAATCAGTTTAGAAGCATGAGCTTTTCAAAACAAAAAAAAATTGTAACATTGCGCGCTCAAAGCGTAGCTCCATCAATACTTCTCTGGGATCAATAGACGGAGTCCCCTTACTGCTTGGGAAACCTAAGTGCCACCAACTGGTCACACTGTCAAACAATGCTGACGACACGACAAATACGATTTAAAACTTTCTTGCGTCTGTAAAAATGCGCAAGCACGCTGCCAGCGCAACTTACGCACCCGTAATTGAAACAAATGTTTGCTGAACCACTTCCGCCCACTCAATGTAAGCGCCAACATCTCTTCCACCGCCGTCGCCGTCGTCGTCGCCGCCGGATTACTTTGTTTACAATTTTGCTTACACAAGTGCAGTCGTCAATAGCCTTTAATTTCGAAGTGGCAAGTACGTAGTTTTCGCCGTATCGCTAATAGATAGTCACAGGTGGTTGGTAATCAGTACGGAGCAGCTCTTTGTCTGACTATTGTGTCTGCATACGCGGGCGGACTCCCACGAAGAAACCGGAAACGAAATCCAATTCGCGGAATTGCGAGGTCGAGTGAAAGTACGGAGTATTCCCGGCAAAATGATGGCTCACTCCGCCCATGTGATGACGCTGGCGAACAGCATCATAGGTGTCGGCATCCTGGCCATGCCCTTCTGCTTTCAGAAGTGCGGCATCCTGCTGTCCATAGTTCTCCTGGTTTTGAGCAATGCAATCACCCGGGTTTGCTGCCATTATCTTATCAAAACTTCGCTGCTGACACGTAGGAAGAGCTTTGAGATGCTGGGTCTACACGCTTTCGGCGCTTCCGGTAAGTTGCTAGTGGAGCTGTGCATCATTGGCTACTTGATCGGAACGTGCATCACGTACTTTGTGGTTGTCGGCGATCTGGGCCCGCAAATAATCGCTAAGATTTTCACTCTAAACGTAGCGGAGCATCTGCACCTGAGGAGTCTGGTACAAAAAACTAAGACTAAAGCAAAGAATATTTGAAGAAACTAACCCTTATCTTGCAGGTAATGGTCGTGGTGACAGTAGTCTGCATAGTGCCTCTTGGCATGCTCCGGAATGTGGACAGTTTGTCGGCCGTATGTACCGCCTCCATAGGTTTCTACGTATGCCTCATTTTCAAGATCGTGCTGGAGGCCCAGCCGCATATTACAGCCAACGACTGGACGGAGAAGGTGCTCTACTGGGAGCCGGCTGGTGTGCTTCAGTGCCTGCCTATCTTCAGCATGGCGCTCTCCTGCCAAATGTGTGTAGACCATCATTTTTTGCTTGGCAAATACGATTAAATATTTTGTCAATCTGTAGGCAGCTGTTTGAAGTCTTCGAGAGTATTAACAACCAAAGCCTCGACAAGTTAAACGGTATTGTGCGCAATGCCACTTGGATCTGTACTTTTGTTTACATATCTGTTGGGTTTTTCGGCTATGTGGCCTTCTGTACTCACACATTTTCGGGTAAGCCATCAACCTTTGTGACGCATTTCATGATCTACATATTTGGCTTCGTATTTATAGGCAACATTCTGGTAAATTTATCGACCTCCTTTGGCAGCGATATCATCAAAATTGGCTTTGTGCTGTCGATTGCTTTCAGTTTTCCACTCGTTATCTTTCCCTGCAGGGCCAGTCTCTATTCGTTATTATACAGAAAGGTAATTCTATAAGTTTTATCTATTCTTCGCACACTCATAAATTTGTTTTGACAGGGCCACTCGGAGAGCAGTAGTTACATACCAGAACAACGTTTTCGATTGATAACCATCTTCATTGTTGTCTTCTCGCTATGCGTGGCATTGGTTATTCCCTCCGTAGAGCTAATCATTGGCTTGGTGGGCTCTACTATTGGAGTGGCCATTTGCATTATGTTTCCCGCCTCCAGTTTTCGCAATATCATCAAAAAGGAATCAATGGAACGCACTGTGGCCCAGTTCATATTTGTGAGTGGATTCCTTTTGATGATTTTAGGAACTTACGCCAACCTGAGTGCGATTGATGAAAAGAGCTCAGGACCGGAGTTCGATATTGTTCCAATAGTCACGCCTCTGTATCCTGAAGGTCAAGTACCCGCTGTGGTCGGCGAGCTACCCAAACATTTGGCCAAGAATCCGGCTGAAAACGAAAAGAATCTTTTGCTAAAAAAGTTGGAAGTTCAAAATCCAGAGTTAGTTAAGGAAATTGTAGAGGAAAAGATACTCGATAAGCCAAAGATAATGCAAACTGCTTCCTCCGATAACCCACCGTTGCCTCCACTGCCCATCGATGAAGTCCATGTAGTTCCCTTAGAGAGTGAAAAAGCTGCAAGTGGTCTTAAAAAACCACTAGAAGGAGCTGCAGAAGTTAACCCACCAGAAACCAAACCAGACGAGGTCAACCTGACCGACGATAAACCAAAGGAAATAGCACCTGTCGGTGCAGCACCATCGGAAGCTCCTAAACTAGAATCAAGTCTGTTATCAGCAAGCAATACAATTGACGGAGCGGCTATCAAGAAGGAGGAGGAAGTGGCCGCGGAGGAGCAAAAGGAGAGTAAAGCTAGTGCTGACGAGCTGGCCAAGACCCAAAAAGAACTTAAAGAGACCAAGAAACTGCTGGCCAAAACCGTGGTCGAGCTTAACGAGGAGCTGGCCAAAAATAATCCACTTAGCCAGCAACCTTTGGAGTTAGAGGTGAAGCAATCTTTAAATGTTGTCGCTAGAGTTGCAGAAGAAACGAAAAAATCTGAAAATATGCTCAAGGACACGCAACCTGTTGCTAGGGGAAAGGAAGAGCGCAGGCCCAAGGCTTTAATGGAGATACTCACCGAAAATACTCATCTGCGCGATGAGAAGGAAGCCCATGCGGGTGTTTTCGAACCACTCTCTTATAAAACCGGAGAGTTGCTTAGGAACTCCAGCGTAAACTCAGCAGATCTGATAAAACGATTGCCCATCCCACTGGCCCTTATGATAAATGCGACTCAGCCAAAGGCATTAAATGACTCGGAAATTAAAAAACCAAACCTAGAAGACAACGTGGAGGCCATCCGCAGGGAGCTGCTTAACCTGCGAACTTCGGGAGATGCGACAGAGCGACCGCCAGCGAGGATCAAACGAGAGGCCTCCAACGAGGAAAACTGCCTTCGCGAGCCCAAGCTGAATGAAGTAAATAAAAATGTGGCCGCAGCGGCCTTGGTCTTGAACATGGAAAGTATTGGACGGGATCTCAAATCCATCAAAGATGACGATGTTGAGATAACCAGTGAAAACGAATCCAACAAAGAGAGTTTAAACGGAACCCAAACCCCGCAGCCTACATAATGTGGATAGTCTACAAAGTATGCAAAGCTTTATGTACATAAACTTTACACGTATTTATTTAGTTTATAAGAGATTGTAGTCTAGGACTGTATACAAATATATACAAACATAGAGTTCATATGACTAAGGAATATTGTGTCAAAACTCTCGTTCAGTTGCCAACAAATTTTCGTGTTAACCAATAGCCCAGATTTTTGTAAGACCTTCGAAATGTCTTTTGTTTTTGATGTTGTCCAGCAAATTGTGTTGCGGAAAGCCTATGATTTAACATGCGAGGCAGCCATTCTGGCCTTAAGAAAATGTGGCAATGTGAGTAGCACATACAAACTTAAAAATCCCAAAGGTTTATCTTCTTTTTAAGCTGAGAATAGAGGATGATAAGTCAAACGTAAGAAAAGGAACGCAATTGCCTGTGCCTCCTGTCAAGCCTACTTCCCAAGACGTGGTTTCACCACTAAAGAAACCTCCCCTGCCAGAGATTAACAGAACCGTAAAATATGTGGGACGGGATATCCCTCGAAAGAATTGCGGCTCCATCGATCCCCCCCAGTGCTCCTGTATGCGTGTGTGCCGGGATAGCTACTTCTCCTAAACAAGGAACATAATCCGCAGTTTAAAAACATTTGCAACTTTAATAGAATAGGAAATAGCAAAATTTCAAGGAGCATCTGATTATCAAATGTAACACTAATAACAGTTTTGGTAGCAACTAACAGGTCTGAGTATGAGTATGTGAGGTGGAGACTGCTTAGGCCACATCAGCTCCCAAGGAGTGCAGGTCGTATAGCACTTCTAAGATGGCGGCCACACTCCAAGCCTGCGTGCGACAGGAGTCTCCGCAGTAGGAGCCGTTATCGTTGGTCAACTCGGGCAATCCGCGCCAGTGGGATGTCTGCAGCTCACGCAGATGAGCGCGCAGTATGGCCCACGTTTCGGCAATGGTCTCGTCCAGGTGGCCACACTTCTTGGCGAAGATCAGGCGCGCCCTCAGGTAGAATCCAATGGGCCACACCCACTCGGGTCCCTGGTGGTAGTTGGCGCCATCGGCCACAGTACAATCGGTGGAGTCATTTGAGTTGTCATAGTTGGCCCTGTAGTTCCAGTCCTCGGGATCCAGGGTTTTCATGCCCAACGGACCCAGAAGAAACTTCTTGGCCCGTTCCAGCGCACGCCAGGCATTCTGGGGATTACACAACTCCGGGGCCACGGTCAAGGTAATGGGAAAGTTGCAGCGCAGCTGGTAGTCCGTCCAGCTCTGTGTGGCTCCATAGCTGTCCTTGTAGATCAGCTTCTTGTTGGCCACCGAGCAGGTTTCCGACTCGGACACAAAGAAGAACCTGTCGAAGTTGTCCTTAATGCGATCGGCCCACTCTTTGTAGCTCCACTTGGTAACCTCGCCGGACGGTCCCTTCCGCTCTACACCAGTGTACGGAATGACTTCCTTCTCGGCCAGGCTTTGCATGAAGCGAAGAACGGCGTACTGCAAGCCAACGAGCTCCACGGCGGATCCATCGCGGGGCGTGCTGGGTCGTCCCTTGTTTCCCGCCTTTTGCGAGGAGCCCATTTTGTCCATCCAGGTACCGCAGTTGAAGTTGTTGCCACCGAAAACGAAGCCCGTCTCCGGATGCACACCAATGTGGTTGTTAAAGCCCTGGTCCAGCATATGCGCATCAATCTCCTGGCCTGCGTTGCGCTCTCTATAATGCAATCCCTGGAAATGCACCTGCAGCGCCTCCTGCATCACATCAAACAGCAGTTGGTCGAATTTTCCTGGAGCATGGGCCTCCGCATCGTCGTACGGGAAGATGCGCGACACCTTGTCCCTCAGGATGTCGGCACCCTTGGGGGCATCCTCCACATACTGTCTGATGCAGTACATCCACCACCAGACGGCATCGCGGCAGTTAAACCTGGGCTTGCTGCCGCTGTCCAACAGATTCGGGATAAGACCGTGCCGAAGGGTCTGTCCAAATCCAATAATGATGTAGCGGGCTTCGTTGTATCGACCAGTGAGGAACATGGAGCCCCGAAGAGCGATGAAGGTGTCTCGGCCCCAGCAGCGCATGTAACCTAAGGGATAAGATATATGTTAATATCATATCGGAAAAAATTATAGTTTCGATGGTCTCAGTTTTCTTAAAAGATGAATCAACAACTTTTTAACTTTGATGCAGTTTTTCTTTCTTTGATTAATGACAAATACATAGATAGATTATAGATAGATAGATTATAGATGCTTTCCATACTCTTTTACTTTTCAATAATCTAAAGCATTATTCACTTACCCGTTGAGAAATGCGGCAGACCAGCGGAGAGTGTCACACATTGCTTTGGTGGTTTGGGTGGATTGATGGCATGACTAAATCCTGGCAGATTTGCCGAACGGCAAACGGAAAGGAACTGCAACGTGGACAAAGCCAGCGACTGGGTGAAACTGTGACCATTCTTAATGAAACTATCAAAAACCAAGAACAATTAGGTAAGCATTATCTACTCCTGTCATCTGAAGGACATACTCAGGCATTAATTCGTTGACCTGGTTGATAAGAACATTGAAAACTCCACTGACAATGGCATCAAAGTAGCAGGGTATGAGGTAGCGTGGAATATTCTTCAGGGGCTCAAAGGTAGCTTTAAACCAGGCCGAAAGCGGCTTCAGATCTTCATAGCTGGTTAGGCGATCGGCAATGTAGTCTGGGGAGATATTATATATTAATTAGTCACTTATTAAAAACTCTTTTCCTAGAAATACCTACCCATCATCCAGTTGCCATCGCGCAGATTGTTACAAAACGGATGGCCCAAATCATTTTTAGGTGAAATCTCCGTCAGCAAGGAAACGAATCCTTGCAGGCCACAGTAAACTATCCTTCCAAAGTTGGGTATATCGTACGCAGAGCCACCCTTGCCCAGGTCGCGCTCCTCCTCATCGCAGCTGAATAGGGCACCACTCAAGGCCACCAGATCCAACTTGGAGACGATCGCCTCCAGCTGAGCCCACTCATCGCCGGCTCCCACGCGCAGTGCATTCGAAGTCTTCTGGAGCTTATCGAAGCTGGCACGTGGACCCGGATGCATGGACACCCTGATAGCCACCACTGTGCCGGGTCTCAAATTGACAAAGTTAAGCTCCGTGTTGTTGCCATCCACATAAGCCTGGGTCTGAAACACCGTAGACTTCGCCAGAGGTATGTGCTCCTGCAGACTCAACTGGAACTGGGTGAAGCCGTTAATCACATTGGGATCCTTCTTAAAAGGAGCGGGACGATCGAAGGGCTTGTCGCTCTTCATGGTTAAACTGGCCTCCAAGATAATCTCGTCCAGCACGCCCTCGAATCGGAGGGGACGGATTCCGGTGGCTCCGGCATTTGGAGAGGGATAACCGAATGCCGTGTGGGCCACCAAAATAACTGACTGATGAGTGCTTGGCGAATGCCGGGTAACTGCCACCACGTTGGGATCCATTTGGTCTACGTATACCTGGCTGAAGCCCTCCTCCGCGAGCTGTCCGTGCAGCAGGTTCAACGCTCTCTTGGCTCCCATAATTCCAGATTTGGAATCAACGCCCTTGCCCCATTCCTGGTAGCTACGTTCCTCGTCTACAACATGGATCTGAGGGTGAAGATTGATTTTTTAAATGGATTTCGGAAATGATGGAAGAAGATACTCACATGATGGGGAACAAGTTCGTCGTACCCACGGTTGCTGCCGGTGGCACAGCAGGCCATGGAAACCAGAGCTGCCGAGGGCAACAGATCGTACACGGAACGCTTTTCCACCGGAGAGGGATTGTCGTGAGTGAGGTCCAGAAAGAGGGCATGAGCCACACTGGTGGCCTCGTGACGCGAGGAGTTCGCAAAGAAGCCACCGACAGGGACACCTCCATACCGGTAGACTAGACGACCCTGCTCATGGGAATCCCAAGCGGAAAGTGCCTCACGAATCAAGGAAGTGATGCCTAAACGGTTAACAAACACGTTGTCGGTGCCATCAGAGTTGGTGAACAACTCTGCCACCACATACAGTTCCGGGTTGATTTTGCGTGCGGCATCCAACAGGTATTCGGCCACGTGCAACGGCGTAGAGTGGCAGTTGTCCAATCGCACTCCGTCGAAGATGCGCGCAGTGGTCTGCACGTACTCGGTCATGTGCTTCCACAGGTAAGGGCTATCTTCCGGTCGCTTGCCGAAGCGCAACTTCACACTATCGCCCCAGGAGATTAGCTCGCGTTTGATGTAGACATTTGCACGTCCCGGCTGCTCCTCAGCGAAGTCTCGCAACGGATCGTCCGATCCCATTACCCAGCCATTGTGGGCCATGAAGAACTCTCCAGCCTTTGAGTACATATCCGCCTCGACCTCAGTTAGTGATTTGCCCTCGGTGCCTGTATGTGTGAAGTAGACCATAAAGACCGAGTGCTTCTCGGAGATCTCCTTCACTTTTGGCCCATCACCCTGGACTCTTTCGTAGCGCACTCCGGATAAAGCATTGTCTATGGCACAGTTGACGTAACCTTGGATCTCGGCCCGCACTCGATCGTTGAGGGAATCCAGATGCCGGCGAAGGGTTTCAGCACACTTGCGGAACCGGGACTCCTCATCGAAGCAGTCGCCATGGAAAGCATTAAAGATCTCCAGCGCCAGCTCGAAATTTATGGTGGTGGCCAAGCGTCGATATTGCGGGTCTTGTATCAGTTGGATTTCGTGGAAGCGATACTCGTTGGCCACGTTCTTTGGCGGCTCGCGAGTTCGCACCTGGGTCATGAACTCGTTGACGTACTTCATCACATCGCACTGATAAAGCTCGTGTATATTGACCTTGGACATGTAGGAGGTATGCAACTGGTACTTTAACGCTTCCAAATGGCACTCCTGCTCGATGACCTGGGGCACTCCGACATGCTCCAGGCTACCCGCGGCAATGTCCGCTCCGCACTGGGCGAATGCGGCGTCCAGCAAGAAAGCGGGACGGAGGTAGGGACAGGTGGCGCACGAGTAGGTAGCATCCGGATGCTGCAGCAGCCACTCGGACTCGTTGGCGGTGTGATTGAGGACAATGTCGCAGATGGAAGCCACCTAAAGAAGAAGAAGAATGGGTTAGAATTTGTGGGATATCAGTCCTTTTGCCCAATCATGTCATTTTCCTTACCCCCCACTCCTGGCGGCACTTCTTGATGACCTTCTCCACCTCCTCGAAGCTGACCTTGCCACCTTTCTGGGGCGCAAAATGGGAGTTGACCTTGAGTTGGTCGCGGAGCGAGTAGCAGGAGCGGGAACCGCCCAACTCCTGAATGGGTGTAAAGTGGATCACATTGTATCCGGCTTCCTTGGCCACGCGCAGCTTCCCCTCCCAGGTGTCCAGCGGCCCCAGGAGCTTGGTCAGCACCGTTTGACAGCGCACCGAGTCCAGGGGAATTGTCTTCTGGGCACCCGGAGGACCCACATGCAGTGTAGGCTCCACTTGGACATAGAGAGCACCATCTGCTCCCGAGCTGCCAGTGTCTGGTCTGAAATTGTAGATAAATTAACTCTAGTCTGGAGAAACGCATTTTGAATCCTTAGCTCTAACTGTATTTGTCTAACTCATCTATCTTAATTGGATAATACCAAAATCACAATTATTGATTTATAATCGATTGATCAGGATAAAAATAAAAATATTAAAAAACAAGAAAGAAAACAAACTTCGGCAAGCCGAAGTTTATATGTATATGTACCCTTGCAGTTATTACAAATTGACCACATTTCGATTTCTATACCTAAATATAAATTATTATATTATATTACTAAAAACTATGAAGCTGTGTCGACTTTGCGCTGCATTTTGCCATCGTTTCTATGACAGCTATATGATTTTGTTGTCCGATAATAATTTAATTAAAACCATAAATCAAAAATATATATAAAAAAATATTACCAAATCCCACAGAACAAAAAAAAAATTAAAAGCAAAGTTATAATTTTTTTGAATTTTTTTTCCAATTGTTCCTAAGGGAGCTATATGATATAGTCGCCCGATCTGGCTCGTTCCGACTTATATACTACCTGCAATAGAAAGACAACTTTTAAAAAAGTTTGTGTAGAAACGGACAGACGGACGGACAGATCGACTCTCCTGGTGATGCTGATCAAGAATATATATACTTTATAGGGTCGGAAATGTCTCCTTCACTGCGTTGAAAACTTTTGAATGAAATTAAAATACTCTCTTCAAGGGTATAAAAATCGTTTTGTGGTTCACATTAACTCAGTATATGGTTTATACATGCTTTTAAATTGATCAAAATTTTAAATTTGTCTAATAACTTAAATTTTGCTAGATGTTTAATTTAGGTAAAAAAAGTTTTTTTTTTTAAGGTTTTCTTGTTGAACAAGTTTTAACCCTTATCATAATCATATGTAATCATTACTCAATTTTCTTCTTATACTGGTAACTCACCTTTCCAGATACCGGAAGTAGAAGTGATAGGTGCCGGACATGTTCAAATCAACCAGACTTCTGATGTCCGTGTCCACCACATGAGCTTCCGGATGCATTACTGACGTAACCTGCTTGCCATTGCTTAGCTGCCATCCCAGAATACGATACTCCGTTCGCACGAACTTCTGACCCTCGGCGGGATAGTTGGTGTACAGGACGATCTTCCTGCCAAGCAGCGAGGCATCGGGGTGGACACTCAGCTTGGAGCCCCTCTTTAGCCGGTACAGCACATGCTCCGCATTCTGACCCTCGCTAATGGGTATGCTGTGCGACTCCGTCTCCTTGCCCATTGTGCTCATCTGAAGGAATCCGGAGAGATTGAGACCGTGAAAGCATTACACAATTGTCAAACGTCACTGCTATTACACATGAACATGATGGGTATTATGCATGGAATGTACAGTCGAACTTTTCTATCTTTATGTCACTATAAGTCGAACCATAGAGATTAGGATTACACTTCTAATCAGTTCTATTTTTAAAAGTGCTGAACACAGAAAAAAAGGTATTAAGAATCGATTGTGGGTTTATATTTTTATCTGATTTTATTTTATGTAGGTTTTTATATAGATAAATTAAAGAATTAAAGAAGAAACCAAATAATATTAAGAACATCGATTCCAAAATCCATTCAGTTAAAATTATGTGGAATATCTAGAGTATTGGTTGAATTCATTGAATTTAGAGTTTCACCAGCTATCCAGATATCCATTTTGAAAGTAATGTTTTCTATTGTTCGACTAATAGAAGTTCCACATATATAGGTAAATCGCGATCGGAAAACGCACAGCCAAAGGCATCTTGTTAAAACACCACCACAGTCCGAGTAGAATTTTAGATGTTTGCCCGTTTGATCGGCGCTTTCAGTGGATGCAACTAGTTTAGTAACCCGGCACAGACTGCAGCATCGCCGGTCGGATTGCATGTTTTATATTCATGGCCGGCACACTCTCATATACACTCCACTAACACACACCCATACTGCCGCCACGGGAACATATAGTTATGGAATATGGACACAACACTGGGACTCCGATCACTGGGCGATGATAATACCTCACGGCGGCGGATGATTTGATTTGATACGATCTCGGCACTGCCTGCATTGCCCATTGCATTCGCATTTGCACTTGGAACGGTTCTAATCGCGACTGATTCTGATTTTCCGGTGGAAATGGCATTGGCATTCTCATTCTCCAGATTCTGTTGCTTCTTCTTTCTTGGTGCTTCCTCTTCATTTTCGATTTGTAACGGTTCGCTATCAACAATCGCTATAAGACCGAGTAGCCATCGGAAGAGCTGATAACGCATCAGGATCTGGAGCAGGCTTCTCCAGAGCCAATGGAATCCCTCGTTCAACATGGCTGCACCTGAAACTGCTTCAATGGTCTACGGAATGCCAGGAATTTTTAGACGCCGCAATCTCAAATGGAGCATTAAACGAAAATATATACTTTTTAATCGCGATAATCGCTCACACAAAAACACATTCGCACTCAGGGGCGTCGGCCAAGGGGGTGAGGTTTTATTTGGGTAGTATATTGAGCGCAAACACGGAAGCCCCTATTTTTTTCGGATGCATTATTATTGACATGTGGCGCCTACGTGAAATATATGGATTTTCACGATTAAACAGACCTTATCAACATTGAAATTTCACTAGCAGGTCAGGGAATAAAAATAATTTTTTTGCACACACCAAGTTCACAGACAAACACACATACACCCTCACATTCGCCTGCATATTTGTATGTAGGTCAATGAATTGCACTTGATTGCCGGTAGATGGCCTTTGAATATGTATTTATAGACATTTTTTAGTAGTCCCGAATTTAGAACACAACAAAAAGTGCTTCATGTGAGTAATATTTTGCCTTTTTTTATCTGATCAAATCTTATCTGCCCACTTTCATTCACATTCACGCTCGGGAAAACTGTTTATTTTCATGGGTATGCAAATTATTTGATTTATTTATTTTATCACTGGTTTTTGATGATTTTTCGTACTTTTTGGGCTGTGTGATGAAGCTGCGAAATTGAACTTTACGTTACCAGCCGAAATTCTTAAGCAATTGATTCGATTCTATTAAGCTCAAGGTGACCTTTGAAGTTTTTGTGGTCATCAGCTGGTTACGCGCTGAAAACAGCCCCCAACAACAATGAAACAGCGAAGCTTGTAAACAAAAAACAGCTGGTTATTATTATTTACACTCAATCTGTATAGATGCCTCTATTTTTGTTGGTTTTTGAAATACAGTTAGGGATCTTATTAATAGTTTTTCAACTATGTACTTTCACATGACCCTTTTAATTGACAAATAAACTGTTGATTTTGTCATAAATCATTTAACTGAGACAAATTTTTGTAATTATTGAGTCGATAAACACATAATGCTGTGGTGAGTATTTTTCAAGGTGGCGTTATCGATAGATCAACAGGTCTCTCTTGGCACCTTTCACATCCATTCACCATGCCAGAGATGGACTAAGATACATCTTCAAATACATTTTTAAATGTTATATCTTTATGTCGTGTTGTTTTATAGAGCAATACAATTTTTGCTTTTAGCTATTAATTCAATTTTTAAAATGACTGCATTCTCAAGTAGGGAATCCAAGATTTCATAAAACCCAATTTGTAAAATTATTTTAGTAATGAGATTAGAAAACAAGCTACCAAAGATTATTAGTAAGCTTACAAAACCAAAAACTCTTATTTTAGCAGTTCTTTTAAATCGCTTCTCTTTCTAAATACAAATAAATTTAATAGGCATTGACCTGGCAAACCTTTAAAGATGCAGCATTTCGACAGGGTGCGCACCATGCTTAAGAAAGTTTTATTTAAGAAAAAATGTTATCGGTAGCGGAAACTGCCATCTCCAGAAACGCACTCTCAGCTCATCTGCGTGGGAAAAATTCAAAGGGTTCCAATTTCATTCATGGTAATGGATGTGCCGATCAAGCTAGAAGTCAAAGTCGAAAACGACGGGGAATGTGCCATTAACGAGGATGAGGCCACGCCGCTCCGGGAAAGTGCTGGCGATTCTCCGCCGCATGCATTTGCCACCGGAGTCCCAATGTCCGGATCAGGTTGGGATAGTGATCCTGAGGATTCTGGCCAGCGATCGGCGCCTCCGACTCCGGGATCCCATTTGGAAAATAATCTGGAAGCCATCGAATGGAAGGCAAAGCCAACGTTTAAAATCGATCCTGATCAACAAATGTTGGACGATATCCTGAACGACCCTTTCCTTTGTGAGACCCCGAAGCCCTGCGATGTGAATTCCAATTCAAAATTGGAGTTGTCAGACGAGCAGGGCAGCCGTAACCGCGATGGACTTCCATGCGATTTTACGAACCGTGAGAGCCTGGAAGACATGGATTTGTGCAGCCTCGAGGCCTCCAAGGATCTGATACCAGAAAATCAACATGGAGCTTCGCAACTAAATAAGCCCGAAGAAGGGGCGGAATCAGAAAATGACGCTGATCTTGTAGCCCAGAAAAAGGAAATTCTAAAGAAGTTAGCGAACGTAAACGGTAAGGAAAAGAAGAAGAAAAAGAAACATAAGAAGGATCGGTCCCACCGCTCGAACAGAGATGAGGAGGAGTCCAAAAAGCGAAAGCGTAATGACAGTTCGCAGGATGAGATCCCGGAGGAGAAAAGACGTAGTAATGGCAAACATCGTGGACGCAAGCATCGCGTCAAAACCGAACAGCCCGAGGAAGAACTGGACTACGTTCCAGTACGAGACGATGAGAAACACATCCGCATGGTTCAAGCCTCAACTCTTTATGAACGACAGCCACAGCAGGCTGAACCAAATACCGAGAATTTTTCCAAAGCAGACAAGCGAAATCTAGCCGTGGCCCGGGCTGAATTGGTACTGGAACTGTTTCAGAAGAAAGCCAACGAAGAAAAGGTCGACGAATACCATATGGTGGACACCGTGTGCAAGCTGCCTATTAACGAGTCCTTCCGGAACCAAAGCTGTTTCGAGAATCCCTCGCCCATTTGCAACAACATGAATGTGGTCTATGAGTTCAATTCCACGCCCGGGACTAAGATTGATTTGGCTAAATGGGGCCTGGAAGTAGTGCCCCGGGCCACTGGGGAGCTGCTTCGCCTGCTGGGCATCGATGTGGCTCGTCTAAAGCAGATCCAAAGCACCACTAAGCCGTCGCAACGAATACTTAAGCTAAAACAGGAGCAACTCGAGCAGGGTCTGGCGCCGGCGGTTGAAATAGAAACAGCCACGCTTTACAAGAATGCAGCGACCCAAACGGAGCGCAGGACCGCTACCCACGATGCCGGCATCCAGGTTCGGTTGGAAACCCCATTTAAAGGTGCTTTCTGGCAGGATTCAAAGTTTAACCAAACGAATTTGACCCAGCAGCAATCGAACGTAATGTACGCTCTGCAGGAGCTCTGCAAGACCCTCCCCGATTCCACCGTGGCCATGACACTTTACAAGGCTCTGGAACCGGCTCTGGCCATTAAACGCACGGCTTCACGTTACTAATAATTAAAATGTTGTTGAACTATTAAATCCAAATATGACTATGTCAAATTATGATTTCCTTTAATTGATAAAGGCTACATAAATTTGAATTGCTTTAATTACCACAAGTGCTTATACCAAATGCTTATTGGAGGACCAACCTTTTGTATTTCTCGAATATATATAATTGTAAATCTCTCGCTCAAAGGTAAAGCAATTGCCAATTGAATTTGTAAATCATCTCGCTCAATGTGTTCTCACTTTCTTTGTATAATTAATAAATACACATATGCACATGCATCATACATTAATATGCACATGCATCATACATTAATAACAATTAGTAAACTTTACAGTGGCTTACAACCAAGACTTGCAAACAAAGTGTCTTTTCCTAGCGTACCGCATGTACGACTATATCATTGTGTAACCCAAAAGTCAGAGTTACCAAAAAATCCTATAGTTATTGGTTAATTGCACTATAACTAATTTGTAACTAAGCGTAGCTGGCACTAGGTTCACCTAGTAGAGAAGATTGTATCATTTGCGCACTGTAAACACGAATGGGGCCGACTCCTCCTCCTCCTGTTGTTCCAGCAAGGTGGTCCTTATCGTGGTCCGGTGCTCCTGGGCCTCCACATCGTCGTAATCCACTGACGACGAACGGAGCAGCTGGAACTGAGAGTTGGAATCGTTGCGGGTGATGATCAGCGAAGCGGGGCGTGGTCCTAAAAATGGGTACAACTTGATTAGGTAAAGTTCTCGATTTTGGTTTAGTAAGCGTCACCTGTTGGCGGCTTGGTCGACAAGCGCTTACTGGCTCCTTGTACTTCCGCCTGGCGCTCGGAAACGTATTCGACATTTGGTGTCAGCTTGGTACTATTATTGTTGTTATTATTGGTTGCCGTTTGTTGGATCGATACCCGTTTGTCGGCCTTGACGCTTCCCTGCTGCTTCAAAATGGAATCCCGACCAGACGGCAGTTGCATGTTGCCAGAGGAGCCGAGCAATGGCGTCGTCATTGCAGCTCCCGCACTCGGCGTGTCGAGTTCTAAAATTCATACGGATGATGGAGATTTAGTTAGGGATCTGGGGGGATTACCCGTCAGAAAGGTGCTATCCCGTAATAGTTATAGTAACCAGGTGAATTAAAGCAACCACTGAACTAAGAACAGGTTAGAGGCAGAACATAAACACATATAGAAAGCTGAATAAAATGCAAGAGGTAAAGAGTTGTTCATAGATTTATCATTTATTTGATGCTTCATCTCTCGCTAGGAATAGACATAGGGTTTAGTGGGGAGTGATTAGAGTACCATTCGGTTAGTTGTTCATGTTTCGTGGGCGATTCACAATTTTAAATGTATCGTGTTTGTGTGTGTGTGTGGCAAATAATTATTAACTAATTTTCGGCATATAACAATTGGAATGATTTAGTAATCGCACAACTCAAATATTAGTAATAGATAATACTGACCGAATCAAAGCCAAGCCAAAGCAAGAGTAAAACAAATAATACGTAAAATTATGTTTCGGATGATATGCTATCGGTTTTGGTCTGGTTTCATTTGGCTAAGGCATTGGTCCAGTGTTCGAATTGTTTCAGTTTGTCAGACTTTAAAAGTTAAGTACGTCTTAACCCCATGCAGCTACATTAGTTTTATGCATAGGTACATCCGTGAGTCACTGGCCTTTCACAGCTTGGTGTCGTCGTAGGCCTGTTCACCAGAGGCATTGGGAATGACCACCACCATGGGCAGGGAACTGGGCTCGTTCAGCAGCTCGCTGCTAATCGAGATTTGGCGTGATGCCCGATGATAACCACCACCACCAAACACCGAGTCTACATGCATTAGGTCGAGCGTGCTACCGCTAAGATCGTTACCATTTCCCAGGTGAAGGCCACCGCCACCTGAAACACCATGGCCACTCGGAGCACCCACCAGAGTACTTAGACTCTGCAGGGAATGTGAGCTGACGCTCCGATTGTACTCCGCATGCAAGTACTGGTTGTTGTTGATGTGGCTTAACTTGACCCCGTACTGCTTCTGATCTTCGGATGGCGATCCGAACTCGGAGGATTCGCGGATGGGTGCTAATTGCAGTTGTGCGGCTGCCGCCAACATCTCACCTGTGGGACTTGGCCGCTCGCTACTGGCCACATCCTCGTAGGCCTCCTCATTCAGAGTCTGTAAGGTGCCGCAGATCATCTGCTCCTCCAGCGTGACCTAGTAATATACGGACTTTATTAGGGAGAGTTCAATATTGGCATACGTTTGATTTGTTATGGGGTTGCACAAATGTGGGCTTAGAAATTTGGGTTTCAGTCAGTGTCTTTTAGTGTCTGAGCTTTACCTGCAAGTACTCGTAGTCATGAACTTTTGACTGCATTTCGTTTCGGTTTGTTTAAATGGTCGGAATAAGAATAGATCAAAGCACATGAGTTAGAGCGAATCGGTCTTTTATAGATAATGCTGCCCGATCCAATAGTTTCTAACCTTATGTGGGCTCATCTTACCTGTTTCTCCATGTGACTAACGGAGTTCTTTCGCGACAAGGACTCTCTGGGTGGCTGCATCAGGGCATCCGTCACATCCTTGATCATCGGAACATTCGATGGTGCCTCTAAGGCGGGGGGCTGCTGCTGCTGACGTGGCTGCTTTCTAGGCAAACGCTCGCACTCCCGCAGCGTGGTGATCAGCAGGCGAAACAGCTCCCAGTGACCAAAACTCAGGCCCAGAACCTGTCCGTAAGGTATAATTATGTAGGGAAAAGTCTAGAATTTCAATATAAACCCTTACCGATTTCAGATCCGGCATATCACAGTGCTTCAGCACACGACCATTGATGGCATTCTCGCGAAGCACGGGCGCTAGTTTGGCCAACGACGGTTTCATGTCCTCAATCCGCTCCAGCAGGCTAATGACTCCCTCCACGGTTAAATCGGTCAACTTGGTTTGCAGGATGTCCTCCTGTTGTATAATATATATATAAGATTAATATAATAATATATAATATATAAGATTACTTACACCAAAAGAATCACTTGGTGAGTTAATCAGTGGAGTAACGGGCTCAGTGCTCGTGCTCAGATTCCTGGAGCGCAGCTCATTGGCAGGATACTCTGGGTTTTGGAACATTTGGTAGGGTGGATAGGCCTGCGGCGAAGGCACATAGGTGGTGGGCGCTGGGAATTGACGCATGGTATTGGAAACGCTGGGTCTCGCTTGTATCACTAGGGAACCCTCGTCCTCGATGGTTTGCTGGTCCTCTGTAAAAGAATTTAGACTTAGTTTTTTATCATCTCAAGTTTATCATAACTCACCCTTTAATACCTTCCTCAAGTAAGGATCCAGGTTAATAGTGAAGGGCAAAAAGATGCGCAAGTCCGCCACTAGTAAATCTGATTTGTGCAACTGCAGGAAAGCGTCCAGCTTTCGTTCATCCCGATCCAACTCCAAAAGCGGAGCTGCCTCTCTTAAATATGCTAGTTTTGGACGCAGTCTAAATGGATTTAGTAGATAATTTAAAATTCTTTTATAAATTTATTAACGTTTTGCCTTACTTCTCATAAACGCTTTGCAGGGACACACTCTCATCTGCGTTGCCATCCATAAATTGATCGTGATGCAGCACTATCATACTTGCTCTCAAGGGCCACTGCTCCGTCAGGTTGATCCAGGAACTAAGACGATACCAGCTGAAGTCAATCTGGAAGGCCTTGAGCAGACGAACCGTGATGTAGATAACGTTCATCAGGCGGCGCATACTTCGCGGATTCACATCGCTGAAGTAATCATCCGTGAGCACGATTCGGGAGAGATCGAGCACCGTCTGCGGATTCTGACCCAGGCGGTGAAGATTGGAACCTGTAGAACTGGCGACGGATTCGGAGAGACGCAGCTTCTTGCCACCACCTCCACGGGCGGGTCCGCGCAGCTTCTCTTGACTGGAGATTATCTCCGACGCGTTTGACAGGCGACGAGCGGATACGGAGTGACCCAATGTGGGTCCATCGTCTGTCTGGTAATCTCCTCCGCCACTTCGTTTAAACAGCAGCGCTGTCATCTGCGCTCGCTGAACTTTCCTGAGGCCGGAGTTCTGCAGATAAACCGGGAGATGCACCAAGTTCCTGAGGAAGTCATGTCCTCCGATTCCACCCTCCGTGAAGAGTCGCCGACTATTGGCCTCCGCTGCTTTGGCAATTACGTGGGGATCCACAGAAATGAGCAGCACAAAGGGTCTGTTAGGTGAAGAGAGAAGTGTTTGCACCGCATTCAATAGAGTAAGAATCCTTTCCGTGTCGCAGGAATCCAGTGCGTCGATCACACCCACCAAGCGACTCTGCTGAGTAGTAAACGCATCCAGGCACTTGACCATGTCCGTCATCACGGCCACTTCTGCGCCCAGCATGGTCAAAGGAGCTGATTCACTGGAACGAACCGCTCTTTTCAGTAATCGGATGTGGGAGGTAAACAATGACATGTAAACCTTGGCCAGGACGTGGAGATGCGTGCAGATCAGAGTGCCCATCACTGCAGCGGTCACATAAAGTCCTACAAGTATTTGTTCCTGATTCTTGTCAAACGTGAAATAGGCGACGATCAAAGATATTCCAGTGACCAGGGTAACCAGTGCTAGTTCAAAGATCAACACGATGGGTATACAGCACATGCGACGCCACCGCCAGCCCACATCCACTTTTAAACACTTGGGACGGAAGGCTCGATACAATCTTGTGGCCAACCATCCGTAGTGAGATTCGATGGCATCGAGGAGGGCAGCCAACATGTGAGCCACTGCTCCATCGCCTGTTGGTGAAGCACTATTCGCCTCCGCAAAGTGAAACCGCACGGGTTTTGCCTGTGAATCCGATTGGGGACCTGGCGGATGGCAAAAGGCCACCTGCAGGATCAGACGCAATCTCGCCATCCTCTTCTCCAGACCGTGTTGCACGGAGTAGGCCCACTGCATATCCATCTGATAGTTGCAGTACCTGACAGCGGCCAGGAGCAGATAGGCGAGCAGCATGAAGCCCACGGCCGAGGACACGCCTACCACCGCCGACCTGGTGCTCAATCCCACAATCGTTCCAATGAGCAAGCCCAGGTGCAGGCAGACGATGAAGAGGAGCCCACTGGTTCGGATCGGAGGTTCTGCCCACTGGCGCGCAAAGTTGTTCATCTCGTCGCGCAGCTTGTTCAGCAGAAAACTCTTCCCACTGCCCCACTTGGCATAGAGTCCAACTGTGATGGGGGTGGTTAACGTCGGCTCACTTAGCACGTCCGCCAAGGCGGAGGAATAGAGTTCGTAGCCCAGCATACCCTCGGAATCCTCGTTCGTGTTCAGCCGTCTAGCGCCAAAAACTTGACCCAGTATGGTCTTCTGGTGCAGGGAGTCAATGTTGTAAGGGGTTTCCCCAGCTTTGTTGGCCCGGTACAAAAGCTGACTGTGCTTGGGATTCCGCAGGAGAGCTTCCACAATCGCCTTGCTCCTCGCCCGCATCGCAATGTGCAGGCAGGTGTCGCCTCTTTTGTCACTTGCAGTCACCTTGGCCTTTCTATCAAGCAACAGGTGGACGATTTCCAAGTTACGATTTCTTACAGCCCTTAAAAGGGGAGTATCTCCATCCTTGGTGGCGGATTCAAGGTCGGGATTTGTGGCCAGCAGTAGCTTAACAATCGGAGTGTGTCCTTTCTCCACCGCGGTGTAAATGGCCGTCTTGCGATCCTTTCCTTGAATATCCACATCAGCATGTTTTTTGAGCAGCGCTTCCACCACAGTTCGATGACCAGCTTTTACGGCATGGATGAGCGGGGTATCTGCTCCACGATCCTGGATATTTATATATGCACCAGCTGCTATAAGGGAGGCGGCTATATCCTGGAAACCCTCACGACTCGCTATGCAAAGAGCGGTCATTCCATCTTTGTCCAAGGCATTTACATTCGGCTTCTTCTCCAGAAGGGAACTCACGCAATCTGTGTGGCCACCGGCGGCTGCAACCAGAAGTGGAGTCCACGAATACATGCCCGCGGTGTCCACATTGGCGCCAGCTTTAACCAAAGTATCCACAATCTCCACATTTCCTCGCCGGCAAGCCCAAACAAGAGCTGTGGTACCATATTTATCGCCGACATTTACTTTAGCGCCGCGTTGCACTAACAGCTCCACAATGTCCTTGTAGCCACGCCCCGCCGCCCACAAAAGGGCACCCAGATGGTAATTACCATGGGCATTGCCATCGGCTCCTTTGTCCAGCAGAAGACGCACTAATTCCGTGTGGCCACGGTAGGCTGCCCACATTAAACTTGTCCAGCCACCCTGGAAAAACATTTAAGGTTTAGCTCGATCTAGGGATTTATTTGGTAGAGTCCACTCACCATATCACGATGCTCTACCTCGGCTCCATGATCCAGCAGCAGTTGAACCACATCGAAGTGTCCGTTGCGGGAGGCACATAGCAGTGCCGTCCAGTTATCCAAATCCTCTGCCTGAACATCGGCACCACGGGCCAGAAATTCCCGGACAAAGGGAGTCAGACCCCGTCCAGCAACTACCATCAACACTGTGGTGGCATTCTGAAAGATATTTGAAAATATGAATAGTGTTAAAAAATTTAAAAAGATATCGTTTGGTGATTTATCTTAATCATTTTAAGACTTTAAAGAATATAATATTTCATAATATGATATTTAATTCTTTGTCATGTTGTAAACATACCTCGTCCCGATCATCGATGGTAAGATGTCGGCTATCCAATATAGCGCGCAGACCGGAAATATCATTATTATCGATGTACTGCAACAAGGCGCGATGTCCCAGTGAACCCATGGAGTCTCCGTAGCGATTTATGTTCTGCACAAAGAGGTTAAGTATTAATAGGCTTTTTCGAAAATTTTGTAATTGAATATCAATTAATAATTAAACCGAACATCATGCAAATAAGAATGTGGTTTTGAGCCAAACTTATACCAGTTATTCGTGTTAAAAAGCAATTAAAAGACAGAAACCATAACTCATATTTAAAAATGTTGTAACGTTTGGTTGGGGAAATACATCGGTTAGAGGACTTCCGTTGCCTTCAGGGTTCATAGTTGAACATTTCGCATGCTTAACTTAATAAATCCAAAAGAATATTTTGTGGTTCTTTTGGAAGTAATTACTTTTTCACATACAGAAATGGTTTATTACAGTGCTAAATTGGTGTAAGGTTAAAATTATCCATAGGTTCATGATTGAGTCACCAAACTTTAGTGCCAATAAATTAATTATAAGGGGTATAAAAAGCCACCACCACCAAATTCATGGGTAATTGTGAAACACAATTCTCCAAGAAATCAGTATACATTGGAGCGATAATAGCGATTTTTATGAAAACTTTCTTAAAATTTCAAAGGATAGTCCCTGGAACTCATATCTTGGCTTTAAGTCCATATTATCTAATCGACTCCCCAGGCAACTTTGGTTTCGTAGTCCCCCGGCAAATAGATATTCGTCTAGTCAGGTAATCGCACATCTTAACGATAACGTCACAGATTGCCGTATTTGATATTTGAACAATTGCCAACCATCATCTCTCACGCATTGCAGTAGCTTTTCTTTAATTTATTTGTTTGTTATAACTAATTTTGTTGAACCTTCGGTTTTTGTGGAGGGTGATGGAGCATTCAATTGAATCAATAGAACATCAACATTTTTGTCTATTGGCTAGGCTAAGTCGGTCTTGCTGTATTCAGATTTGGATTATTTCGCCTTCGCCGTGGGTTTAAGTTTCATTCGAAGGTGTTAAAATGCACTGGGGCATAACGAAGGGAAGTAAAACGGTACAGTAAATACAAATAGGTAAACAAAGTTACCGCTGAATTGACTTATGTTAGATCTAATTGCTGCTTTTTAAGCACCCTAGAACGAATCGAATAATTGCGTATCAGTAAGTAAGGAGTTGTCTGGCCGAAAAGAATAGATAGAAAACAGATTAGTCAGATAGCTCCGATTTACGACTGCAAGTGTGCGGCGTGTGTAAATTTTATTAGTCTCGAATATGTTTATTTATATTTATTATCTCTGAATATGCGTTCAAGCATTGGTATTTCCTCTCTTATTATGTACTGAGGTAAAATTGGAGTGTGCTTTGTATTTTTATCTCTGAATATTTGTTAAACATTAGTGCTTCCTTTTTAGAACCGTATACAAAATCTAGTTTTGTCCAAGAATTTATGTAGAACTAACAAGTCTGACTAATTTAATCAATGGGTGTTGTTGACAATCGAATACTTTACATTTTTCCCCTTTTTTTTCGCCGGTGATCGCAAGTTATTTAAGCTCAGCCGCGAGGCGTTTAGAATCAATTCATCAAAGCTCTTTGATAGTTTCATTTTGTCAGCTGATTCTCGTGCAACAGTCTCCAGTTTTGATTATTTTTGATTTTTATAAATTGTACTTTATTTGATGATATCGCTTTCCGTTTAATTCGTGGTCTTTTGTACGTGCTTCAACTAATAAAACACAATGTAAACATGGAAATTGTATTCAGCATTCGGTCTGCCAGAGATCACTAGTTACACTTTTCTTTGAATGGCACTTTAATTAAGTGCCAGTATGTGCATATTTCTTCATTTTTTCTTTATGGGTTTTCGCTGTTTTTTTTCCGCACTGCAAATTAATTGACAAATTAATTCCTGTGGGTATTTGTTTTCTTGTTGTACACACTGCGCGCTTTTCTTGGCCGATGCAACCTGCCGCCTTAGTAGCTCGTTGACGTCTGACGGCGGTTTATCAAGCGTTTTGTTACCGCTACCGCTCCGCCGGACAGTGCGAAATTAAGTTTACACGCAACCCGAAGCGAGCATCGCTTTTCTGGCCGATTACAGTCGTTGGCGGTGGGTGATGTTTGGCTTTGGTGGCTTCGTGCCGCAAATATAGTAATTGGCCAAAAACCGCCACTCGAAACGTGTTTGCCGATTTTGGAGCTATGGCTTTTGGCCGCTCCTGCTGCCACGAGCGTTGCACAAAGACTGATTGACCAGGTTTTGTGGTCACATCGAGTCTGGTTATTTTTGCACCGCCTTGCGTAAAGAGTTTCACTTGAATTTATGCTTAGAAGAAGGCCGAGTGAAATGAAATAAATTCTGCTGGCTTTATTGATTCCATTAGGTTATTGAACAGCGTGTCATTTGGTTCGGAAACTAATTAATTTTACGCGATAATTAGTTGGCTGCGTGTGGAGTATCGGTTACTTGATAATTATGGCACACTTCGAAAGATTCAGTTATACAGAAGTACCCAATTCCAGAAGTACCAGCGACAGTGATAGAAGGCGATCGATAATATGAAGACGTTTTATGAACGATTGCCAATTTGTATGTTTGTTTTTCGACTTTTCTCAAGTGCCTGCAATTGAGTTGCACGTCACTCGAGTTCGCTTAATGGGTTCTCAGCGTCAAGAGCTGTAGTAATGGGTTAAATTTCGCTGCGTCAGTGGAATCAAAGCCCAGAAGAACATTAGCAAAGTGCTCTTACAGCATCCGGAAAATTAATAGTTTAGGGATTACAGTAAATTCCTGCATATGTAAACGTAGATAAGTTATTCAAGGTGACAGGCAAAAAAAAGTGATTAGGAGCCCTTGAAACAAAACTTAATTTACTTTTTACTAAGATGTGATTTTTAAGTGTAACATGAAGTTAATTATGCTACAATTTTGTTTAAGTAACTTAATCGGATTTATCTTTGAACATTTGGCTTTTTTATTGAACTTAAAATTTTCTATATGCTTATTATCCTGGAACAAAAATATTATAACATATTCAGTATTGTACTTCAATTTTAATTTGATTATATTAGTAAATTTTATAATTTCTTGTTTTTCAGTTATATGAAAATATATATATTTCAGTATTACTATAAGCACAAAATGTTATAGATATGTAGAACGCAATAAACAAAGTAAGATCTTGAAGATAACAAGCATGGCTATTGATTTAATTTAATCGTAAGGAGCAACGAATCAATATTCTGATTTATATTTTAATGAGTTTTAATGTCGATGGTTCAATAAATTTAAATTTTATGAAAGGTGCTGGTAAGGGTGTATATATTTTGTTGGCCCCAACTGTATACTTAAGCCCTGTTCTTGGGTGTGCGAGCAGAGTGAAAGAGTGAAAGAAAGACCATTCTTGGCGCATTAGTGGCACAGAACGAAGCAGTAAACCAAAGTCAGAAAAGAAGAAGCGACTGCAACTGCAACTATTTTTAGATCCAGTGCACGCGACCCATACAGGTTTTTTCGATGGGAGTTATTCCCGGTTGTGTGCGATTGAGAGTGTGTCTGTGGGTATTTATGTACATGGGGTTAGGCCAATCTCAGGGGTTAGGATCCAACAAGCGGCAGAGCAACAAGGTTACAACACCAACTTAGCCAGGATAATTGGCATTTACGTGGGCATGGATGTGGGAGAAGCGACGCAGGGCCAGATTGAAGTGACTGAAACGGCGGGAAGGACTTTGGTTGGAGTGCTCCTCGTGCTCCTGGTTGGATAACTCCTTGCCCTCCGCCGCAGCCACCGCAGCATCCGTCTCCTCTTCGATGTCGATCACGAAACGGGGCAGGGAGCTATGGGGTTTCCTCTCGGTTCCATAGCCTCGATGGGGATGGCGCGCATTCCTGTGGTTACTCGTGGTTATCACTCGCTCCTCGCTCTCCAGCAGTGGTTGGTGTAGGGATTGGATGTCATGATGGTGTAGATTGCTCACTAGAGCTCCGATGGTCGAGTGACCAGTGGATCTACTGGGTGAGCTTGCGGCTGGAGTTGTGTTTGTGCTCTCAGAGATGGGTGTCTCTTCGGTGACCGACGCCTTCTTTTGTGGCTTACGTGAGTGACCATCTTTCGGCATGACTGCTGATCTGGGTTACGGTTGTATATACGATGGTTTTCAGGTGACTATCGCGAGATGTTTTAGTGCTCTCGTTTATCTAGGACGTGGCTTAGTTAGTATATCATTATTTACGTGACTTAAATCGCTACGAAAGCTTTGCGCTCTATGGCAGTTTAGCTTTATGGAACTATTAATGTTTTTATGATTGACATGTCTTGGTCTAATTAAAGCTGGCTGAATGGAATAGCAATGAAAGCCATTCCCTTAATGAATCATAATTGACTGATTGATGCAATTCCATTGGGGTGGACCCGAACACAAGGCCTGTCGATCAAGTCAGCTTTAGTTCGAGATTCCCTTGAAGAGAAGGGTGGACAGGCTGATAACACACACCTAATACTAGAAAACTGACAACGGTTGGATAACAGCGAGTCTTTCTATCACATGATATCTGTTGCCAGTTTTGCCGATAGGAAAGGAGCGCATCTCGACTATAAAGTTTTTACTTGCACAACACGTATCACGAATATAGGGACTATATTATACCCGGAACACACCTCACTCCCACCCGGGTTCGTCTTTAGGCGGGACTTGAACATTTTCGCCAAACTCTCGCCACTCAGTTCCGTTTTGAAGGCTGCCTTGCAATCGATAGAAGAGATGTACTATATTTATATTTTCGGAATTCGATTTGGAGCCGCCGAGTGTTCGTCGGGCATCGACCGCCGCCAGTAAACTGTCCGCACTTTGCATGGAAGCATCATATAAATGCCTTCGCGACGGGCACCAAACGATCCGCTCTCTATTTAGTTTTCATTAATTGGGCAAACAGCTCTGATAGCCTGATAACTCGGATAAGCAATGGATACTAGCATGTATATAACAGCTTCCTTATAAACAAAAGACAACACACAATAATTATCGTGTTAATTACCTTTTCTTTATTTCCCCCAAAGACAAATAGAAGTGAGATTCACACCGGAAAGGGGTGAGCAGATTCGGTTATCATTAAAGATTTGGAAACTTGGGCATATCCTTTAAAATCATTTACATACATAATGGATAAGGGATTACCGGCATTTAATTTAGCTAAACACAGTTGTATTTGTAAAAGGACGACGAAGATTTTAAGACCATTTTTATAAAAAATGTTCGCAACAAAATATTTAATATATTTACTTGGACGAATAATTTATTTAATATTAAAAAGGGATCTTTCAAAATTTTAATTATAAACATATTTTCAATCAAATTAATTGAATTTATCTTAAGTATTCAAGTGTTCATTTTAAACCACTTATTTGCTTAGAGGGAAATAAATATGAGTAAATAAGCATACATTTTTTTTAAAATAATATTTCTGTAAAGTTTGATAATTATCACGCTTTGTATTTTAACAAACTTTTTGTTGCATCTTTGTGCAAACAAATATAAAAAGGGCAGCATACTTTCGGGATTGAGCCATAAAGTTTATGTAGAATTGATTTGTAGAGCTGTGACTATCAAAAGCAATATGATGTATAAGAAGGTGTATTTCTATATAGAAGGGTGTGGACGATTCGGGGCGCCGCGACTAATTGAGACGATAAAACAAACAGATGGAAAACCGTTTGCGTTATCGGTTAAACAATCTGCTCTGCAAACGTATGGAGCAGTATCCGATAAGCAATCGCCGTAATACGTAACATATGCCCACTAAGCTCTGCTTTTGAACCGGAACACCCACCTGGCTGGGATTACCACCTCGGCCAAAGGAGCCGCGGAGGAGTCCGAAGGGGAAGATGCTGCCGTAGCCACTTTGATCGACCCGCCGATCCTGTCCAGTACCGCTTGTCGTTGGTGTATCCGGCAAGGGATCCGGATTTAGGGGCGACATCTCCGAGTAGGCACGGCCCACAAGGTGAAGTTTGGGTGTGCGTCGCATTTTTATACAATTACAAGCGGTTAATTATGAGGTAATTGAAGAACACCTTTATCTTTTATCAGTTTTACAGCGCAAATATTTGTTTCCCCCTTTCTTGGGGCTCACACAAAACTGAGCATCTCCTAACGAAAGCGGTGAAATATACGCCAAAGCTCCGATAGGCATATAATATATTTTGTCAGGGCAAATTGGCAAAAACGAGATTACAATCTATTTGAATTATATTTAAATAACACACCGATTAGAGGAGCGCACGCGGCGCGCTCTGCTGGAAAACTAAATGGAATTGGAAGCGAAACCGCTGGCGCAGAAAGAGAACGAACACTAGTCAATCGCTCTCCTGGCTCTCCTTTGTTTTACATTTCTTTTTTGTTTTTTGATAAAATGCGAAACTGTAACCCCAAAAACGACGGTGTTTATCAAACTAGGCGTGTGTGCCCAGCCACACACGTGATACGCGAATGTGGGTGATGTCGCAATGAAAACAAAAGCGAAGAGTTAACTAGACTAAGAACCACCGAAGCGTTCAATACCCTTGTTTAAACAATGAAAATTCCGAGGTTTTCCTTCACATAAACTTGGTATCATTATTATGTATTACCTAATGAATTCCTTGACAGTCCACAAGTCTTTATAAAAAAAAAATCGGTAACATATTTTAGAATTTGCGAAAAGAGCATAGTTAAAATATCAAAATTAAAATGGCGGTATTTATTCTGGGTTTAGTCCGTATTTGAATTCATTGTAACAAAATGCAATAGAAATTAGTTAAACATTTGGGAAGTGAGACATTTAATCGAAATAATATCTTAAAACTTGTCTAATGAAGATAGTTAAAACATTAAATAAATATTTAAAAAATTAAAATTTTTTCGAACTACACTATGTTACGAAATATGATATTTACCTAACAATATTGAAAGCACCGCATCTGGCCACAAAATCTTGGATCATTTTTAAATGAATAACAGGCAAGAGGATTCTTGTTTTTTGAAAATAATTCGTAATAGTGTCAAGTGGATTATTGGCTTATGTACAAACTTTTTAAAAAAAATTTTAGGATTTGTTTTTTTTTAATTTTGTTTGAAAAAATGTATAATGTATTAATTACGAATCCATTTGCAATTAAATTATTAACGTATTAATTTAAGTGTTTACATATTTTATGCATTTGTCACGGTCGAGCAATAATGAATTAGAACGCTATATTAAAACTCGAGCTTTAGTTATTCAAAATTAATTCTGGACACAAAGAAAAAGAAATCAGCAAATATTGAAATTATTCGAGTTGATTTAGCTTTATCCATAGGGAAATCTAATCAGGAAATGATTGCCCAAAGACTTTTACAAGGGTATAAGACATTGTAAAAATGTTAATCATTACATTTTTTCAATTTATAAATATGGAAATACTTACTAATCATAACACAACAAATTTTAATTCAGTGAGTAATACAACTGACTCAAGTTTCTTTGGGAAATGACAATAAAAGCTTTTATAAAGGATAATCATTTCTTGAGGATCACTGTATCCAATAACTTTGCTTATTTCGACACTCACTCACTTGGGAATTCGAGATACGTCTGTCGCCATTTGCTGAGATTGCCAAGTGGGATTCCATGAAATGAGAAATGGAATACACCGGAAGACTTTCAACCATATTCACGATTTTTCACTATATTTTGCTTTGCGTCAGGTGCCGCGACGATACGAAAACAAACTGAGACAGACACTTTACTTGATGAAATCAGGTGCGATCAATGATTGCCGAATGTTTGATTTATCTCTCAAATTAGCATATATTTGTGAGGCGGTTGAGTTAAAGAAGATCTCAAGTACCTTTGCAGATTTAGACTCCATCGCTTGACAAGATCGTCGTGGAAAAATATAGAAATCAATACACGATCAGTTCAAATTAGCACATTAAATTTGACGAGCATTCAATAATTGCCGATGATGTATTGAAATTGTATATCTTGATAGCATTTAAGCTAGCTCGCCACTTTGGGGATATAGAATGTGGAGTGCACGATAACGGGAAAGATAAAGAGTGCCTTACTTTTGAGTAAGGTATTATGACAGATTACAGGGGAAACAAGAAAAAAAACCTATAGCCGATAGCGCTCCCTTCAAAAGTAAACAAATAACTAAATTAAACTGATGACGATTTCTAGATGAAAGCGAAAATCATAGGGGGTTCAGAAATATTATTATTATAAAAATAAATACGGCTGTAAGTGTGTGTGAATTGCAAGTTCTAGGTCTCTAAGTTTATTTATGTAAACTACTTATACTTTGGTGTGTGTGGGGAACTCAAGAGCGAAATACAATGGAGAATAAATCATCTATTTCAGTGTACAACTTATTAGCACATTTTGAGGCTACTCGTGGGCTACTACTATAATAGTATTCTATTTAATTATCGGAGTCGGTCGTGTCTACAAACAAAAGTAAGCGCATAACTATGGGACCGCCGAATCTTCGGATCGGGTTAGAACCGGATGGGCTTACCTGTTGACTGGATCAAGGGCATATATATCTGCGGGTATCCGGATTATCGGGGATATTCTCGGGATGTGGGATCTCAAAACGGAATGAAAACAAACGACAGCTGAGCAGCATTCATTACCAGCTGAGCGCACGTGTAACTGTATCTGTATCCGCGTAGCCGTATCTGTGTGGGTGCGAGTATCTGTGTTTGGGTGCCAACTGAAACGTCGATAAAATATTTTTCTTCAACGGCACAAAGAACACTCGTCACTCAAGTAATTGTCTAGCAAAACAAATATTTCCAGTGCATTCACAAAAACAAAGTGTCACACGAAGATTAAAGACTTTTTGTTTGAGCAAATTACGGCACTTTTGCGAGTGTTTTATTTTCGCCCGCACTTCACTAATAAAACATTACACAATCAAGTCAGTGAAAGCTGGTGTTACTTTGCCAACTACTATTGCCATTTAACTATTATCTGCGTATTTTTATTCGCGAGCGACGAGCGAAATTCGCAGCTCCTTCATGTGTCTTTTTAGGGTTGCCACCCAAACGAAACTACTTTTATGGCTCGCCATCCCTTATGGAGTTGCCAGAATGTTTTAATCAGAAATTTCCCAAATACACCAAACGCCTTTTCTGCCGCCTAATTTTACAACGCCGCAATTGGAAAACTTTAACAAAATTGTTAAAATGTCTGTCAGCAAACTAAATCCCCGGGAATCTGGCGACTATATCGTTAAGCATGCTCAGCATGTTCGTGTTCTGCCCGCCGGCATTGAAAAACTAACCCAGGAAATCGTAAAAGGTCTAATAGAAAAGCGCATTTCTGTGGAAAACTTCTCGCAGCACGAATTGCATCCTAATCCGAACACGAATCAGGCGGAGGATTATTCCAAAGCAGCCGATTGGGTTTTTGTGCTGGACACCCTTAACTTTTGCTTTTGGACACCCAGTGAGTATATAACTAGCTATAAAATTGAGCAACATCTCTTATCTTTAAGCGTAATCCTCCACAGATAACTATACGAAATACAAGGTCGAAGGCTATACCGGCTACTTTTCGCTTTGTGCCGCTGTGAAAAGAGCCATCAAAGAAGGTGTGGATGTGATCAATCCCAAGATCTACTCCACGATCGACCTGGAAACCCTGGAGAAGATTTTCCGCTCTGACGATGGGGAGACCAATATTCCCCTGATTCAAGAGCGCCTTGATTCACTTCATGAAGTGGGAAAAGTTCTGATCGAAAAGTATAATGGCAGCTTTGAAAACGTGATCAAGGCAGCCGATAAATCAGCGGTACGACTGCTGGATCTTATTGTGGAGGAGTTTGCTTGCTTTCGGGATGAGGCGGAATTCGCTGGGAAACGCGTTTCCATCCTGAAGCGAGCACAAATCCTGGTGGGCGATGTGTGGTCCTGCTACAGAGGCCAAGGACTTGGCTACTTCAAGGACATCGAACAGATAACAATGTTTGCAGACTACCGCATTCCCCAGGTGCTGGTGCACTTTGGTAGTTTGGAGTACAACAAAGAGTTAATGGAGCTCCTAAAATCCGACACCATTTTGGAGAACGGCGATCCCCGGGAGGTGGAGATACGCGGCGCATCCATATACATCATTGAACAGGTCAGGGATTCTGTGGTGAAGATACTCCAGGAGCAACACCCCGAGATCTCGCTGGATAATGTAAACTCCATTGCGATCGATCAGTATCTATGGGACTACCGGCGTCAGCATAATGCAGATTTAGAGCACATCCCATTCCACAAGGTGCTCAGTATCTACTACTAGGCAAGGGAGGAATACCAATAAAGTCGACGGATGAGTTTGTTAAATTGCTTTGTCCTTTAATGATCTTAAATCGGGGGCAATCTACAACGTGACGGGCTTAGTCTTGCCCTGCTGGGCAGCGATGCGCTCGTTGTATCGCTTCACGGATTCCTCGCGGGAAAGGTTTCCCTTGCGGGCATAACGCTGGTTGATCAGGAACTTCACATCCATCTGTCAAGCAATTAGAACTGGTTAATGGTCCCCACTATCAAGGTGCTTCCAAATACTTACACCCAGGGTGGACTCGTGGCGCTTGCGCATCGGGCGCTTGATGCCATTGCGATGGGCCTTCTTGTTCTGGTTGTGATTTGTGTGGTTCTTGGACTTGGCCATCTTAAACTATTCCCAATATCCACGCACATGAAAACAGAAAGAAGCTTGTGTTAATCACCGCCGTTGCTAAACTTCGATAAAAACCCAATATATGGTGGATTTTTCATTGTAATAATCGTATTTCTGACACCTACGTTTTTCGCACACTGGAATTCCTAGCTGCAAATAAAGAATTTATGAGTAAATCCTTGAAGTAAAAAAAAACGCGGAGCACACTTACGGAAACGCGATGGAAAAGAAGGGCAAGTTAGTGTGGCTGGGACTGGGCAAATAAAAGGGGCTAAATAATGCCAACCACGTGAAGTTATCGTGCTGTTAGGCGCACTAAGTTCCATCACTACTGTTAAACACGGAACAAAATTCAAAATATACACTAAAGTAAAGACCGCCACCAACAAAATCACAAAATTTCATTGATCATAGACCATTTTCGTATTTTTATTATGCAGGGAATGTTCATACCTGAATTTTCTAACTAATTAATGATTTTGCTTAACTTTAAACTTGTGAAAACTACATAATATAAGAAGATTCCGATCTATTCTAAAGAAGGTTTCTTCATTTTAAGCTTGTGGATATAATTTCCTCAGAGATTTTTAACTATAAAATTCTGAAAAATAACAATAACTTTTATGATGATTTGTTAAATATTCTGTATTATGTTAAAAACCTACCAAATCTGGTATAAAATATTAACACCCAACGATAGTTTTTTCCTATCGTACGAGCGTCATACACTAATGCGTTGAGGTCTGGATTTGTTTTGTTTGTATTGCAAAAATAAACAGATTCCTAAAAAAACGTAGCTTTTCAGTTAATATAAAATATAAATACGATGCCACTTACTGCAGAGAGTGCAGCCCAACAGATTCAGGTAAAGTATTATAAATTAATGCAATGTTTGTAATAATATTTAACCAACTTTTTTGCAGGATCGCCTGAAGGATATTCAACAACATATTCATATTGTGGACGAGGAGCGTCGTCGGGCGGAGAACTCAATTTCCAGCCTGGTGCGATCGCTTCATGCCACCAATCAGAAGGTCAAGCCCCTCCTCAAAGCCAGTTTAATGGAGGCTTCGCAGGAGGAGGCCACAATTCGTGCAGCATTGGCCAAAATCCACGAGATTCGCAGCATTCGGAATGAAAGACGCATTCAAGGTGAGTATGCCATGGGGTTTATTGACAGGACTTACCCTTACTTTAACCACAGCTCGCAATGCTGGAAATAAGGAGGCTATCCGACGAGGAGCCCTCATGAAAATGGTGCAATTATCGGCACAAACGCTGCCTTTGTTTGTCGGCAAACTTGGAGAACGTGCACCTGCTTTATGTGGCTGCATTCCAGCCGAGGGAAACTATGTGGCAAAGGTAAGATTATAAATTTCCAAAAAAAATATGCATGTATTTATTTGGATTGCAGAACATTATAAACTTTAATTTCAACATAATAATGTTTTTATTAATTAAAAAAAACAATACCTATTACTTCTTATTTAAATTTTAATTGATATCCTTCCTTTTCTATATTGAGAAAGTTTTTTATAATTTTCCTGATATAAATTAACGAATCTCGATTAACATACATAGGTTGGCGACAACGTGGCAGCCTTAGCCAAGGGAATCGACGAGGAGGAGAACTGGATCCTGGCGGAGGTTGTGCAGTTCCTCCACCGCCAGAACAAATACGACGTAATTGACATTGACGAAGAGCAGAAGGACCGCCATGTGCTGAGCAAGCGTAAGGTCATTCCACTGCCTCTGATGCGTGCGAATCCTGAGACTGATGGTCACGCCCTGTTCCCCAAAGACACAGTGGTAATGGCGCTATATCCGCAGACCACATGCTTCTACAAGGCCATCGTTCATCGCCTGCCGCAGACTGCCACTGAGGACTACGAGGTGCTTTTTGAGGATTCCTCGTACCTGAATGGCTACGCAGAACCTCTGCCGGTGGCCCAGCGCTATGTGATTGCCTACCGCCCCACGAAAAAGGGCGCCGGCAGTGGCAGCGGGAATCTCTCATCGGCTTAGGCAACTATAATATTTAAATTTTAATACAGCGAATAGAAGAACCCTTATCTTTAAAATATTTGGTATTTTACAAATAGACTTGTAACTTACATTTAATTTTAATAGTCTTTTCTAAATCTGAAAATTTAAGCTTTTGTTTTAAATGGAATTCTTTATAAATATCAAGTTATCATGTTATTTATGAATATACAAAAGCTATCTTTACTGTTTTCCAGCATTTGTATTGTTATTATTATTTATTATTTGATTAACGCCCTGCTACTCTACTCTACTATAAGTAAATTGCAGTCATTCCTAGGTATTTTTTGATTTTATTAAGCCTTTAAATAACAAATAAAGTATATTTGTACAATTGGTAGATTTATTAAAATAAAATGCAAGCTTTTATGGTAATTGGTAATATGTTCTTATATTTATAAGTTATATAAATTCGAACATTTAGCGTATTCTTCATTAATGATTTCTAAAAACCTTTAAATTAAAGGAAAATGATTTAACTTTTTGTCTTGATAAAAATTAAAATCAATTAAGGGGTTATCCGGGTCTTGGAGCACGTGAATTTTTTTTAAAGATCTTACGGAAATTTCACAAATTTAATTTATTGTACATTAATGTTTATGGTTTGACCAACATTGTGTAAAAATTTGAACCAAAAATTTTTAAAATTGAGCCGTTGAGGCAGGCTTGAACTTGACCTCATAAAAAATTGTGTCCTTGCGGTAGGCAAAATATCTCCGCCAATTTTTATCTGAAATCAAAAAACCAAAATTATTCTGATAGTGAATGTGTCTCGCTTGTCCTCTACGAGCCATTTTTTTTAAAGTTAAAAATTGAATTTTTGTAGCGCTTTTCATAAAAAGTGTCATTTTTTACGTAAATTTTGGCCATATTTTGGCTTATAAAATGAGTTGTAATTAAAAATTTAAAAAATCCCTCCGTTAGGGACAAGAGAATTATGTTTAAAAGAAGTGTGCAAAAGAAGAAGTTGATCGGTGCAATAGTTTTTGAGAAATCGTGACTACCGACTTCAAAAAAGTGGTGGTGCCCGACGCCAGAGCCCGAATGGCCCGTTGTGACGTTCGACGCGCTGGGCTTTAAATTTCTTTCATTCCTACAGTTTTGCTTCGATCGACTTGAAATTTTTAGACAACATTCCTGAAACTTTGTACTATTATATAAAAAAGTTTGAAAAAAAAGAATTTTTTGAAGTGTCAAGACCCGGATAACCCCTTAATGTATTCACAGTCAAAGTTTCCCACCATGGTTTGTGTCTGTGATAAAAATAAGTATTTTTTCAGAGGTATGCGTCACGGTCACGTTAATTTCCCTAGTTAAAAAAGTTTAAAGTAAGTTCGTAGCAAAACAAAGAAAAAAGGCAGCTAAATAATATGAGCGAAACGGGCTTAGCGACGCAAAATAATGTCACCGTGGAAAATGTGAACTGCTTTGACATCCTGAAAGTATCCGTGCTCTTCGAGAGCAGCCTACTGCAGGACAATGACGTCCAAATGGACGCATACTTGGCAGCCTACGAAGAAATAATGAAGTATATGAGAATATCTTAGCGGGAAATAGAGCTCTACATAGTTTGGTTGCTTTTCAGATTCTTCCAGCTGATGGGCAGTGTCTTCAGCTTTGTCAGCAGCGATGTGCGCAGCAAAATAGATATATTATACGCTCTGAGGGCAACGGATACGGAGGAGCAGCAGCACTTTAATTCCATTCGTACCATGTTGGAGTATGAGAAGGAGGCCCAGTTGCTCAACCAGAAAGGCTATGTGTCCGGAAGTCGCACTCTGCTACGACTTCATCGCGGGTTGGGTGAGTGATGTGGAACACCAACTGCCACATCGGCTAATTGATTGTTTCTGTCTTATCTAGAGTTTGTCTACGAGTTTCTCAATCGGATCCAAGCGATACCCGACGACGAGAAGACCGTGGAAGTTTGCAAAGCGGCCTACGATGACACCCTGGGAAAACATCACTCGTTCCTCATCCGGAAAGGGGCCCGTCTGGCCATGTATGCCATGCCCACGAGGGGTGATCTCCTGAAGAAGGTCTGCTCCAACGTCGAAGTGGCCAAGGAGAACCTGCCAACAATGCTGGATCACATGCGAACGAACTATGATCGGACGGAACAGCTTTATACTCTCCACGATCTTCACAGCCTGCCTTAAAATCTACCAAGTATCTGGGGTGCGCAAAAGATCTGATAAAGTGATAGATTGACAATGGTTTATCACAAAGGCTTAACTCTTAAACGAAAAAAGTAGCTTTCAACATGATATTATACTTTTATGATATAAATCTGTAACGAATCCCATTGATATTTACCACTCTATCAGATCTAGGGGACTACCCCAACCTAGTTTATATAGCTTAAATTGTCTGTGTTTAGTGCAACTACAAGTATTTGTTTCCTAAAGCCTGTAAGTTTTAATATTGCATTTTAAATGGCCTGCAATAGCTCATATATCGCCTTGTCCACAGGCTGTGCAATGTTTCCCGCATCCCCTATATTTTAAGGCCATAAAAGCTTTAGTCATGAATGAAAACTTGTCTTATCTGTGTATTGAACTTGGACAACCCGAACAAACATAGTTTCTTGTGTTTGTGCCGAAAATAACAGCATAATAAGTGGGCTTGATTAGATAAGCTTCTGGGTATGTCAACTTAAATTGCGCTGCCTCATAAAAAGCCAACTTCGGATACCGGGCTATCTGGGTGTTATTATGGTCCAAGACAAAGACGCTATAACTCCCGCATATCCCCAGAATTCGGTCAAGATTTATGGCCGTACTTAGTTTTAAAGATCTAATTTTGGTGTGCAAATTGCAGCAATGGCCGCCACTTAAATTGCAGACTAATAGCGCTATCGATTACGTCTTAGTCACTATCATTACTTATCACCATCAAAATGCTAGAAACAGGCAAAAAACGTGTTGACCACTTTATCGCTGGACGGACTGGCGTTGTGCCAAGTGCAAAAGCGAAGAAGATGGTGGCTCTCCGGACAAACAATCAACCGACGTCACCACTCCGTCTGGAAGCGTTAAAATCATTAAAAGCGCCTTTACTCGGCCGTTTTGGCTCATTTTGAATCCGTCAAGCGCCGCGAACATTTCATATGGAGACATGGATGCTTCCAAGCAAACGAATCCGAAACGCGAGCCTAATCCGTTTATCAAGGCCAATATTATCTCCAAATGGCTGTTCCTGTGAGTCGTCATTTTTTGTATGGGTGGAAAGTGAAAATCTCTTTGGAAAATGAATCATAGAAAACTAATCCATGGCCATGGTCAACCAGTGAATAGTTTACGACACGCGATAAAGTCCTAGTGATAATTTGTGCTCGGTAGTGCTTATAAACCATGTCTAGATCCTCAGATCCCAAAAGTGCCTAGGCTTCTGCCCCGGAATATCCTATTTAATAGATTCCATTAAGTTTATACGATTGTACAAAATATATGGTATCGGTTTAAGCATATTCTTTTTCAACCCTTTTTCTTTTTTAAAAACCAATCCATTTTTATATAAATCAAATTGTGAAGTGAATTTGAAAAGATTTATAAAATTTTTTTTTAAAGTGAACGAAAAATAATAAGTTTTATATACTTTTCAATATATCAGTTTTTATATGATTTTAAACAATGCAGTTTGTCAATAAATTGTTCGATGATTGGATGGCAGTTACCTATAGTCGTTCAAAATTACATAAATCGTAAATAATATTATGTAGCCATATTAAAATTTTTTTTCATTTTCGGATCTTACTTATGGTATCTATATGTTATGATATAAAGGCCTGTCCTCATATCGTTCCTTTATCTGGAATGCAATGTCTCCTGGGCGTAGCAAACTTCCGACTGAAATTGTAACACCCCCTGCTAAATTATGAAAATAGGCAATGTAAATATAATTGTAAATTTTCCATGGTCAACTTAATCCAGAATCTTAAAATATTTTATTTCGCAATTTTGAATGACCATTGGGAGTCACGTAGTAGTGCTTGGGATCAGTGCCTGTCACTTCATAGACACCCATGGTGGAGAAACATCGATAAGATACTAAATTACTTATCAATTTTCCTTTTTTAGATGGATGCACAGTGTTTTCCGCAAGGGCAGACGTGAGGAGTTGGACTCAAGTAAATTGTACGAACACCTGCCAAGCTTCGACAGTGAATCCCTGACTAGGAATCTTCAGCCCCACTGGGAGAAGGAGTCCAAGACCAAAAATCCTAGTCTAATGCGACTGATCTTCCGTGTTTACGGCTGGCAGTTTGTTCCCGTCTGTGTGTTATATTCTTTGTTGGAAATGGCCATACAGTGAGTAGAAAACTTATTTTAATTGATCTAATTGTGGATTAATATTATTGGAATTATATTAATTAGATATAAGGGTCTTTAAAGAATTAAAATTGTGTTAGTCTGAAAAACCTGTTAAGGGAAATGAATTTTGGAAAACCCTAACTTGAATCATGTACTTAATTAAAACTAAGGTCTGCTAAGTATATACATAAGCTTCCTCAAATGATCTTATCGTATTATTTCTGAAATTAAAATGCAATTTGTTTTGCAAAATAATGAATCATGTCGTTTTATAATAAGATGTTTCTTTTCTTATTTCGCTTTTATCACAGCTCCTTTCAGCCGTTGTTGCTTGGAGGATTGATATCGTACTTTGCATATGGACAGACGACAGTGACCAAGGAGAGTGCCTACCTCTATGCCATGGGCATCGTCCTGTGTTCCCTGGTCACCTCTTTGGTGTTCCATCCCTTCATGTTCCATGTTTTTGCGGTTGGAACGAGAGTGAGATTAGCCTGCGCCGGCCTGGTTTATCGCAAATGTCTTCGAGCCTCGGCGAGCAGTGGCGAAGGACTCGGAGCACTGGCCATTTCGGTGATGTCCATCGATCTCTCCCAATTCGACTTGACCTTCTACTTCTTTCACGACTTGTGGAAGGGTCCTGTGGAGGCCTGCATCTTTGGCTACCTTATGTACCGCCAGGTGGGCTGGACATCCCTGATCGGGATCGCCTTCATCGTGATTTTGATACCTCTCCAAGCTTGGGCCGCCAAAGCTGCTGCACATTTCGGCTCCCAATCCGCGAAGCATCGAGATGAGCGGGTTAAACTCATGAATGAAATAATCAGTGCCATTCAGGTAATCAAGATGTATGCGTGGGAGAAGTCCTTTGGACGACTGATTGCCTCAGTACGCCAGTCGGAGGTAAAGGCCATCCGGGGATCCATGAGTATCTACGCCGCATTGCAGTGCACTAATATGATCTCAAAGATATCGCTCTTTCTCAGCCTTGTGGCCTATGTTTATGTGGGTGATCTTGTGACCGCCAAGAAGGTGTTTATCCTGTCATCCTACTATGGATTACTGAACGATTCCCTGCTGCACTACTGGCCCATGGCCATTACCACTTGGGCTCAGACATTGGTTAGTGCCCGCCGAGTGGTGGAGTTCCTCCTCCAAGTGGAGAAGCCTGAAGAAGAATCCTGCTGCCGAGACAATCCAGGATTGGAGTTGGATGCGGAGAAACCAAAACCAGCGCAGAGTGGTCGTCTCCATTGCGTGAAAAGTGAGGCGAAGTGCCTGAGTTTCCGGAAAGTCAGCGCCAGTTGGGACAAACCGAGCATAAAGCATCCCAGGAAGCCCCATATTCAGGGCATATCGTTCCACATTAACGCCGATCAATTTGTGGGCATTGTGGGCAACGTGGGCTCTGGAAAGAGCACCCTACTCCATGCCATTCTCGGAGAGATTGAGCTGATGCAGGGACGTGTGGAGATCCATGGCAGGATTAGCTACGCTGCACAGCAACCGTGGGTGTTCCAGGGCAGCATCAGGGAGAATATTCTTTTTGTAGAGCAGTACGAGGAGAAGCGATATCGAGCAGTGGTCCATGCCTGCCAGTTGGACAGAGATCTGGAACTGCTACCTCGAGGGGATGCCACCGTTGTGGGCGAGCGAGGAATCAGTCTGAGTGGTGGTCAAAAGGCCAGGATTGCTCTAGCCAGAGCTGTGTATCGTCAGGCTGATATCTACCTATTTGATGATCCCCTAGCCGCCGTTGATGCCCAAGTGGGCAAACTCCTAATGGACAAGTGCTTCCATCGACTGTTGGCCGGAAAAATGCGCATTCTGGTCACCCATCATGTCCAGCTGCTAAAAACTGTGGATCACCTGCTGCTTTTGGAAGGAGGAAAACTCACCCAGCAGGGTAGCTATGAGGAACTGAAAGATGTGATCACCCATCATGCTGCTCTGGATCTGGAGGCCATCGAAGCGGATAAGCAGCAGGTAAAGCGAGTGCTCAGTCAGGTGGACAGGACCTCCAAGCAGCTCAGCAACGGCGAGGGGGAGGATCCAACCGCTAACCAAGATGAGGATGGCCATGCAGAGCAGCTACTACAGGGAGCCGTGAGCTACGATACCTACAAGGCTTACTTTCGGGCTCTGGGAGCTCCATTCTTGGTCTGCTTGGTACTCTCCATGTTTGTCTTTGCCCGAGGATGCCAGGCACTTATGGACATCTTTATCTCGCGATGGGCTACTTGGGAGGAGGATCGCGGCTATGATTCGGTGGATGACTACGAAGCCACTCGGACTAAGATGGTCATCTGGTACACTGTGCTCCTATTGCTCACATTAGCCCTGTTCCTGCTGCGCACCTTTGGCTTCTTTTTCATGTGCCTGCGAATCTCATTGACGCTTCACGATCAGCTTTACCATGGTATTATCCGCGCCTGGATGTATTTCTTCAATGCAAATCCTTCAGGAAGAGTACTCAACCGCTTTTCCAGTGACATTCAGAACGTGGATGTGAACCTCCCGCAGGCCATGATGGATTCCCTTCAGGTTTGTTTTCAGAATAAATTTATATTGTTCCTAGCTAAAGCTTTTCCTTTTTATTAACCTTTAGTTCCTGGTGGATGTTGTGGCTGTGCTGGTGATCGTGGCTATCGCCAACTATTGGCTGCTGATCCCAGCGGCCATCATGGTGCTGCTCCTGTATCTGTGTCGTGCTCTTTATATAGGCGCTAGTCGAAGTCTGAAACGCATCGAGAGTTTAAGTAGGTATAAGTATGAATAATTAATCCATCTTTACTAATATTTAAACTCTATTCTAAACAGCACGGAGCCCAATATACTCACACACAAACCAAACCTTCCATGGACACTCCACCATTAGATCCATGGACGCCATGCCGCAGCTGGAGCAGACTTTCCATGGCCACCAGAACACAAACTCTTCTGCTCTTTTCCTCTACGTGAGCGCCAATCGTGCGTTTTCCTTCTGGACGGATCTTATTTGTGTGGTCTATATCCTGGCAGTGACGTTCAGTTTCCTGGTTATAAATCAGAGCTTTTATAGTGGTGATGTGGGCTTGGCCATTACGCAGTCCATGACTTTGGTGATCATGTGTCAGTGGGGAATGCGGCAGACTGCCGAAATGGAGAACAACATGACCAGTGTGGAACGAGTGCTGGAGTACGCCCAGACTCCATCGGAGCCACCATTGGAGAGTCCAAAGAGTGTTAATCTAGCCGCTGAATGGCCAAAGGCTGGTCACCTCCAGTTTCGGGATCTCCGCATGCGATATGCTCCTGGAGATGAGGACATCCTGAGGGGCCTGAACTTCGAGTCCAAGCCCATGGAGAAAATTGGCATTGTTGGTCGCACGGGTGCGGGAAAATCATCCATTATTCAGGCACTATTTCGATTGGCACTCAATGAGGGATCCATCGAAATCGATGGCTTGGATATTGGCCAATTGGGTCTCCATGATCTGCGCAGTCGAATCTCAATTATACCACAGGATCCCGTTTTGTTTTCTGGAACCCTTCGCTTTAACCTCGATCCCTTTGATGAGAAAAGCGATGAGTCCCTTTGGAGTGCACTAGACGATGTAAAACTGAAGAAACACGTGGCCTCCTTGGAGGGAGGTCTCTCTTGTCATATGAAGGACGGTGGCTCCAACTTCAGCATGGGTCAGAGGCAACTGGTGTGCCTGGCAAGGGCTATTCTTCGGCAGAATCGAGTTCTCGTTATGGATGAAGCAACTGCCAATGTGGATACTGAGTAAGTTTTAAGCAAGTAATTTGGAGAAATGTTTCTAATTACGTCTTCATTCACCAGAACCGATATCCTGATACAGGAAACCATACAGACTAAGTTCGCTGAGTGTACAGTTCTTACAATCGCACACAGATTGCATACGGTAATGGATAACGACAGTGTCCTGGTTATGGATGCTGGCAAGATTGTTGAATTTGGAGCACCACACAAGCTTCTGCAGCGCAAGGATGGAGCTCTACTTAAGCTGGTCAATCAAAATGATGCTGCTACAGTTAAGTTTTTGAAGAAGGTTGCAGTAGAGAGTTACATGCGCCGCAACAAAAGAGACTCGTTTACAATAGCAGAGGAGCGACTAGAAGACTGAGCTCGAAACTCCTCCAGATCTAATTTTAGCTGCGGCTTTCAGAAGTTGTACTGCCTCGAAGAACAGTCAAATTCGGTTTTATTGGTACGAAAAGTGTACGGTAAAGTGTATTTACATAGCAGTAGAATTATGCTAGTACTAATGATAGTTCGGCACTTAAAACGAGGAGACTCTGACACACGCACGCACACACAAGATTACAAAATATATGTATATATATGTATGTAGGTAATATATCAAAACTGTAAACTTGATGGATAGCCTAGGATGATGGTAAACATTCCATTTAAAATAACATTAGGTATTGACATGTATCGGATAAAACTAGGATCAGAAACACTCTGATATGCTCTCGAATGGAAACATAACGCTCTTTATGTAGGCTATACAAATGCTATGCTATGTACATAGAACGCTAAAAAACAAAAAATAAATACGGTCAAATCACATCCGACTCGGCGATTATAGCCGCTTCTTCCTGCTATTCAATCCGAATCCGATGCGATGACCGCCGCAGTGCGGCGAACTCCTTGAAGACCAGTCGCCCCAGCAGCACCATAGCAATAATGTTGGAAGCGATGAGCATGTGGAAGACATACTGCCATCCGGCAGTGGAGATCAGTCCAGCTAACAGTGGACCCACTGCGGCTCCAATCGACCCAGTACCATCGATAATGGCCGTTACGGTAGACAGTGCATTGGCATTGCCCTCCAACGAACTGTGCTGACCCAGCTCCGCACTTACAGACGTTGTGATCAGAGCATAAGGGCCATTCACGAAGATGCCGACTACAATCAATAGCACTATGCTTATAGTCATTGAGGTATTATATTGTTGATACATCAGCAGCTAAAAAATAATAATTTTAGTATTTAATAGAATGTGCGCTCTACTTAAGCTACTTACAATGGGTGAGGCAATAAACAGCATGCCTGTACAGACGGTAGCCGACATACCGCTCACATCCGACAGATAGCCCGCAGCTATAGCTCCCAAAATGCCACCCACATCGAACAACGTCGACAGATCAGCGGACAGTTCGGGTCCCAAATTGTCTGCATACAAAGAAATCAGTTATTGATCCGTTAAATTAAATAAAATCTAAATAAGTTTAATGCTTACTGGAATTTTGAATATAGAGGGGCAGCCAGTACATGAAGGTGTAGCTGACCAGCTTGGTGAAGAACAAACTCAGTGAGAACTCCACCACTCCTGGTATGAATAAAGCTTCGATGAGGCTGATGGGGCGTCCATGGCGCCTGGGCTGTGCCGGTGGTTGGGAACGCGTGAGGATGGGAGTACGCTCGGTGGGCGCCGATCTATAGTTGATTTCCTGCAAAAGTTAAACAAATGAGACTTTCGTTTGAAGTCAAGGCTCGGAAAGCGCGAAATTTACACAAGCGAACTGGCCAACACAACGTGAAAAGCAAAAAGACAGTCATGCACTTACGGTTTCCGAAGAGTCGTACCCAAAACTGACCACAAACTACGGCCAAGCAAAGTACGTTTTAGAAATTATAGTCGCTATATAATACGCCGCATGCGGAATATCTTTCAAAAACTGAAACTGATACTTACGGCATCGTTGTGGCGCACCTGCTCTTCGTCGTCCTGTTCGTCATCCGACTCGTTGGCCACGCGTCGTTCTTGCTGACCGGTTTCTGGATAGCATCCCACTATCTCCGGCTGGTCCACCAGAAAAAGGAAGAGCAAAAAGCCAACGGCTCCAATAATGATGCCGGGCACTACAAACGACAGCGCCCAATCGCTTTCCACATAATGCGCCGCTATCAGCGTGCCCAGAATATTTCCGATTGATGTATGACTGTTCCAGATGCCAAAGATTAAGCCGCGTTTAGACCTTCCAAACCATCGACCGACGAGCGTCACGACTCCTGGCCACCCAGTAGTCTGGAAGATGCCAGCCAGTACTTGTACAAGAACAAAGTACCAAAAACTATGGATATTGGAGGTGCGGGCAATGCCAAACATATAGGTGAAAACTCCGGTGAGGATCATGCCCATGGACAGAAAGTATCGCAGGGAAACGCGTTCCGCAATAAAACCAGAACCGAACATGGCAATGGCATAGGAAAAAAGGAAGGCGGAATCCAGCATACCGAAGAGTTTGGTGGCATCGGGAACATCTGTGAACCAGGTAATTGGCTAAAAAGGTTTTGCAAAAGCTGAAGGAAATACTTACCAAAGGGCGCATAGCCACAATCGTGACCAGATGCTGACAGAGCAGTGGAACAATTCCCTTGGAGCACCGACTTAACTACGGAGATGGGTTTGCGGCACATGTGATAGCAAGCATAGGCTAGGAAAGTTAACAGAATCACAGACATCTTGTACCTGTAAAAGAATCAATAAAGTTTATAATAATCTCCACAATAACTAATAGGATTAACCACCGATATAAATTTTAAATTGTATGGGTATTAATGCATATTATAAATGTCCTGGATATGTCCTATGATAGAAACATAGTACAGACTCTTTCGATTTTTAAAAAGTACATTTTCGAATATTGGTTTTAAACAGTAAGTGACCACAAATCCGACATAAAAAAAGTTTATTTTTGTGTTTCATATAATAAATCTAAAGAATATTTTAAAACTTTATTTTCGGTGCTGTTTAATACAGCACAAACCGATAAACGTTTGCTTAATCACTATTTGAAAATTCCAGTTAAATTAGCTGTGTGTCACATAATTTTAAGCATTTAAACAAATTTTAAAAAGGTTAAAAAAAGAACAAAAAAAATATGTTTTAAAATTATAAACATTTTTTGAAATAAAAGTTGAGTATTTTATTAACTTTTAAGAATTATATATTTATCTTGCGTGATTATGATTGGTCTACTAAAAGTAGTTTTTTACCAAGTAAGACATAAAATTCTATCAATCAGCATCATTTCTTATGCAAGAAAATAAAAAACCACGAACCGAAACCTTTGTAGAAACTTTAAAATACACATTTATCTATGGTTTATCGATAGAGGAGCTAGAGGAACTTTTAATGTGGGAGAGCTCCTTGGAAAGTATACTCACAGCAGATCTCTGCGGGCGTGGAAGCGGGTGCAGCAGTGGCGCGAAAGCCGCTGCACCACCCGTATGCCGAAGGGCACATCATTGTAGTTGTTGCTCATCTTTCGCGTTCTGGCCAATCCCAGTGGAGCTCTCATCGACCGGCGCGGGCGGTGGGCGAGGTGCAAGTGCTGCACGTCCAGGGGGCTGCGTTTCCGTTCCGGATTCGAAAAAGGCAGCTACCTGAAAGAACAGCGATCAACAGGTAGGTGAGTGATTGGGCTATGGGGTGACTCAGTTCGAGATACATTGTTCGAATTTCAGGTAAAGTGGAGTGGGTCGCGGTTTTTGGTGGGCCGTGGAAACGAGTGCGGATACAATTTCCAACCTTATCACCATATGTATCTGTAGTTTTCTTGTTTACGTCGTAGAATTCATTCCGCTCAAACAATGACGCTCCATATCGCAGTCATAAATTGAAATGCGTTTCCGCTAGCTTCGCTTTTATTCTGCTGCGTTGGCGAAAAATTTCCAACTTTGATAATGCGGGGTTTTCGCTCTAAGGTTGAGATAAGGACCGCAAGTACTTTATCTCAAACACAAAATTACACTTTTTATAATGATATCACAAATACCTCTATCATATAATATATCCAACCTCGTTTATTTACTTTTCAATCACTTATATATTAACAGAGTATTTTAGCGTCGGCTAGGGCCGGATTTAGGTATAACTCTTTGGTTTGTTGCCGCCCTCAAAAGCGGAAATAGTGCGAGAGCTAACAGAATGCTTTGGATTCAATAATGCGACATTGAAAAACAGCACTGAACATTTATTATTACCGTTAAACACACACTAAACAGCTGCAGTAAACATTACTCCGTCCGAAAAATAACAAAATAGAGGTGGAGAAACATCGATTGTACTTTGCGACTATCGATGACTGCTGCCAGTGTGACCGTCGCTGCATTTTGACTTTCTTTTGGAGTTTAATATTTTTAAATACCAAATACATTTGTTTCCTGCTGTCAGTTATATTTAAAAAACACGTTTTCACTTGCTGTTGAATAAATTTATAAAAATATCTCTGCGCTTTAGTTTCAACCAAATTTCAAATGCATTAACTAAAATGTCATTTTTTAAACAATAAATTTTAAAAGTTAAACAGTTAAAAAAATAGTTTAAAAAACAGTTTCGTGTCAACCCTTGTCTTGACTATGTTTATTTAAGTAAAAGAAGAGGTTTGTTGAAAACATGTTTCTTTCTTTTTAATTTAAATAAACAACCATTTCCTGTTTGTTAAGTGAAAAAATGTGATTACCTTTACTTCATTGATGCGCCATATGTTTAGGTAATATTTGGGATTTATCACTTGCTTTTATATTTACACTTACAATTAGACGTTGACACTTGATCCCGGGAATTACATTTCCTGAGATCACTGGCTAATTATTTCCTTTGACACGCGACCGAATGAACAAATAATAATTAGTCATTGCTTAGTTCCAGTTTGTTGACAACAGACCAGCAGCTCAGGAAAACACAAGCCCATGTGCACATGACCTGGCTTTTCAATCAGACTCGACTGGGAGCGGAAAATGCTCTGGTTTTCAGCACTTATACGCTAATTTACTCCGCCTGCAGTGCGAAAATCAAGGCGAGAAACAAGAACAATTGTAGGTGCTAATCACAGCGAGCAAAAATATTTTGCGAATTGTATAAATTGCGAGGCCTAGCCAAGTGAATCCACAATTGACAACTTGCAGTCCAGCTAAACCCAAGTACACTTTTGATAACAGAATTTCACATAAAATACCTACCAGAATGAAATATCACCAGGTAATTAAAGAAAAATGCCAAATCAGTTTTGTTGATCTAAAATAAATATTTTAAATTTGGAAAACAGATCATCTTTCAACTGATCGCCTGCTTTGCGACCTTTGAGCTGGTACTTGGTTATCCCCAGGAGAGAATTTCTTCAGCGGAACAGATCCAAAGACTGCGATCTGCAACTGATACGGAAAATCAAGACGTGAGATCCAGTGAAGCCCTCGAAAACCTGTACAGATATGAGAGAACTTTAAGCAGACTGCGGAGAGCCCTGGACGAGCTGGCTTACGAGGAGGCAGCCGATGACTTGGAGCTGGCCGAGATCAATGTATTCCGACCTCTCTTCCGTTATCGATCACAGGTGGTGAAGGTGAAGAATCCCAATACCCAGCAGCAGTTTGGTTAACTGGGTGATATGTGCAAAACAATATAGACTTAAGCTTAGTCACCTCGCCACATTTCACAAACACTGAACACAACCCATTGATATTTTTTTGTACAAACTTAGATTCTTAAGAAATAAAAGAAAACTAATTTATATTGTTAAACATTTAAATATTTTATTATTTTATTGTTGTAGAACCTATGCGCTTTGCAAATATCCACACGTGATTAAGCATATGTACACACCAATCTAAATTGTTCTCATTAGAGTTAAGGATATTATTGTAGTTTTTTTCATGTTTCCACATTGAGCACATTTACATGAAGGCTTTGTGGATGACACGCGAATTCCTTGCATTGCACTATTTTGGAAGGATCCCTAATATAAACACACCGACACACACATACATATTTGACTAAGGAAGACACAAAGAATATTGAATTCTAATTCTACAATATATGTAATATAATGGACACTCATCGAGGGTTGCTGTATTTCTTTTACTTCTGACTAGGCAGCTAACTAACTCTTGGTTAATGACCCTGTAAGACTCCTCTCAGCTGCAGAAAATAAAAATAACAAACTGATGCAACCCGATATACGTACACACATATACTATATAAATCTTATACGAAAATCGTTCGCCTTGGATTATATATATTCTGTTTGATGCGAACATTTTACACACCTTTTCGCCGTGTAAATAGTTAAGCCGCTAGCCAGCTTATGAAAAATATTCACCCTACTTGCTCATGGCTTAGAAAAGTTACTAAAGTTGCTAGTTAAGTACATAAGTAGTGTTGTTCTCTGTTTAGTTTAGTTAGTTGGTTTTGGTTTGCTCCTATCGCTTGGTTCCATTAAGTTGCTCGTACACATAGTCGCTGCTAGCGTTATTATGTCCCTATGTTTTACATTAAATTTGATTTAATTTTTGATTATCAGGCTTAAGTTAGACATTACAAATAGCTGTTTGCCCATATGTAAGTATGCAAATGGCTGTTTACAGGGGGATTGGAGAGCTTCGAACCGTCGAAACCTGTTTACATATTAGATGAGCCATCTGGTAGCACTTAGAGATAAAGCTTTTTGCCTGCCTGGTTATACACATATTCACATATCGAGACACTTATCCCCTATGTAAGTATATAGACGATTTGGTTGTTTTCCCCTTTCTTTTTAGAGCACCTGCAGATTCTCGCAGTGCTTGAACTTGGAGTCCTCCTTGCCCAGGATCCAGGTGAGCATCTGGCGGGCCTTCATGCTGGCCAGCATCACGCTGCGGCTTTTGTACCAGTGCGCCGGCGAGTTGGCATCCCTCGGTCCCTGAAAGCCCGTTATATATCAGATAAATCAAATTTACTCTTTTCACAGGAAGATGGCTTAAATTCGTGGGCAAAATGCACAAGAGGGGGAGGGAGGGACGGGCTTCGGTTTATTTACATTTGGCTCTCTATTCAAGTGTATTTTTATGGCCCTGCAATACAGTTTTTCCATTTCGGGTGCCAATTGAAGTTTGCATTTTTCATGTTCTTTGTGCGGATTCTGGGAGTGGGCACGAGATAATAAACAACGAACAAACAAAACACTTTTGGCAGTATGCTTGGAATAGTTTCTGTACTTTTGGACACTTGACACATTTTCCTTGTTGGCCAACTTGTCTTGGCAAGAGATCGGGGGGCGGGGTGGGAACCTTATATATTATGTATACAGTCCAAGCACACATAAACAGGAGTAACAGCCTAGATAATAGGGGTTTTTGCAGTCAAAGTGTCTAAAAGCAGGCTGTACATTTTAATATTTCGACGTTTAGCATACATTACTGTGCTGTCCATGAAAAACACCGTTCAAAATAAAGCAATGCATACTTTTAGACACCTAAATAAGGGATTTTAAAATCGTCTACGGCTTTATCATGCTCAACTTGGAGATGGATGGGGTTGGAAAAACACATCAAACATCAATTAAGTTCAGTCCGAATGGGAGCTAGTTTTAAGTTTTACGTAGGCTTTTGTCGGGGGAACGTTCAGTTTTACTTACCCCTTCGCTGGCTTTAAGATCAGTCAGACAATTATCAGTTTCTACAGTCTCTACGTTTGTGTTTTCTTTAATTTTGCTTTTATCTTTTGATTTTTTCGGATTAAGCTGCGAAATCGATCGATGGACATTGATTACATAACACCAAAAACAGAGATAGATGGGAGGACAAATAGCTAACCAGCTAACTGTTACGGCAACTAGAGCTATAGAGAGCTAGAGCTAGACCTAAGGGCTTTTCTGGGGGTTTCTCGGGGATCTTTGGCATACCTGCAGCTGGTTTTGGTCCTTCTTCAGCCGGATCTGGGTGAGCGTGCCCGCCAGGAGTTCGTCGCAGTTGTGATTGATGCCCACGGAGACCTCGATAAACTTGGCTCCGAACGTGCAGGCCAGACATTTGCCATCTAGGGTTGGAGCAGAATGGGGATTTGGTCAGGTCACGCCACTTAATTGACGATGCAAATGAATGCAGTCCGTCCGCGGCGGCTAATTGCAATACTCACCCTGGGCGGAAACGGCGCGTGAGCGGGCCAAATCAATTTTGTTGGCCACCAGGATGGTGGGCCGGTGGCGCAGAAGGTCCATGTCCTGCAGCCGCGATAGTATCTGCTTGGCCCGCGTGAACGACTCCTTGTCAATGCAGGAGTAGACCACCAGGAAGGCATCCGCCTGCTCCAGTTCGTCCTGCAACCAAACAAACGCCCAATTCAGAAACACGGAACTCAACAAGTTTACAACATTCTGAGGTCTGGATTTCGTGACTGACGAAAGTATTTAATGCCGTGTTTTATTGCAGCCCGGTCGAGGCGAAATTAAAAGTTCTTAACTGCGCACCGTCAAGTGCAGGCGTTGAGCGAAAAGTCAAGCATCCATACAACTCAACCCACTTTTCCGCCTTCCCGACTTCCTTTTGTTACCACCCTGTACTTTTGCATTTTATGCTCGTAAAAATTAAAATTATGGCCACTTGGCATCGCAATAACGTGGCGAGCGAAGGCAAAAAGTTTCCGACTTTCTCAGACTTTTAATGATGTTCATTTATCTGACCCATACATTAACAGGTCAGCGGGACGGCCTACCAGGTCCTTCGAACTTCACATCAGGTATTTTCCTCTTTAAAGGTGCGAGTAATTAGCATTTTAAGACGTATCAATTCAAGGGGATATTCGGATTCACTTTCTTTTGAACATCTCAAAAATTTGCCTAATAATTAAATAAGCTATTACGATTATTAGCCCGAAAATCTGTTTGGCACTTTCGTTGGAAGCAAAACAAATACCCTGAAATATATTGCATAGATAGTCCGTGCATCCTCATATTTTGGAGAACCGACGTATAAAGTTAGTTTTAGTATTGTGAAAGTCGAGGCACTCTTGATGATAGTATAGTTTTATAAACTGTTGATTTTAAAATGAAATATATTCGTAAGCCTCTTTTATAAGTTAAACGCATTCCCCAAATTCTTTCTTTGAAATAAGAAAAGCGCTTGGTGAAAGTGAAAACCAGAACAGGGATTCGTAGCTGACAGACATCTTCCATTAGGCTTCTTGAGGTATTTCAGCTGTCCAATCCTTGGGCAAACACACTTTGTCGGCGGTGACGTCGGCAGGTTTTATTCCAGCCCGGGGTGTTGGCTTCCGATTCCGTGCCTCATAAAGCCACGCCGGGCACATCCGACATTTGTAAATTTGGCACTTGGCTCCAAGGTGCTCGGGATTGGCGGAGGCTTAAGGTCAAACCCTAAGCAATTTATTATTTGCTTTTCCACAACTTTTCGGCACCATGCACGACCGCTTTAATTCTTGATTCTTGTGACACATTGCCGAATGGATAAATTGTTGCCATTTCCTTTTGTTTGTCCTCGTTCGCGTCCACGTCGTCATCAACATCACCATCACCATCAGCGTCTCCATCATTGGAATCGTCATCGGCGATTATAATTATCATTATCGTGTTCATTTGTATTGTTTGCCACCCTCAAAAGGCGGCGGCAAACGGCCCGCTGGCCATTTGGCATTCGGCCAGCAATTTGGCATTTCGATTGCACAGTGGCTCATATTGTTGTATTTATGTTTGACTTTTCCCTCCCCGCGGGTTTTTTTTGGCCAACCGTTGCAAGTCGCCATGGTTGCAGGCGGCGCCTGTCTGGCAGGATTTTAAATGAATTCCTTAAATGATTTCAGTATCCAGCAGCTTCAGCATTCCGTGCACTTGGCCATAATTAACCGCAGTTCGCAGCCTGCTTTATGCGAAAGTTTTCATAGTTTTTGTTGAGTTTCCGTACTTGCTTTGTGGGTGGCTAGGTGACTACCGGCTCCTTCTGCACCTTCTGCTCCTACTCGTATTTCACGAACTCATTTTGCATCTGTAATTAATTCACTTTGTGCAATTTATGCTCGTCCGGTTGGCAAATCACTCGCCGCTCCCCCGGGTAAATCTCGGCCGGCAGGACAAGCTCATTTGTCTTGCTGACAGCCAGGACCTCGGCCAAAGCCGGCTTGTGGCTGGAGGTTAGTTAATAGTGAAATATTTAACGACAATTACAAGCACAAATGGGGAAGAGCTTCGCGTGTGTGTGCCTGTGTCCCCTGACAAATGGTTTACCTTGCTCTCCGGATTGCCAGTGAGGAACTTCAGCTCCGACTCGGTGCCATTCAAGATGATTGAGACGTTCTGCTCGGCCTCGTCGCATTCTGCAAATGTAGGGGGAGTGCGGGTTAAAAATTCAGCTGAATCATGGCGGAGCGATTCGACTAACCGGGTCCATCGTAGGCATTGATGCAGTCCGAGGTGCGAAACTGTGAAATCAGAGCTTGTTTGCCCACGCCCGCCGATCCGAGCATTTCCACGCGATAGAACTCCACCGGCTGATGGTTCTCCTGGGCATTGGCGTTTCCGAATCCGTTGCTGCTGCTGCCGCCGTTGTAGCCGCATCCCAGTCCCAGGCTGCTGCCACCGCCGGCCACGCCCCCCAGTCCGCCCACGCCATTACGCGTATGCATGGGACTGGATGGCGCCAGGCTGTTGCTCCGCGAACGTCGCCGGCGGAACGAGTCACCTCGATTAATGATACCTGTAACGACAAAAAAAGGGAGGCAGTAGAGAGTTGTCAAAAACTGGTCCTGGCAAAATAAACGTCACTCGTTTTCGTATTCCATCTGCATGTGCTGGACTTTTGTTAGTCAACCTGCCACACGCGGCGTATGTGCAACGTGGATCGACTCAACGACTCGTTGCGCATACGCCACGTAGTCCCGGCAAAATTACAGTTTCCTGCCGCAAGGGCAACATCAACAATAGTTAATCTGTCTTTTGTGTCTCGCATCTGGGTGCTATATGTACCACCCCTCCCTGGCCTGTCTGTCTGCGGTTTCCTGCCCATATTTAAAGGAACCCATTTTTCTGTTCAAAATTAAAGCGATGTTTTGCGCCAAATATATGCCAAGTATTTACAATATAATTTGCTTATACAATGAATATTTATGCGAGCCATTTCTGGTCTTTATACAATAATAATGCAATTAACAAGGCTTCGAAAATTTATGTGGGACAAGGCATTATGGTTATTTTAACCCATTCCGTTGTTCCGGTAATCGCTTGGGATAAAGTCAAAAAGCTTTTAAGTGTTCTTTTTAATATACATAATTTTGCTATATTGAATTTAATTTTAATATCTTCAAGAATTTCAGTTCACTCTTTAGATAATTTAACATATTTCCTAAATTTGAATACAAAGAATTTATCATTAGCTAAATAAAAAGATTTACAATTGAGAACATTGAAAATCTGTTTTATGGCTGTAATCTTAGTTTTGGCAAACTTTTACGATAATTTACAATTTACCGGTAAATCGATTTTTTATTAAAAATTTTTACAACTTGTTTTGTTGTATGCTTCTTTTAAAGTTGATAATGTAGAGAAAATTAAACAAAAACGAACAGTTAAGCCTTACACCTTTAAAAATGGACAAAGTCGTTGTAAGGCATTTTAATAATTTTAAAACAAAAGATTTTGAGAGGGTAACAATTTAATAAAACGTGTTAAGCATCCTGCTTAGCTGTGGCAAAACCGCACACATGATTTAATAGCATTGACGAGGACATAACAAGTTGATTGACCAAACAAAAGCAGAATAAACCCAGATATAATCTGCGCATCTGCCATTCCCCTTTCCCAAAGACAGACAATGCCCGATCGAAAAGGTATTACCCAATGAAGACGCCGAGTCAAGAGCCTTTATACAACCTGCGGCCGTTGTCATTTATAATCCCGTACATATATGTATCAATCTGCAACTCGTTTATACTATATATGCGTACATGTCTGGCACCGTCCGATTTGTTCAGTTTATGTAAGTGTATGTGGTGTACATTTTAAATGTCATAAATAGATTTATGGCCTGCCTTATTGCATTTAGCCGTTGCGCGAAATATACGAGTCTTTGAATATATATAGATGTACATCATAGGTTTTTCAGAACGCGTTAGCGTTTGCTCGCTTCTCATCTGCGGTAATTAATTGTGCAAATTGATTTAATTGCCAAAACCGCTCTAAACATTTACATTTCGGCACACGAGGGGGTGAGTTCCCCCGATTTTCTGTGTATATGGATGGGCCGTCATCATTGGAAAGCCATAAAACCATTTTGGGTGGCCAGATATTTCTTTTTTTTGCGAACGGGCGTTACGAAGTCTTCGCGTGTGGGAAACAATTCATTTTGAATAGGTGCAAACGGGCCGCAATAAAAATTGCGATTTAGTTCGTGAAATTTCTAACAATTTATACCTATGTGCAATGTTCATATTTATTTTTAGCCATTGGCTATAATTGAAACTGACTAATCGCTGGAGTAATTGCAGCACTTTTTCACATCTTTTTCTGCCATTCCTCAAACAAAAGTTTTCTTTTCACTTGTCTTTGATGTTGGCTTAGCACTCTCCGTCTTCCAGGCAACATATTCATGTGTTTGTTTGCTCTAAGAATAACTGTTTAAGAAAATAAATTGAAAATTTTATTTGCTGATTGATTTACAGTGGGCCGAGTGCAACACGAGATTTCGCACATGCTGGCACTTTTGAGATATGATTAACCGCCTTCAAGGTTAGTCGGTTTTTTGTTTATGCAAAATAAACCCATTTCTATAAATACCAAACGAATGTTTAGCCAAATACGCTTCAAATAATCAGGGGAAATGAAAAACATATACAGACACTTATCTGTACGAACCATCCTTGTTGGCGCATCATTCAATTACGATTCGATTCAGGCCCACAGGACAATCGAGCAGACACTTGTGCATTGTCTGCTCGTGGTTGAAAATGTATATTTATATGGAAAATTCATTCAGTGCCTGCCATCGATGACTGACACTCGCTGGGGCATTTCAATTAATCACACACTCACACACTCACACACGCCCTCCTCCTCCAAACATATTCGAATCAATGTCGGTCTGTCAGTTTTTCGCCCGCTCATTTTAAATTTCCCACTCGTGTCAACCGTAAAAGCATAATTGATGGATGCCCGGCTCCCTATTTTTTGGGGCTTATCCTCTCACGCCCTGCCAACAACTTGAGCGAATTAAGTTTAATTAAATGGGCGCGCATGACTCCTGGCAAGACATTGCCGCAAAATAAAGCTGCCACTCTTAGCCCGACCAACTACAAGATATTCTGCTTGTATTTGAAAGCAATTTACTTGAGAAAACACAGGCACTTCATTGAATTTTAATATGCAGTGAGTTTGAGAACGAGTCCCTAGCCGGTGCTCATCCCAAGTTAAAGAAATAACTAACCAAGCTGGGGAAAACTTTTGATACCCTTTAATGTCACATGGGATTTAAAGAATGAATATACATACATATAGCTCACAACGAAAATAACATTTTAGCAAGGCTTTTATCAGAGATTTTCGGGGGCAGTTGATTTGAAATTTAATAAATAAATATGTCGGTGTTACAGAATAATTTGCATAATTTTTAGAAACTATTTGATTATACAGCGGTTACTGGGACAACGAGATTTCAATTTACATATGTATAAATTTGGTTGTAAGAGGTTTTTTTGTTTCAAATATATAATAAAATATAAAATATCAGATCAAGTCCCGCACAATTTTTTAAGATTTTTAACAGTATTATTTCGAATGCTTCAAATAAAATTTAATTTTTTTTAATTACTATAAGTGTGATAAGTTTGGTCTTGACCACTTCCACTAGGTAAGTTTTGACCTTTTTACTTCCATTTCATCGGAAAGCAATTATCGAGATGAAATTTTAAAAAAAGCTACCATCTTTAATGGTCTCTCCTACAATATTATCAGTCGAAATTCATTCACTTTATATTTTTTGTGTACCTATCTCCAAGTCTTGCTTATCATACATGGCATAGTGCCATCCTCAACTGAGTCTTGCAAATGGTTCCGGGACCTCCTTCATGACTAAGTTATGACACCTCGTGCTGCTAATACGCAGGCTTGTCGTCTGTTTGCTGTCATGTCTGCTCAAGTCTTCCGTACTCCGTCTTCCGTATTCCGTATTCCGTATTCTGTGTTCCGTGTTAGGAGCAGTTAAGGGTGGGCTTAAACACGTACTTAAAGTCGGCCATGCATTTGTGCATGCAAACGCCCACAAGTGCGGAGAAAACATGTAAAAGATCACAACTATGGAGCTAACATTTAATCTGGAAACTACGAGGAATATGCATTTATGGTCTGAAATTCAAAAAATAATAGTTGTTCGATTGGTATCTGTTTTTTTTAATTGGAAACCTCTAGCTTAGTTATTTATGCAGCTAATTTGCTAATGTTACTATGTATTAGTAGGTTAAGTTGCTAGTTATAATTATTTCAAGGCCTCTGTTAGGTTTGTCTAATATTTTTATTACTTTATGTTTAAAGAAAAAAACACTTAAATGCTTTAAAAATAGAGTCGTATAAATTAAACAATGCAAAGAAAAGTAAAAGTATCGACAATCATCTTGGCAAGATTTTTACTTAATGTGATTTTCAAGATTCAAAGTAGTTTTAAGCTATGAAAACAATTTAAGTTCGCCGATTGATATGGTACGCATCTTCAACGACTTTGCCGAAAAGTAGCTTAACAAGGTAATTCTTAAACTTAGCCGGTATGAGTAAACTGGATAATCGATCTTAATTGAATTTAAAACTCTTCAAATTGTTTTAAACTTTCTCGGCAAGATATCATCTGCTAAGCGCCAAAACTTCCGACTAAGTGTCTTACAGTCCTGTCTCACACTGTAGTTGTGACACACACAGTGCATATGTGTAACAATAACGTGACACAAATGTTGAATATAAAAGGAGGAAAAAACGCACACATAATGGGAAAACTTCACAGGGCTATGTGGCTCTTTGAGTGTGTTTGCATATATATACGAGTGCCAGTGTGTGGTCGGGTATTCATATCCTATGCGGAGTGGCATTTAGTGCCACTGATATCTCCTTAACATCTTCGGGTAACAGCCTTTTAAGATTTCAATAAGGATTGCTCCGCTGCGTGCCCCGGGATGAAACTATAATTTTATGCTGCCTGGAGTATCGTGTGTCCCTGAGATGTCCCTGCGATGTCCCCAATCCCCGATCCCCGATGCCCGATGTCTAGTCCCAGTCCAGCATCCGCATTCTTAAGATGCGTAATCCCAGTCATCTGGCCCAGGGGCTTTGTTGACTTTCAATTTCGAAATTAATAAATGGCCACTGCGGTCTTTGTTGGGCTGTAGTCCTTAAGTCAACTCACCTCCTTTGGAGGCACTGAAAGTGCGCAATCTGTCCACATCCTCGTCGTCGTCGTTGACGCGCAGGTGATGCATGTTCATGGTGGGCACGTCCAGGAAGGCGTTCGATTTTCTATGTGCTGTTGTGGACAAAAGAGGCGGATTAAAATAGATTAATTTAAATTGCATTAGGAATTATGGCCAAACAAATATCATTGTATTATTCTATGCCGTTGTATTATTCATAAGCTCACATTTTTTACCTGTCATCATATCTAAATACTTTTGATCTACATTTTAATAAATAATTCTCTATTTTCAAATTTGGTTTAGCCTTTTATAAGCGCAGGTAAAGTTTTATTGTTCTATAACTAACAGGAATTAAAGTATCGTTTATTATAGTTTTTTTATATTTACGAATGTTATTTAAAATAAATTGATATTTTTTCACTGTTTCCATCGACTCCAGCTTGTGTTGAACAAAAAAGATGCAAAACCATCATTGAAATTAATGAATAAACAATTGCGGAAAAAGTTCTCAAAAAAACCCTTTTGGGTAAATATGCGAAAAACCCTTCGGTTAAATGTTTCCCCCGCCAGTTTTGCATTATTGATTCAGTATTCCCTGCTCCAGCTGGCTGACATTTGGACAGCTTTAATGGTTTCCCCATGTCGAGTTGACACAGAGAAGTGCCACACACGTTGCACACTTGCTGCTGGGAAAACTGGGGTGAACTGGGTCAATGGTTAAGTTCATCGAACGTCCAATGTTAATTGAATCAACATTATTGGAGAGTACTTAACAAAGGGCAACTGAAACTACCATCCACTGGAACGGAGCCAACTGTTTCAGCTTTAACACCTCGCCTTAAAGTCCTGCGGATGCGGTCCTTAACCGCCTCCTGCTATTTTAGCCACCATGGCATTAATGGTCAATTTTACATCGCCGCGGCTCTCGTGCGGCGAGCAATTTGGCTGAGAGCTTAGTTTATGCCGCATAAAAGATCAGGCTCAGCACTTGGCTAATTTGTTGCCGTTGTTTTGCCGTTTTGATGGCTCCATCCGGCCATTAAAACGCACTACTTGAACAAGTGCGGTTAAAGCAATAGTGCTTCAACCACAAAATCTTAAATATAAGTTTGGGCGAAGAGAACTGAGTATCCTGCCACAGCTTTGCGATGAGCATTTTTAAAATGCATACAAAACTAAGGCTAATAAGGCTTTTATTTATTGACTAAATCTTTGTTCTTTTCATAAAGATTATTTTAAAAACATAATCATCATATTTGCTAAGTTGTATTCCAAAATAATCCTTTAAATAGATATTTTTTTGTTTGTATGATAAATTAAATGATTTGTAGGTTTAATAATTAGAGGATTTAATTTTGAACTTGTTTACCTAGAGCTGTTAGTTATCTTAAAAATTATGCGAAATGGGTAAAAACTATCAGGAATTAATTCAGGCCTCTGATTAAATTAATGCTGGTATCAGTTCTATTATCAAATGAATACTGAAGAGTGTGAAACGTATACGAAATAGTTACAAAAGTGAATTTTTTTAATGCAGATTAATACGAACAGTAGAATTAAATTGTTAAAGATTTTGTATCACTCATAGTCGTCATATGGATGTGGATTACATAATATATTCTTTTAATTATACTTTTGAAAATTTGTTTGTAGCTTAAAGCCCTTTGAACTTTGTTAGTACTCTCATCCTTCAGCATGTTCCTTGTAAAATATTACTCAACTGCAAAGTTCAAACTCAAATTTGTGGCCTAATTTGGTGACGATAAGACATGTTTTCAAGATGTTGATGTTTACTTTCTAGGGATTCCAGGGATTTTTTGTGCCCAACTACTATTCTATTAACCGCATCTGTGCGTACTTATCTCCGCTCGTAATTTACTCACCGTGTGGCTGTGGCCTCCGCTGCGATAGCTTTCGGCGCTGTGGAGGCGTCTCCGTCTCGCTCAGCCGGGGCTCGCTGGTGCAGTAGCTCCGGGCCTCCTGGAGCGTGTGCTGCTGCTGCTGCTGTTGCTGCTGCGCCTTGGTCTTCTGGCGGACCTGCAAGAGGAAAGAGTGTCCTTAAGCCCGGGAACTCAATTCAACTCAACCATCCGTCTGTCTATGCATCTCGGTGATTGATGGACTGCCGCAGGATTTGCCCTTGTCTATTGAGTGAGAAATTAAATTGCATTTCTCGGTTGCAGACCAATCAAGCCGACACACAAATCAAATTGCATTTGTTTGTCTGTCCTTTAGAGAGACAGAGAACCACCGCCCATCGCCCAACGCCCACCACTTGGCGCGCCAATGGCATAATTTATCGGCTGACTTGGCCTCGCGGGAAGGACTCCTCTGTGATCAGAGCAGCTCAAGGGATTTCCCCCTAAATGTCAAGGTTAAACGCCTCGGCCACTCCAAATGCAATCAGCACCGCCGCTTGTTTCGTCCGCCGCAAAAGTTTCCTGTCCACATTGGATGGAGGACGAGAGGGAGACGGAAGTGGTGTCCCAAATCCTTCAAGGCACGTCCAAGTGCCTGTCACGCCGCCTCAGTTTGTGGTGCTCCTTGGGAAGTCTGCCGTCGACGGGGCGAAAACTAATTTCAGCACCTGTCCCGGCAATGTAAGCTTCTTGTTCAGTTTCTTTGGTCCAGTGTGAGGGCGATATTAATAGCCACATGCAAAACGTCCAACTTTGTTAGCCGCTTCCGTTTTCCTTGGCCCAAAAACAGTGGCGAAGGCAAGCAAAATTATTTGGGTGTTTGCCTCCAATTACTTGGTAATTAGAAATTATTAAGTTACAGCGATTAAACTCTTGTTAAGCTGTTATTAATAGCTTGTGCTAAGAATAATCCATCCTAATGTCTTGTAAGGAGTTCAAATAATTGGAATTACCACCAACAGAAAAAAGGTAACAGATTTTATTCGATCTTAAGTCTTAATAATTGGTTGACAAGCATCCATAACATCCTACTGTGGATTATATTTTTGAAAAAATATTACGATTCACTTAAAAGGAAAAATGTGATTCGATTTTTTCAAAAGGCATTCATTTTACATTTATGATTTACAAACAAGAAAGGAAAGCTAACTTCGGGCGGAGCCGAAGTTGATATACCCTTGCAGAATACTCTGTAAATTATATTCTCCAAAATTATTCATATGATGCATTCTTACTACTCATCAAAAATCCCAACTTCCTAACTTTAAAAACACCAAAGTTATGGCATTTCCAATCGTTCAGTTATATGGCAGCTATAGGATATAGTCGGCCGATCTTTATGAAATTTGATAGGTCGGATTGATTGGCTAAAAATAAAACCCATAGAAAATTCCAACTTCCTAACTTAACAAACACCAAAGTTATGGCATTTCCGATCGTTCAGTTATATGGCAGCTATAAGATATAGTCGGCCGATTCTCATGAAATTCGGTAGGTCAGATTGATTGGCCAAAAATAAAACCTATAGAAAATCTCAACTTCCTAACTTTACAAACACCAAAGTTATGGCATTTCCGATCGTTCAGTTATATGACAGCTATAGGATATAGTCGTCCGATCCCGGCCGTTCCGACTTATATACTGCGTGCAAAGGAAAGAAGGGTGTGTGCAAAGTTTCAATTCGATAGCTTTAAAACTGAGAGACTAGTTCGCGTAGAAACAGACAGACGGACAGACAGACGGACAGACGGACAGACGGACGGACGGACAGACGGACAGACGGACATGGCTATATCAACTCAGGAGGTGATCCTGATCAAGAATATATATACTTTATAGGGTCGGAGATGCCTCCTTCACTGCGTTGCACACTTTTGACCAAAATTATAATACCCTCTGCAAGGGTATAACAAGTTTTCTTTAGCTTGTAAAAAGTTTACATTCCTTCCGGTGTAATACAACATTTTAACATTTTTGTTTCAATTTCGAAGAATATTTTTAATTAAAAGTTTGCCCAATCAATTTTTATTATGTCGAGAGCACATTGAAATGCAATTTGTGTGAAAAACTAACAGTTGTTATTTAGGCCATGAAAACAAATACAAATTTTAACAGTAACAAGAAAGGAAAGCTAACTTCGGGCGGAGCCGAAGTTGATATACCCTTGCAGAATATTTTATAAATTATATTGTCCAAAATTATTCATATGATGTATTCTTAATACTCATAAAATGTCCCAACTTCCTAACTTTAAAAACACCAAAGTTATGTCATTTCCAATCGTTCAGTTATATGGCAGCTATAGGATATAGTCGGCCGATCCTTATGAAATTTGGTAGGTCGGATTGATTAGCCAAAAATAAAACCCATAGAAAATCCCAACTTCCTAACTTTAAAAACACCAAAGTTATGGCTTTTCCGATCAATCAGTTATATGGCGGCTATAGGATATAGTCGTCCGATCCTTATGAAATTCGGTAGGTCGGATTGATTAGCCAAAAATAAAACCCATAGAAAATCCCAACTTCCTAACTTTAAAAACACCAAAGTTATGGCTTTTCCGATCGTTCAGTTATATGGCAGCTATATGATATAGTGGCCCGATCCGGCTCGTTCCGACTTATATACTACCTGCAATAGAAATACAACTTTTGGGAAAGTTTCAAGCAGATAGCTTTAAAACTGAGGGACTAGTTTGCGTAGAAACGGACGGACAGACGGACAGACGGACAGACGGACAGACGGACATGGCTAGATCGACTCTCCTGGTGATGCTGATCAAGAATATATATACTTTATAGGGTCGGAAATGTCTCCTTCACTGCGTTGCAAACTTTTGACTGAAATTATAATACCCTCTGCAAGGGTATAAAAATGTTTATGTATTTGTGTTAAATTTTGGAAGAACATTTTAAATATTTGCAAGTTCAGCTTGTGTAGAAAAAAGAAAACTATAATGTAGGCAATGAAAACTATTAAAGTTTTTGCATTAAAAAAAGTTTTTCTGCAGTTTCAAAGTTTATTTTAAATAGTTGTTCACAGAAATTAATTTTGTGTAGAAGCGGACGGGTATTATTTAGCCAATGAAGACAAGTAAAAGTTTTAGTGATTACCAGTCAAAAATTGTTTCTACATTTATGTTTGACTTGAAATAATATTTTTAAATAATTAATAAAGTTTGCACAATAGGTATTTATTATTTCGAACTAAAGTTTGTGTAAAAAACTCAAAGTTATTATTTAAGTACCATTTTTAGCTTTTTATGGATCGTAAAAGGTTTTATCTTTAAATACCACTAATCAAAAATATTTATAGGCTCTAAATCCCCCTAAAACCAGGCTAATTGCGCCCCTGTCCCACATAAGGCTTCCTCATCGCTGGAAAACGGAACGCCGGAAGCGTTTGCTACGTGGCGTCGGCTGTCAAGTGGCCACGGATTTGGGCCACGTTGAGTTTCTGGTCAGTCGGAGAGCTTGGCAAAGCCACCAAATCCGCAGGAAGGAGGCGATGGAATGGGAGGGGGTTGACTGGGCCATTAGACGAGCTGTCAGTGTAAACGTTCCTTGTTTATTTAGTGGCCGCTCTTTTGCGCTTTTTACGGTCGCACACATACATATGTATGTACCTACGAACCTGGCCGACTACATGTGTGTGCATTTATCCTGGCGCTTCATGGACTCTCGTGACCAGTAATTGCTCTTCCTTCTTGGCCAAATGTTTGCATGGTCTACTTTGCTGGCTTAATCAAATATTACGGCTGGACGGACACACACATCTGATCCATTCGGATGCAGTGGTCGGATGGACCCTCGCCATCTCGCTTCGGAAATTAATTGCTTCCTGGCCTTAGTTCATCGACCAGGCGGTGCTCCGTGGAATGTCCTGCGGCGGAGTCTTCAATTTGTACCCGCTTAATCCCCAATTAGTCCTCTGGGCAACGCTGATAATTTATTTTCTTAATGCGCTCCGTTTTACGGATGCTTTTGTGACAAGCGCCAGGGGAAGGGAAATTACGCTTAACAAAGTAAAATTCGTAATTCAACATAATACAATTTAAAAAGTCTCCTTTAAAATGCACACATACAGGTGAATTTCTTTTTTGCTTAATTGATTTGTTTAATACTCTTACGTTCGAGATAGGGTAAAAAAACATTTTAAGTTCCACTTTATACTCACATAAATCAAAAGCTTACAAAAATGTTGTATAGAATTTTTGTATAGAATTTTGTTGGATTAAAGTGAGTATAATCCTTAAACCGAAAGTTACTCAGATTTGACTTTATTGGTTTGGTATAAAATGCAACAGACTTTGGCAATTTAAGCCGTATATATATGCATATATCTACTTTACCAGATTGTACATAGATAACAACCGTATAAAAAAGCAATCTATTGTGATCTGCTTCTTAAAATTTTGCAATATCTTTAGTTTGCATACACTTCCTGCAATTTTCTTTCTAGTGCTGAAACTTTTGTGTCGAAAATCGCAAAATATTTTCCTATTCGTGGCTGGCGTCTGTCTGGCTTAGTTATTTGTTGGTTTTTGTCAAGTATTTGCATAGAATACGTCTGACTTTGACTCACAGAATGCCGTGCAAGACGAAAATAGCTTTACAATGCGACTTCATTGAGTTCGTTGTTGTTGTGGCACATTCTCATTAAACTTTTGCGTCTGCAGATGAAAAGTGCCTGCGACTTATCGACATCGGGACATCATCACACTGAGTACTCAAAGTTTACTTCTTCTATACTCTTGACGGATGTATCCTTCGCCCCTCTTGCTTATGAACAAAAGTAATTTTAACGCTTCTTCTTCGGTTTAGATACCCTGTATTCGTAGAGCTACACAGTATACCACACAGTCCAAAAGACATGTATTTTTCACCAGAAGACAATGCATTTATTTTTCTATTTCCCACAACGTGCCAAATTTTATATCCATCGGATAAAATAATCACATTCAAATGCCAAAATGTATGCAATGAGTTTTAAAAACTGATGTCTGGGTATTTCATGGTAGAGACCCTCTTCCATAGCTTACTCGCATTTTTAGCTGCGAACTCATTACGGCCACGCCCACAATGAACACATGCCGCCCACAAAAAGCGAGGGAACATGTGTGTGTTTAGTCCTGTCTTGAAAACTTTCCCTATATAAATTACCAGCTCGGGGCGCATCGCAGGCGATGAGAACGACACTTTTAGCACGATGCATGGCGTATTTTCTGTTTTTTGTTCCCTCGCTGGCTCACTAATAATGTCGCCAGCAGAAGCAAAAAGGGGGATTCTTCGGCGAAGGATATCCAGCAGCAGAAGCTGCGAGCAGGAAGCATCCAGCCGCCAGGAAAACTCATTCGCAACGTATGCTGCCACGTGGCGGACGCCTTTTGTCTGAAACACCCGTCCGCAGAAATTGAATTTGGCCACGATATAACTCGATTCACACGCCACACTGCAAGCGTTCCAACTTCACAGCTTCCTGGATGGGTGACGAATCAATTGAGTTGGAGATGTCACCGACTTGGGACACCCGACAGGCGGCGATGGAAACAATGAATAATGCTCTATAAAATATGACTCAAATATCAAACCACTGAATATGTAGGTTATATGATGATTTTTACGATTTTCTTTTACAAAAATCAAAGGACAATATGAAAGCTAATCATGAGAACGATCGAAATATAAACTTAGGTTTGCCGAAGTTTGTTTCCTTTATTGTTTTAGCTTTAATTTTATATTTATTTCCAATTGTAGTTTATAATACAAGTCCTTACTCACATGATTCTATAGATATTCAAAATCAAACCATTATTGTCGATCTTGTCTGTCACCGTAAAGAACTTCAATCATAGGCTATTCGTTTTTCACACGTTTTCTAAGGCCCAAACCCTCCAAAATACACCAACATGGAGATCCGCGAAAGGCTCTACAATCTAATGGTGAACCAGAGCTTCATGTCGCGCTCCACCATCACCGAGAGCATGGCCCAGTTCGCAATCCTCGACCTGGAGAGTTCGGATGCCATTGAGAAGACGGTGATCAAGATCCTGCTGGTGATCGAGGAGAAGTACCGCAGTTACTTCGAGAGCTACCAGAAGGAGCTGGAGCTGCAGAGGATCGCGGCCCAGACCCTGAGTCAGCTGATCCAGCGCTACAAGATCACCATGCAGGTGGACACGAGCTGCATTTGCCCGCACATCTACGAGATCGAGTCGGAGGAGGCGATCATCAACAAGTACTACCTGCACTACCAGGTGATCGCCAGTTCCAACAAGAGCCAAAGCTGGGCCATCCACAACCTGCGACCCTGTGTCCTCATCTTCCGGCGCGAGTGCGCCAAGCTGGACCAGAACGAGGAGAGTCCGTTCATCCTGGGCGACGCCTTCCACAAGCCGATCAAGTTCTTCATGGACTTGGTGGAGGAGCTGTTCGCCTACTTCTACAGCGGGCACTTGCAGCTGGACTGCGCCGCCCGCCTGCTGGATCCCCTGGATCTGGGCAGCCTGGAGTACTACCAGAAGCTGTTGGCCCCCAACGAGGACTTCGACGAGTACTTCATGCAGAACATGAGCTTCTGCCAGTGCCTGCGGCTGCCGCCCAAGTGTGCGCCCTTTGAGTGCCACCAGAAGATCAAGGACCAGGCCGAGCCCTACATCTCCCAGGCGAAGAAGGCGCGCTGTGCCAGGAGGGTTGCCAAGATGTCGGCCACCGGACAGCAGAGTCCCAAGCCGGAGGGCAATGGGTCAGAACGGAAGGCTTCCATCGTGAGCCAGCACAGCGAGAAGGCAACCACTAGTGTCAGCCAGGAATCGAGTCCTTCCGAGGAGCAAACGACCGCACTGAGCCAACAACATGAGCAGACCCTAACGAATCAACTGCTGAATGCCTTTACTATCTGCCAGAATTAGCAGGCTGCAATCCATTCCTGTCTCAAATTAATGCTCCCGTGGACCTATAACTCCGAATTAGACATACTTAAATTGTAATCAGCCAATTAAACGACCGAAGTGCACGTGATTGCGTTCTCGGTTTCTCGGAAATGTTTGCGGAAATGTTATTATCCCCCTTGCCCCGCGGACATGTGCTGCACGCAATTTGGATTTGCCTACTCCTCTAATGACTTTCCAGCTGGTGTGGCATCCAAGCTCGATTCTGTTTTACTTCCAACTGAGCACACTCGATAGTCAAAAGGGCTCTTAATTAAAAGCAAACTGAAGTTTTATTTCAATCAAGTGGAACACTTTGAAATTGGTTGCTAAGTAAGTCAAATTAAGTCTTAAGGCAAGGTTGATATACCCTAGCACCTGTTAAAAATGTTGAAAAAGATTGAAGCTAGGTCGATTTTGTGATCACTTTAACAATCGTTTCTATAGCAGCTCCGATTTTTATAAGAGTAAAGCCTTAATTCTAAAATCATTTAATTCTTATTTCTAACACTTTTATTTCCATTTTATTGAACTCTTAAACATAAACCAAAAGCTTTATATTTCTTGATTTGTTAAATAATGCTATCTATATTTCCATCTCTATTACTCAACAACACAAAATTGTTGTCTATAAAATCTGATTTATCTTTGTCTTTAATTCCTTCTTAAAAATAAAATTTGCCAAACACGAATGCATACAAACCATTATCCCCACCCAATAAATAACGATTGGATGTGGCAAAGTGCTTTAGCAAATTAAAGATGTCATTATAATGTTCTCGAGCAGGCTTTTTGCATGTGCGTGTCTAAATGGACTAAATGTCGTCGGTCGCTGCTTATTTATAGTGAAAAACGTGCATTTGATGAAAACTATAAATAAATAAGCAATTTCTTGCCGGTGACGGCAAAGATGCAAATGCGAATGCTAAATTTGTGCCGCTTGGCCGGTTTCTAACCGCATTACGTATACGCAGTGTACTCACCGATCTGGCGCCGGAGGTGATGCGTGCGCTCTGGGAGCGTGTGGCCGGCCGGCGACGGCGGTATCCGGGCGTACCGCCCTCGGGCGTGGCACTTCCGGAGGCGCCGGGCATCCCGTGGATGACCGTCTCGATGCTGGCCCCCGTGGCACAAATGGAGGCGCTGCGCGTCTTCTTCTGCATCCGATGATGCATCGGCGAGATGTCGTCCACCATGGCGACTGGTCTCTATTGTTCGCCGCCGGATCCTCCTGGGAAAGCAAATTTGGCCAAGTCTAGGGGCCACTACTTGTGTGCATTAAGCAGTTCGTGCTGTGGTGGTTCTAGTTGCTCTTTTGTGGCTGCTATGGTTGCTTTGTTGCATAATTCATAATCTGAGTTTTGGATGGTGTGTGACTTTTTTGTTTGTGGTGCACTCTGCAAATAAACGGTGACAAGCAAAAGAAACGAATGCAGAAAACATTTAAATGAATTTTCAAATAAAAATTACACTTTTCTCGAATATTTTCGGTCGTGACGTGACCAAGTTTTACAGAAATAACCCAAAGAAAATGTTTTGGTTTGAAAAGCAAAAGTGAGCAACGAAAACGAATTTCATCTGCGTTCTACAAGAATGTTTTTGTAACAACATGCAACATAATTTGCTGTGTGATTTTTCATTTCGCCAGCAGCCATTAAACATAAAATTCCTCTGTTTGTTTTTCCAACCGCCCCACCCGCTCCCATCCACTTTGCATTTATTTTTAAACGTGCCTCACGCGTCTCTGCGAAACTGGGTCAGCTATCGTAGTTTTCAGTGGACACCCCGAAAACGACAAATTGCAACAAATAAATTCGAAATCTGTACAAAGGGGCAAAAGCCTTTGGGAATTGTGGTTTCTATGGGGGTTACGTAAGGACTTAGGTGGCTGTTATGTGTTTCGGTTATGCATGAGTTTGGCTTTTCCTATTTTGATTCGATGTCAGACTGCTTTATTCCTCCGTGGGTCTAGCTAGTTTGCTAACTTTTGTTTATTATATGATTTATTATTTTATTCACTTTGACAAATGGATTTTCTTTGTCAACTGCCGGCATCAAAAATTCCTTCGTATAATATGTTGATCAACTTATTATTTAGAACATTTTCTCGAAAACATTTTTCTCAAAAAATATTTATGATTTTTCACCAATCAACCAATCAATCAATCTTCATATACAATTACACATAAAAAATGTTAATATTATAATTAGCACCTCTTTAATTAAAAATGTATCCTTTCTTTAATTCTTGTAATATAAAGTTATATGAAAGTTATTGACAAAATATTCATTGCTTTGATTTATTAAAATAATTAAAATAAAATTTTCCATTTGATTTCCCAAAAATGTTTCCACAAGTACGGCAAATCAGTTTCTCAATAAACATGTTGTAAATCTATGTTTGGATTTTCTTGCACTTGTGCTTCTAAAGAGTTCGTTAATCACGTAATTCTCATCGTCTAAAAATACAATTCTTTTTATTGGCTTCAGCTTTCCAAACCCTTGCATCATCCGCATTTTGAACTCTTTCGTATGGTTTCCTAGTTAGCAAAACATTTCACAATTGAGATGTAAATAAAGGCTGAAAAATGTGGAAACTTTCGGTGAGCATTGCACGGAAAGTTCTCCTTTAAGCGCTCAGAAAAGTTAAATGAAAACTTTAACCTGCGCACTGCAAATCTAATGGACACTAATTGCCATTTGCAGGGGGCGAGTACCCTGGGCGATTCGCGATAGCGAATTGAAATCCATTTCTCAACTGGCCGTAAGCCGAGTAGACTGAAATTGAATTTTCCTGACTGATGGGAGAGGTTTGGAGTGGCGGATAAAGAGGCAGCCAGCGGGCCAATCAAAACATATTGGTAATCCACTTAGGCATCCTGTTCGCTCCTTAGACATGCATCATTAGCCGCTCGACCTGGGGCGTCCTATTCCATTTCGCCAGCCTGTCTTCCCTCGTTCTGGTCCTGTAATCGAATTACGCTTTCGCTATCTTTTCATCCGCGCCTGCACTTAAGTGCAGCCAGGACACTTTCCACTTTCTGTCGCCGACAAGCGAACTTGACGAGCTTGCAGTCTTAGCCGCGTTCATCTGAGGGCTTTAAGGTCTCCCTTCTGAGTAATTAACTTGTGAGAATGATTAAAACATAAATAATTAAAAACGAGCCAGGGTGTTGGCCGCCCTTTTTTTTGTGTTAAAGAGAACAAAAGATTCGGGCCAAGTCCCTCGCAAGTAAATAACGCAAGGGCCACGATGGAAAAAGGAGAAGAATAAATACATAAACTTGAAAATGTTTTCAACGCGACAGCATATGCGACAACAGCTTGAGATAAGCAGCCCGCGGCACTGAGAAAAATATGTGGACAAAACTGATAGATGATTCTTTATAAGAATTATATTACATTTTAAAAACAAATACTAAATTTAGTTCCTTAGTCGGCCATTGCTAATTTATTACTATTTGAAGGAAGTCTTCTACAAATATTGGGTATTATATTATAACTCTTTTTCTGTTGAACTTTATTGCATAGATCTAAGTCTTAAAAGTGTTATTTTATAATGGACTTTTAATAAAATTGGTTGTTTACTTTCCGGAAATGATATTTTAAGGCAAAATCATATAATTACAAAAAATAAATTAACAATTGTGTTGGTATAAGATTTTATAAGATTTTTCTAGTGGTTACATACAGAGACACGCTTTATCGATTAAAAACATAAGATATTGTTAAGATCAAAGTGTTTTTTCATGTATACCTGGGCAAGAACACAGCTAGAAATGGGGTAAAGCCACCCCTACTGTGACTTTAACCAGTTTAAAGGGTTGAGCAGACTTTCTCTGCGACTTTACGCTTGATTTGCCAGCTAAACCGAGAATCCAGCGATGCATTACCAAGACCCACGAAAAAGGGAAAAGGCGAAATGGGTACCCTGAGATGATTTCAGCTGCTGACCCATTCATTCAGTCGTGCATGAAACTCCAGGCTGCATGACGATGAAGTCGTCGACATCGTCGTCGGCAAAAGGACCTGCCTCCTCGCCTTGTTTGCATTCAATTGATGCCGCAGGTTGTTCTGGCTAACAACAACATTGGTAAGAGCCCCCACGGGCGTGTGTTTGTGTGTGTGTCCTCCTAATTGGCCGCAGGAAGAAGGAGGAGCAGCTTCGAAAAGGCTTGTCCTTAAAGCATTCGCCATGGATTCTGCCATTAATTTTCATTTTATGTTTATAGACTTTTCCTGGAATTCTAGGCCATATTACTAGTGTGGTCATTTCGCTTTATGGCCTGATATGAGGCGGCGAAATTTTTCGCTGCCCTTATCTAGTGGCCTGTTGCTAGTTTATTAACATGAATATTTTCGCTTCAGTTTTTTTTGTCTACCCGGCTAATCAGGCCACCCATCGACGTGGATGTGGACAGATGATGACAGCTGTGCCCGGTTTCAGGCAACTTAAGCTATCACCGAAATAAGGCCAAAAAGTGCGTTGCTCGCACGCAGCAAAAAATTCCCCGATAAAGTGTCAACAGATACCGTGTATATGGTCCGATGGGTCCTGAATGGAACATGAATATATGGCGGAGGGGGGGAAGGGATTGGGGTGGAGCGTGGGTGGTTCAAGGCTGGTCTGCCACCGGAATGAATAAAAAAGGTGAAACAATCAAGAGCAGTTGAGCGGAACTGCAAACAAAATTGATTCGAATGAAAGCTGATTGTGGTCGACAGTGACTTTTTATACCCGTTACTCGTAGAGTAAAAGGGTATATTGTATTCGTGCAAAAGTATGTAACAGCTAGAAGGAAGCGTTTCCGACCCTATAAAGTATATATATTCTTGATCAGGGTCACTAGCCGAGTCGATATAGCCATGTCCGGCTGTCCGTCTGTCCGTCTGTCCGTCTGTCTGTCCGTCTGTCTGTCCGTATGAACGCTGAGATCTCGGAAACTATAAAAGCTAGAAGATTGGCATTTTGCATGCAGATTCTAGGAGTTCCTACGCAGCGCAAGTTTGTTTCAAAAAGGTGCCACGCCCCCTTTAACGCCCACAATCGCTTATATACGATACATTTAAATATTTCGGAAAAGTAAAAATGCAGTTTTATTGTGTTTATCAATACCTATCGAAATGTAGAAGAAATTTTTCAAATCGGACCATTCGTTTAAAAGTTATGCGTGATCAAAGTTTCTATCTCCATCTCCCTCGCACTCCCTTTACCTGAGTAACGGGTATCTGATAGTCAGGGGCACCCGACTATAGCGTTCTCTCTTGTTAAAAAATATTTTTTTAAAAATACGGTTAAACCGAGGAGAGATAACACATAAATAAATTTATTAATTTAATTGACTCGCTAAATCAAAAGTCTAAAGATAATAGATACAACACATGTCAAATGATTGCCTGGCAAAAATAGTTGCATTGTTAATGGGAACTTTTTACATTTCAAACTTTACATAGCTTTAAATTTTTAGTCAAAATAACAAGTGGTTAAAAAGTTTAACTAGTTGACTTAAAAGTTGATGACTACAGTGATTTAAGGCCAAGACGAGTTTGGAAAAACTGTATTTTGTAGATTCCTTACATTTTGTATTTAATTATTTTAATCTGTTGCAGAAAGTAATGTAATATGGATATCAGATCCTGGCTTTGTAAAGTTAACTCGTTCTCGCTTAAAGCTTATTATAGCTACTTTAAAATAAGCGTATGTCTGTCTGCGGACTAATGTGTAGGTTTTTCCAGGAAACGTTCGTTTCATCTTGTTTAACGATGACCCTGGGCCACGCCTCCATTGTGTGGGCTTGTGAGTTTGTTTGGCCTGCCAGCGGCTTCCTTCAACACGTCCATGTGGACGTCCTTGTCCGAGTCAGTGTTCATGTTGTTATCCGTGTGGCAGCTCGTGTCATTGTCAGTGGATGTTCGCAGCGTTTGTTTAATGTTTTCCTTTGAGCCTCATCTCACATCGGGGCATTTGTTTATTCCATGGCCGACAGATACTGCCGCACACCTGTTGCTGCCAAATTAATTTCAATGGGTCACAGGTGGCCGGGGTTTGGCCCAAAGGTCGGGGTCAGGAGTTGACTTTCTTGCAACTCCTCCCTCATTATTTCTTTGCGCTGATTGGGGCGACATTAATCCTAAGCCACTGGGAGCACTTTCTTGCTCAGATTTCAGCCAAGCCAAGCGTCGAGCTTCATTATTATCATCTTCAGCTGGCAGCTTGTCAACGCAAATGAGCTGAATAAAAACAACAAGTTTTTATTGCGCATACGCCACGTTGTCGTTGGTCGTTGGTCTTGCTCTAATGGGACAGCATGTTATTAGCTCGGAGCTGTTTTATTTTCTCTCTGCCCAGATGAAAACAAATTTGAATGATTAAATAAATTATCCAGCATTTGGCTTGGGCATTGGGGACTAAGCGTGCGAAGAATTTTAATGATTTAAAAAAGAGCACAACAGAAATATTTAAAAATCATGATGAAATTCTTTCACCCGGTTGGATCTTTATTTGTTTTCAGTTGACCACTGAGGAAATCACTTGACACTAGCCAAAGATTTTCGAACTGTTTGACAATAATTTATGGGCGAATTGCTATATATTTTGTTTTCATTGCTTAAGTGGCCAAGCAGTCTTTTCCTCTCGCCTTTGATTTCGTGTTTAATGTTCAATAAATCGATGAGGACCCCGAATATAAACAGGGATTGTAGGCGACAAAAAGGCAAGCGGCAGGATTGAGCAAAATCTGGTCTGGAATTTATTTTGCTGCAAAGATTTTCCAAATCGTTGGGCAAAATCGAGCTCAAGGGCAGATTATGCCGCTTAATGTTCTGCCTCCTTCGCCAGATCTTGCCCTCTTCATCCCGCCTCCCTCGAATCCCTGTCTGTTTAGTTTAAATTCGACGTCTTTTACGGCGATTATGACACATGTGGGGGCGGGTGTGTAAATGCCTGGGTGTGTCTGGTTGTGTTTATTCCACCTTTGGCTGCTGCCTGCTGTTTACTTCAAGTGGTATTCTTCGGGGGTCTCGCAATTGCTTGTTATTCTCAATTTAGATTCAAATCAAGCCAAGAGTCAGGCCGCCGGCGCAGATGTTTACACAAAAATTCACTTCATTTAGCTTGCGACAGGATAAATAAGGCTCTCAGCAATCCTCTTTGATGTGTGTGTCATAATTAACTATCGGGGAATGTCCTTAGGTATCTGTTGAGCGGCAATTTGTCCTGGAAATAAATCGAGGAAGTTTACGATTTTCCTTTTTGTCCCTAAACCCGAGACCCTAATTGGGTTGCATTTGATTTCACATGCTCGCATTCTTGTCCCAGGCTTTGTTCGATTTTATTACGAAAATTGGCTTTTCCCATTTCGGTCGTTCGAGGAATTTCACTTCTTTTGTTGTATCTGCTAAGCCAACTGAAAAATGCTTTTGTAAGTGAATAATTTGGTAGTGGAATCCCTAAATAACTTGAAATTTCTTCTATTAAATGCTCATAATGCATTATGTGTTATTATATTTTCTTTGTTTCTGATAAAAATTCATTGTATGGGTTAAACAAAAATTGCCTAAATCTAAACGGCATACGGCTAATCTATCTTAATCGCCCAGCCAATAACCTCATCAAGATCGAATCAAAATTGACAAACCTTTTAAGTAACACAATTTTCTTTCTACTCCACCGATTTCCCTCCGGAACTGTTCAACTGGAATCAATGGCGAGTTCCTTCTTAAGCATCTATCCATCTGATTTTCAAACTCTTTATGCCATTCTGTTTGCATGGACATTGCTGACCCAGACAGTTGCAATTATGTACCCTGAGGGCGGGGAAGGGGCAGATTCAGCAGGAAGCATACCCAATGTCCATCAAAGTGAGCTGGGAAAGGGAGGGGAAGTGAAGGGACTGCCGCCAGGGAAATGGAAAAATGGATAAAAAGTAAAGCTTGCCAGGAATTTATTCGCATTTGAACTGCTGTTTGTTTGTTTGGTTCGGTTTGGTTTGGTTTTGGTTGCTGGAAGCATTTTAAGTGTGTGCATAAATATTTTTGTTAGTTGTGTCTGGCTGAGGAGGAGTTATACTGCGGAAATGCGCCCCATTTCACTGCCAACCCATCCGCCTCTCTTCCACTCTAGTTTGCTGCCCAATTGTCACTGGCTCTGGGCCCGGTCACGTTTTTTCTGTCGAAGTAAAAAGGGAGTCTTATGCACAGGAAAACAAGACTCCTCTTTAATATTTTTTACTCGCTGACAAAATGTTTAAACAAAATAGCACTGGAAAGACAGTATTTGTAACACATTGTCTACATTGAAAATTGTTGAAATAAATTCATAAATTTAAATATTTTTAATGGAATTTTTGGCAGTTTTTTGTACACAAACTATCAGTAAAATCGGAAAACCATACATTTTAAATTCGGCAGTGGCCATAAATTAAGAGAACTACATATGCAAAGTGGATCAAAATATTTTTTTTTTTAATTTGATGACAAGATAAGGAATATTTTACGTTTTCTTCATGTTTTAGTTATTTTTTCACTTTTCAAACATATGTATGAGTTTATGTGAGAATATCGATGATATATTTTTTATTTTCTCACTGAACAGGCTAAGAGCAGACTTTTTTAAATGATCTATTTTTACTCAAAGAATTTTGTTGACTCATGTAGACATAGCTACAGAAGTGTATTCAAATTAAGACAATATTTTTGGCCCAGTGCAGCATCAGGAACACGGGCCTGTCATGTTCATGGCTTCCCCGGGCGAACGGAAAGTCCAAAGAGCAATGACAGGGGCGACAACATTTTCGGAGGCTAAGTGGTGGGTGGAGAGTAGGTGGACAATGCCGCGACCCGACTGAAAACCAGGCTCAACCTCTGGCCATATGAGAGGCGCCTGGCCACCGGTTTTTGCCTCTGATGTTCCTGATGCCAGGTGCAGGCCAAAATGCTTTCAGGATCTCAGCTTTGTTCCCAGGCTCTCCACTTAACGTACTGCTCGATGTAGTCAGTGCAGCTTTTAATTGAATTTGGAATATTTTGGGACCGGCAGCCAGAGCAATCTGGCCAATCCATTCCGCCCGAGAGCAGGTCACGAATTTGGCTATGGCCAGATATGGCTCCTCCTCGCCACTCCTTCCCCTTCCCCTGCCAATTAGTGGTGGCTGTTCTCTTGCTCAAACTCTAATGGAATTAGTTGTTAATTTGATTTGCCATAAAAGCAGTTCTATTCTCTATTCCCATCACTATACGGATGTGTTTGCGGCTCCATTCTACGGACCCTAGGGCGTGAGGGGGCGTGGCCGGGAAATCGCGTGCCGGAGGAGCCAGACACACTTTACTTTAATTGGCCAGCGGCAAAAAGTGCAGGAGCATCGACCCACACATCGGAAAATCAGTGAATTGAAATCGAATTGCCGCACTGCAGTTACATTTGTTTTTCCACTGGTTCTGGTTCGTGTTTTCCCTTCGATTTTGTATTGTGGTCACGGGAGGCCTTTATGTCTGCCTGCTCTGTGGACTGTCCTGATTAGTCCCTAGATCTCCGGGGGATTGCTGTGGCGATTTGTATCTATAATGATTGACCGCAATGACTGCTCTTTGTTTGCTTTGTCCAGTTTCGCCTGTTTTCGCTGATTGCAAGTGACCACCAATTTAGTAGGGCTATCTGATTCGGTCGTTCTCTGTAGTTATTATCTAAATGTAATCTGTTGTTTGTCTATTAAGACAAAAGTTTGATCGGACTGATTGTATAAAGTCCATTACCTTTTTCTTTGAATTAAAAAATGGAATGATGAGTTGCACAAAATGTAATTATGGAGGGTGCACATAGTCAAACATGAAAAACAAATATGAAACTAAATTTCTGGGAAATCTAATTAACTAAAGCAAAGCGTCAGGGTTACATGCGTTTTGCAATAGGAAAACAAATTAAAATGAATTCCGCAGAATGGTAATTTCTGTGGCACTAGTTGGACAATATTTAATCTACTTTTTCCCATTATAACTATGGTTTGCTTGCCCTTTAACGTACTTTCAGATACAAATGCAACACATTTTGTTATTGCCATTTCCCATGGGCTTCCTTGTTTTTCTCTCCATTTCCCCCAGGGCTTTACTTTAAATTTATTTTCCCATTTAAAGCTTCGCTTGTCCCTACGGAGTTTTTACTGCTCGATTATCGAAAACGTTACCCCAGCTTCTACAGATCCTACCCCATGACTTCTGATTAAATTTTATTTTATTTTATATGTTCTTGCATTGCCGATTGCAGTTTGAAATCCATTTATCTTTTGTTACACTGCCCGAATTGATTGTTATTTGGCAATTTCCCGTAGGTCCCTGTTACCACCAACCGAATTCTTTATGGCACCCCAAAGAATTCACTCTCAAATAAACCATTTCGAAAAGGCAGACCGTAAACTGTGGGAGGCTGCTGACTTCTTGGCGTTGAATATTTAATGCAGAGCCAACGTGGCGTATGAGTGATTTTGGCTTTTTTACGATTACCGATTATCCTGTACCAAAAAAAAAAGGAAAACGGGAAAGGAAATGGAACTGGGAATTGTTAGAACTAAAGTAAACAAATCGAACTGTGGCCGGAAAAGCGAAAAGTGCCAAGGCACACGACACTTTCGCTGGAGGTAGTTCCTCCTTGAGTGTTTTTCTGTGGTTAAATATCTATTTGGGTCACGACATTGCAATTAGGCAATTTAATTAATCAAAACAAACCTTTCTTTCAGCTGTTGGCACCTTGGCCTATCCCCTCAGGTAACAAATGGCGGCGTCCTCGTTTTTGGTTGGTCACCAAACTCGAACATCCATCCAGAAAGTTTATGTTATCTGGGTTGGGTTGAGGGCACTCTACTTATGTATTTGATCGATAATTTGTATAAAAAAAACAGCGGCTGCGGCTCACTTTATATATATATATATATATAGCGAGATAATTTTTTGCACTTGTTCACTTTCTTTTTCCTTGTTTTCCGTTATTTTTAGATAATGTGAAGTGAAGCCGAAACCGAAAGGCGCACAATTATTTCTTTTCAGATATTTTCCACCATAAAACTTGTGTTCCAACCGCAGATACACATTGGCCAGCTATACTCTGTATATATTATTTTGATTATTTTCGTGGTCTGGGATTTTCCAAACGCGGGTTTTCCAATTCAAAAAGAAACGATACGTTAGGCGTCTGGCGCTTTTCCAACCGCTTTTCACATCCGATCCGTGCGAGCGCCGTCGAGTGTTTGAAGCGATTTTGGTTCGGTTCGTTTCGGTTTGGTTTGCCAGTTGGTTCGGTGCTTTCAACTGTGACGTCACGGAAAAGCTCTGCTACGTCACCGATAGCTTTTCCGTGCACTTTCCGCACTGTCCACACTCTCCCACTTCGATTTCCCCACCATTTGGATTGTTTGTATTTTTTCTTTACGACTTTGCTTTGTTTATCTTTAGCTGTCTCTGCTGACTTTGTTTTGTATGTTCCATCAATGGAGCATAAGGGTGGAGGAAAATGTAGGTGGAAAGGTGGCTGAAAGTGGGTGGCTGATGGGTGGCAATGGGGCCAGTAAAGGCGCTTTGAGGATTGCAACGTTTACATCTACTCTTTTCCTCGCATTTTCGACCCTTTTCTCCGCTGTTTCCTTTGTTTTGGTTCTGATTCTGTTTCGGTTGGGTCGGTGTTGTTTATTGCGCGTGTTTTCCGTCGGTTCTTTTATGATCCGCAGCGCTGACAGCCCAGCAATATTTAGAACTTGTGACGAGCATTATTCCGCATTTTATTAATGTTTCGATTTTGGTAGAGGACAAGGGGTTTTACCCATTGCTCATCCTGCTTTATTTCCCAATATATTCACATGTTTGCACAGAAAAAATTAAAAAAGGAAATTAAAATTGCGCTATAAATCCGTTACATATATGTTAAAATCATAAAATGAAAAAGAAAATGCGTATTTTAAATAGAATTCCTTATTTTTGTATCTGCTGAATAAATTCACCAACACACGAATAACGACCAAGCACAAAATAAATTATAAACATAAATTGTATTAAATACATTTCCCTATTTTCCATTTAATTCTCTTAAATAAATTTACCGAAAAATTAATGCAAAACAATAAAAATGTTATACTAATTCATGATTTTTTTTGTTTGATTACAAAGACAAAAAATATAATTTTGTCAATAAAGGAGTGTATCTCTGATTAAAAGTTTTGGAAAAAAAACCCATTATCAGTTAATTATTCAAATCATTGTCAATATTCGTAAATTTTTCAATTAAATTATTTTTTGAGTACGAATAATATATCATTCCAAAATTCAGAAACAATATAAATCTTTTGTCATTTTTCCTTTTAGTGTAGCCTATATTTCTGCTGATAAAGTGCTTTCATTTCTCATTTGAATAGTTCCAATGGGGATAGTATTGACCCGAAACACTTTTGTGCTGTTCGCTTCGACTCGATTTGCAATTACCTAAATGGCCAAACTCATTTGCCAAACACAGGAAATGCAAGTGCCAAAAATACCAACAATAAATGCACCTGCTGCAACTACGAAAAGCAATTAATCTTCAGCGAAACCTGTCAGACAGACCGCAAACAATCTCGCGCTCAACGCAAACAAATCCCATCGACCTCGCATATGGGTAACAGTATGTAGTATTATTTGTAACGATACAATATGTCAAGTTTTATGGTGATTGAGTGAACGAAGAAATCGTACAACATAGAGAAAAGGTTGGGTGGCAAAATGTTGAAGCATAAGGAAAATTCACTCATAAGGAATCCTTGACTAAAGTCAAATGTTGTGTGCTTTTGAATTGTTTGTTATTGTTCTTTGCAGGGCAGTTTTCCTAATAAACACAGTCAAAGCTTTCATAAGTCAAGCCACAATAAGTACGAAATTAGACTAATAGGAAATAAAGAATATTTAAATAATAATTTTATTTATTTGGAAGTTTAAATAATATTTAATTCTGCTAGATATTATCCAAGACAAATTTGTTTTTAACTTAAATTATTTGGTAATTAATAGTAATAGCAATTTTTTAACGGAATTTTTGTTTGTAACTTAAACTTAATCATAATATTGGATCAATATTTTTGTGAACTTTATGATTAAATTTGTAATTGAGATAAAAAGAATAGCTTTGTATCAATGCACAAAAATTAAAAAATATGTACTATCTTCAGAAAATTGTGTAAAAACTATATGTCTTGAAAATGCTATTAAAAATTCTTTATGTGGGAAATATCGTGCTTGGTGTGATGACTGTATCATTGTTTCTTGTGTTGTTGTGGCTCCTGCCACGTGGTTGAATACGTTGGCCTATATCTTATCAACATAGGGTGTGCTTGTGTGGCATATTATCATAAGCCATGATTTATTTATAGAGGCAACCAGGTGGCCCACACCCATACGGCGAAACTCGCACGAATACGTATACGTTGCCTTTGTCCTCGCTCAAGTTCGGAGAGCTGTCAATTGATTTACTTGACCCACATGGGCAAAAACTGAACTCGAACAGACGGGCCGGGACCCGCCCACCGCCCTCAAGCGTTTTCCCGCCTTTTCACTAATGCGATCAATATTTGGCAGATAAAAAGCTGGCAAGGCGGCGTTGGGTGTTGATGGTGACCCACAAAAAAAGGTTTAAAGCCCTCTTAAAGGCCAATTGTTGCTCCAGACTGAGGGTAAAAACCGGCAAGCCCTCAGGTGTTGGTCAATTGGAGAAGAAAATTCATTTTCGCGGATTTCCCGGCAAACGAAAATTTATGTTAATTTATTTCGGAAAACTTTTTAATTAACCCACAAACGGTGGATTGAGACCGCGCATCCCAGCTTTTGGTGTTTCTGCCAAGTGGCGACCTGCCACCGAGTGCTCTGTATTTGTATCTTTCGCCATCCGCTTTAATCTAGTTAATCTATGGAAATGAAATGCGCACACCTGTCGGCCGGAAAGGTGGGCAAAGTGAGAAGCAACTTTTCTCAGCTGTCTGCTGTGGCTTTGTTGGTCGCTTTGAGCTCGTTTTTTGGCTACAATTTGCTGAACTTTCCGCACCGCAAACGCTTAATTGCAGCCCAAGGGCTGTGGGTAAGAGTATAATAAGGAGATTCGGCGGAAGTAAAAAAAACATGTGGGTTGGTGTCACAGGATGAAGCTATTGCTAATGATATTCATGAGTTTGTCTCTGGTTTGGTCATTTCCATTCAAAATTAGGGGGAATGGTAGCGTGAGGAGAAGACTGCAAATAAGTTTGATGCTACCGACAGCTCCTTATTACAAATTCATTTTGATTTGATTGAAATATTCGAAAAACTTTGCTACCTTATGATATGTGCCTTAAAATCATTTTTTATTGTCAAATTCGAAACTTAAAATTGAATTTTGTAGTTTCTTAAAAGATAAAAAATTTATAGACTAGTTAAGATATTTTCTGAACTTAAGCAAAACTTAAATGAACAAGTATTGCCTTACAAATTTAGTTAAATTGTTAAATGTCATAAATCATAAGAGGTCCTAAGTTTTTAAAACTAAACTATGTCATGAAATCTATTTGGATTTTCTAACAGTTTTATGCGTTTTAAATTTTAATTTTTAGTAAACGGCATAAAGATAATAGCTGCCAGGCAGTGATATATATCTCCCTGCACTCCCATCCATCTATACCTCTTAGCTATGCCCATTTCCATATCCCAGGCTAAGCAAACATCATCGCGGTCGGGGAAAGCCCTTCCATCTTCCACTCGACGCGTTGCGTGGCGCAAAGTGAAAGATAAATTGAGGCTGTAAAAACAGGGCACTTCGCATAGTCGGGGCAAAAGGAGGATCGGGGTAAAAAGTAGGGGAAGCCACTTTATCATAAACTCAACAGGTTCGAGTCCTCCCGCCAACGTCCTGTGTATGTGTTGCCATAAAAGTTGCTGCGCTGATTGAATAAAAATTTCATTAAACGCACATTTTCTAGCAGCTTGAAGGCGTTTTTCTACGCTCCATCTGAAAATCCTTTGGAGGGACTAGAGATGAGTTGAGGGAGCCATGGCCTAAAGCAGCTCTGGCTCGGCTGTCGTTTATTTTAATTGCCGGCATTAGATGTACGTTGATAGGCCATAAAAAAGCAGTTGGTTCGACGGAAGCCGTCAAAGACAAAATGGAAGACGTATTTCTAAAAATTTAATGACAAGATGCTATTTACTCTCTTTGAGGTTTGGCGCACGAAAACCTTTCAAAACTCGTGAAAAATTATACATTTCGGATCAGCCCAAAGGTATTTTGGGCTTCGTTTAGATTTTCCTTTTCGCTTTTTGTTTTAAGCGCCTCGTCGGCTTCATTTCCGTTTGAAAAGGAAAGCATGGGTGGGAAAAGGAGGGGGTTGAAGAAAGTTAAAGGGGGTTGCAGAAAGAGGAGACATTGTCATTCTGCTTTTGCGGTTGCTTATTCGGTTGTTAAATCGTTTTTATGACGTATTCTCCGCCGCCGAAATTTTCGCTCTGCGGTTAACTTTTCCCTTCGCATTTCCCGCCCTCATTTTCCATTTTCCTGTTCACCTCACCCCGTAAAAATCTTGGGCATTACTCAACCGTCTGTGTTAAGCTTTCGAGTGTTTGGGTAATTTCACAGATTTATGCAACTTTTTGACGGGAAAAGGAAAATATAAGTGGAAGGAGGGGTAAAATGGTAGGGATTTCACTTATTGCTTTCATTTCTGCCAATTATCTTAAGAAATGGTCTCTAGTTAGTTTTGTTGGCTTACCACACTTCAGTTTTATCCTTATTTAATTTATTATTTGAGTGTTAAATATATTTGTTTATTTTAATTAGATATGTAATGTATTTGAATTGTAGATTCAATTATTAATAGTTTTTGGGACCCTAATTTTAGAACAGAAATCTTTTAAAATCAATTTTTTTTAGAGTAGTGGGCTTTACAATGGAACATATCTTGTAACAGGCAAGTTTATATGGGGCATTATAGTTTCGAATAGTTGCTTTAAAAAATATCTTTCGAAAAAGAATAATAATGTGGTTTTACAAAATGTACTTATTATTTTATGTTTCCTTTAAATTTTATGGAATAAATAGCTATTTTGGCATGAAAACATTTTGACAACACTGATAGCTTATTTACATGTCAAGTAATATATTATGTAAAAATGTGGTGTAGACAATTTATGAACATTTAACATTTCTGTTAACGACTTCAGGTGTAGTATTGATATTCCCGGCCGTTGACAGCTATATGCCTGAAATAAGTAAAATAGCTGGAAATAGTATTTATCATGTTTCTATTTTTCGCAGAAGAGGTCCTTTAACCAGCCTCTTTAACAGGCAGTCGCCTTAACCAAATATCAAAATTCGTTGTTTAGCAGAGAACTAAAAGCGGAGTTATGTACCCAGCATAGAACTAAAAGCGGAGGCGCACACCGTCAAAATTGAATGTGATTTTTGGCGGTTCGATTTCGAAACTTAACTAATGCTAGGGAACCGAGTTTTACGTTTCTCAAAATTTCGGGTCATCATCGAGCAAGGATAACCACTAAAAACAAATGGTAGGAGACTCATAAAACTAATGTCATGGCTACACCTTTTGTTTTTGCACTGTTATTTGCACCAAGGCAACACCAATACCACGGGGTACAATACCAATGCTTGGAAAATGGTGTAGGCACTTAATTTTCGCGAGCTAATTTCCGAGCACCCAGTCTTTGTCGAGACGGCTGAAGAGATAACGACGCACTGAGAAAAATTTATATTATCAAACCCTTGTCAGTTCAATTAAATATTATACGAGTGCATTTTTTTGTATCCATCCAATTCAGTGTATATTACTTTTAAAAATTTTTTAACGCAAGCAGATTTTAAGCGAGTCAAAAATAATATAAATAAAATGCTTAACATTTTATTAAATTAAATATAAAAACAAACTTTCTTTGCTGATATCAACTATGTTTGATTTTCTTTCTTTCGACGTCCAAGATTAATTGGGATTGTATCGGGTTTATATCTTAGAAGTCTTTTATACTTCGATCCACAAATGTGGAACAATTGTTTATGACTTTTGGGTTCACATCTACTCGTTTAATAAAAAATATTAGGAAATATTAAAATACTATTTTATTATGATACGATCTTAGTAGGTGGAATGTTAATTCATTCCTTATTAATATTTATACTTCTTTATTTGAAAATGAACCAGTTACTATAAATTTAGGTATTAACGTTCAAACTAGTCTCCTATATCTTACATTATTTTTTTCGGTGCAGTTAGGCACAGGTAAATTACGGTCTCTCGGATTTCATTCTCTCTACGATTCTCTCTCTTTCGTGGAGTTTCTTGCTCTCCAGGTGAGTGCTCTTGCTCTCACCCTCGTTTTGTGCGCGTCACAGGTAAAATTCAAACGGTGCTTCGTAACGTATTTTGGCCCGATCACCACCGCCGCAACAAGTGCGCAGGTGCAAGCGGGACGCCAGCTGGGGCGGCCAGAAAGAGATGGATAGCTGGTGCGGGAGATCCGCGAGAGAGTATGTTTGGGTTTAAGTTTATTGCGCTGAGCGTGGCCCAAAGCGAAGCCGTCGAAAGAGTCGGCGTCGGCGTCAGTTGCTCAACGCGCTTACCTGTCGCCAGACGTGTTTTTCCCAAAGGAAAACCCGCGTGCTCCATCTCGCTCCCTCTGCGTATGTGTGTGTGAGTGAGTGCCTTGCCAAGAGTGAATGTGTGTGCGAGTGTATATTCAATTAATTACAAAGGCAAAAGAAGCAGCTATGTGAATTGAATGAAAGAAAGCCAGTTAAAAGTATGCAAAAAAGTTGCGTGATACAAAAGGCCATATCAAGCAGAAGAAGAAGAAGCGGCAGTGTAAATGGTGATTAATTCACTTTAAGGTGCAATTAAACAGCAGCAGAATAAGCAACAACAACAACAGCAGCAACAGAAGCAGCGCAAGGTGCAGACAAGGTGAGGTGAACTTGAAGTTTTTCTTTTCTTTTCACTCTCCCCCCTCCCCACCCTCTCCACGAAAGAAGAAAAATTATTCAACAGCAAAAATATTTAATGAGCATGGTATCTGTGTGCATGGAGTGTGCTTCAGTGTGTGTGTTTGTGGCATTTCAAAATTGCACTTGAAAACGCCGAGGTGGAAAGAGAAAGACCAGATAATGACAATGAGAAGAGGGAACTGAAAAATCAGTACAAAACGGTATAAACGTGATTCTTTTTCCAGCCGTTGGCTTGTGGGAATTTTCCGAAAAGGGGGAGGAGCACAGGCGGCTGGTTGGCCTCCAAATTGGCCGATGATGCTGCAACTGTACACGCTCTGTTTTCCTCTGATCCATTGGCGACATTTTTTTTTGAAACTACAAAAATAAAACCGACAAGAACAACAACGAAAAAAGAAGAAAAAAAACGCAAATCTGGCGCAATTGGCAAACCAGAAAAACAAGCAACAACGACGAAGCCCAGCGCTTAGATTGCCGGCCTCAAGTTACGACGACGATTCCAGCGCTTGGCTTTCGATCGCCACCGTCGTCGTCATCGCGATCATGATCATGTTGCGGCTACGGCGATCGTTATTATGCTCTTTTCACTGAATGAGCCACATTCCGGTTTAGCATTTTTCAGCCCAGCCAAACCAATCCGCACAGTCCACAAAAGCATCCCCGAAAACCCACACAAATGTGCACACCGCCGATTCGAAGCCAGGCCCATTCTCAGGCCCCAAGTCCATTTCCAATTGAAAAGCCAAGTCAACAGGCCCGCACCCCTTGCGATCCCCCTCCTTTGATCGCTTATAAACGTGTTCCCCTTAACTAAAAACACACAGCGAAAAACTTATCTGCATTTGTATTGGTTGGGTGACGATCTGTCGCTTAGTAGTATTGTTAGAGAGCTTATATTTGAAGAACTAGCTTAATTTGAACTTTTTATTTATTTTAATACATACGTCAATAAACAAGTTTGAGTTGTAGAGAACTTGGAGTTATAGAATTTGTTATCTTTTTAAGATGTATTTTTAAGTTTTAATTGAGATTCTTGAATTAATATTGGACATTCAGAAACTTACAGTTATGGGGAATTACACAATTTTAAAATGTTTTGCTACAAAAAAGATCAGTTGATACGAAACTTTATGCTATTTATTTCTTATCAAAATAAATAAGACCACATTTATCTTACTTTAATAAGTGGTTTTGAATAAGGCACTCTAGAATTATAATATCTTGCAGTTGGTATAATATATAGCTTTTAACGAATTAGTGCAACTCTTAACATAAAAAAGTGTGTTTAAAGTGAAAACCAAAATAATGGTGAATTGATTTATATGTTATCTCAATTAATTAAACATATTTGTAAACGGAATTACCCCTTTGACAATGGAAGGATAGGAAATAAATATTAAATATTTGTAAAATAAATTATTTAAAAAGTTTAAGCTAATACATTTTTAATAACAGATATATTTTCTAACGACAAATGTTTAATGGATGTGAACCATTTTTTTCACGTTTTTCACTGTGCAGCAAACAAGCAGAAACAACAAAAAGTTGTAAAAAAGCAACAAAGCCAGTTTTTTTTTAGTTTCAAGTCTTGTTTTTGTAGTTGTTGTAGCTGCTGCATTCCAGCGATCGCTGCTGGGTTGGTTTTGTTGCCTTGGCAACCAGGAATGCCAGCCCCTATCCCCGTCTTCCTCTCCCAGGGCGCAGCCATCTCTTTCGCTCGTTCTATCTGGATCTGTTAGTTTGGGTTTTTAGAAATTCCAACGCAACGAAAACGAAAAGTGTGAAAAGTGAAGCGAGGCAGACTAGCGACGAACTTCGATGCCCCAAACTTGCTATCTCCTTTCCCTTTGCTACTAGTCTCGCTCTATATAACCATCTCCCTCTCACTCTGTCTTATGTCTTTCTCCCTCGCGCTTAGCACCCCCGAAAAAAAGAATATGAGTTTTTGAACCTGCACGTTTTTTACGTGTAATGTGAGGTCAGTAACACTTTTGTTTCAAACATTTATCACGCTCCGTTTTGGCCGAGTGCGTGTAACTCTTATGACGTCAAAAACGTTGCCAACCGTTTAATGAACTCGACTTGATTGACAAGCCATTTACAATATTGTTTGGGCGAATGAACAGATGAATTAGTCTGGACATTTTTTTTGTGACTCAAATCTTGGGATAGAGGATATGTGTTGTTGATTTCAGGAATTTCGCTATGTTAATCAGTTGAAGCTGAATAAGTTGATGTTATATTTTGATGCACCTTTTTAAATAAACATTTTTAGTGTATAAAAAAAGTAAAGAAATTTGGAGTAGTTATATACATAGCATTTGAAAGTTTCTAAATCCATTCTAGTTCTTCTAGTTTTATCTGAGAGAATTTCTGGAACACACAATATAGTGTTAGGATTTAGACACAAACTGTATAAGATCTTTAAACACAAACCGTCTGGGATTTTCCAAAAGATCTCTCAAACAATTTCACTGTTAGCATATAAATTTGTGCATATGAAGCACTGTAAATCCTTCCTGGAAACTAAAACCCAACTTTTCACCGGGTGTGGCATGTGCGCCCACATTTTGAGTTTTGAAACCGGCTGCCTGATGTTGACAAACCTATTTTCTAATTTGTTTTACATTTCACTGAGGCAGCAAAGAGAGAGTGGGTGGTGGTAGGAGAAACGTGTTTTTTTCATGTCCAAACGAAGCGTGCGAGATTTTATTTAACGCGCCTGGCTCTCGAGAGGGTAGGTTGAGGGGGTTTTCAGGGTGTGCGGGCGCTTAAAGCCAGCTGCGTGTTTACAGATATTTTTGCGACGCTTTTTGGCCGGCCCAAAATGAAATGGGCCCGGCCCACAACTAGTTGCTCCAGAGCTCACACACACGTGCAGACAGCCGCGCCCAGAACCCCTCGCCGTCCACCCAACCCCCTTTGCTAACACATCCCTCTGCCTATGCACACTATTGTCCACGCGCGCTTTTCAAAAAAAAACAAGAGAAAACGCTATAGTCGGGTGACCCGACTATCAGATACCCGTTACTCAGGTAAAGGGAGTGCGAGGGAGATGGAGATAGAAACTTTGATCACGCATAACTTTTTAACGAATGGTCCGATTTGAAAAATTTCTTCTACATTTCGATAGGTATTGATAAACACAATAAAACTGCATTTTTACTTTTCCGAAATATTTAAATTTTTAAAATCTTATATAAGCGATTGTGGGCGTTAAAGGGGGCGTGGCACCATTTTGAAACAAACTTGCGCTGCGTAAGAACTCCTAGAATCTGCTTGCAAAATGCCAATCTTCTAGCTTTTATAGTTTCCGAGATCTCAGCGTTCATACGGACAGACAGACGGACAGACGGACAGACGGACAGACGGACAGACAGACGGACAGACGGACATGGCTAGATCGACTCGGCTAGTGATCCTGATCAAGAATATATATACTTTATAGGGTCGGAAACGCTTCCTTCTAGCTGTTACATACTTTTGCACGAATACAGTATACCCTTTTACTCTACGAGTAACGGGTATAAAAATAATAAGAGAGAACAAAATTTGCGTCTGTTTGTTTGCTTCAGCTTTTTTCGAGTGAGTTGCCAACTTTTGTCAGGCGAATTTTAAAGGGGGAAAGGAGAGCAGTATTTACAGATGACAGGGTAATGGTAGGTCATGCATACATGTGTAAGTACAATCATTACGCGGGAGTCATCTAAATATACAGTACAACTTTCTTAAACCGAACAGCAACCCAATGTAGATTTGCTAATAAAGGAAGCACGCCATGATTGTTATGTCTAATGGATATCTTAGTTATTTCGTGTTAAATATTTTTCTCAGCGGGATCTTATGCTCCTTGCAATAAAATAATGTTTAAAAGTATGTAGTCTATAACCCATAACTAAAACCCATTAAATTGTCTTTTGCCTCTTAATTTGATTTTATTTCCAACAAAATCACTTTAGGGAAGCTTGACTTTATGTGTGGGATTGGGATCCCTTTCCTTTCCATTCCTTGAGAGGGCGACCTCCCATTTCCACGTTTGTCATGCAGTCAACCCACTTATGTGTCACTGTGTGTGGTTTGCTCTGTGTGCGTGTTAGGGCAACCGTTTGGTTTTTATGTCTTTTGTAAAATTTTATTTAATTTTTGAATCTTTTTTTCTCGTGAAAAGTTTAATATTTGTTTTTCATGCTTGCGATTTGCATAATTTGCACAGAAAGCACACACAAAGACGCTAACACACACAGTCATGACCTCCATTTGCGACTAGCAATACCTGCAGGGCCTGCTGGCGAAAGAGACGGGGATAGAGGGAAAGAGAGAGAGAGAGAGAGAGAAGACACTAAAAAGAAGGATAAGCGAGGATGTCTCCGCTCTGCTCACATGCGATATATTTTATGAATGCAAATCCCTGTTCATTCGGATTTGGTTTACTTACTTGCGGGCAGATTCCTCTTCCTTTATCCCCCACCCCTCTTTCATCTTCACTTTCTCTTTCCTTATTTTCTTCCTTCCCTTTCTCCCACACACACATACACACTACTGCATTTTCCTGTGCACATGTGGGCGAAGCATTTTTTTCTCTTGCTGTAGTTCGGGTTTTTATTCATTCATATCGCATTTTCATTCATGCGAGTTCTGTGCAAAAAATCTCCACAATGAAGCGAGAGGATTTCTTTAAAAATACCCTGTATTATTGATAATTATTTATAATTGAAAATATAGTCTCCTTAACATGATATTAAACGACTGTGCTTGCATAGATTGATCTTTTAGAATAGAAACCTTAGGAGGAATATTATTAAATAATAATATCGTAACAAAAATTGGGAATATTAAATTTGACTGAAATTAAAATCTTTAAACTTTTTGTTCCATCTAATCTATATCTATAATTGACTTTTCTGAAAAAAAATTGCATATAAACAGGGTACACCCGCAGCTGCTTTATCTTTGAGGTTG